AGCTCTCATAATTTATTACATAATAAGCAATATGCGTTTACTAGGGGTCGCTCAACAACTGATGCGGGTGTTCAACTCGTTATGAATATTTTTGAAGCCTGGGAAGAGTCGCAGGATGCCTTAGGAATATTCTGTGACTTAACCAAAGCTTTCGATTGTGTACAGCATGAGACCTTGGTCAGGAAATTACGCCACTATGGTATAAGAGATGCCGCACTCAATCTTCTGAAATCGTACTTGAGCCATCGAATTCAGAGAGTTGACGTGAATGGCAAGAGATCTCCCGGGGCCCTGGTAAATATGGAGGGACCCGCAGAGATCTATTCTTGGGCCTTTTCTCTTCCTCATTTACATAAATGATCTACCTTATCTTGTTAATAATAATCATGAGATAGTATTGTTTGCGGATGATACCTCTTTAATCTTTAAAGTAAACCGACGTTCTTTAAGTTATGACGATGTAAACAATACTCTATCTATTGTAGTACATTGGTTTAGTCCTACAAATTAACTGTTGAATAATAAAAAAACTAAATGTATTAAATTTACAACTTCCAATGTTAAACATGTAAAAACTGATGTACTTTTATATGGGGAAGCGTTGGACCCTATTGACTCAACTGTATTCCTTGGCATAACTATTGATGCCAAACTGCAATGGGGCCCCCACATTAATAGACTGGCGAGTAGACTTAGCTCAGCAGCTTTCGCGGTCAAAAAAATAAGACAGTTAACTGATATAGATACGGCTCGCTTGGTATATTTTAGTTATTTTCACAGTATAATGTCTTATGGCATTCTGCTTTGGGGTAACGCGGCCGACATTAATACAATCTTTATCTTACAAAAGAGAGCTATTCGTGCAGTTTACAATCTGGGCCCCAAAGAATCGTTAAGAAACTTGTTTAAAGAGATAAAGGTATTGACTGTTGCTGCTCAATACATTTTTGAAAATGTTTTGTATGTCCATAAAAATAAAGATAAATTTTTAAGACATAATAATTTTCATGATATAAATACTAGGAACAAAAATAAATTGATCCTACCCACAAGTAGACTGCGTAAAATAAGTAAATCTTTTATGGGACAATGTATACGTTATTACAACAAAATTCCAGAAAACGTTCAAAATGCATCAATAGCTAAATTTAAAAAAATAGTAAAAGAACGTTTGTGTGTTAAATGCTACTATAATATTAATGATTATTTAAATGATAACACACTCTGGTAATGAACTGATCGCTCCAGGCTCTTTCAATCGGAGTTCTTATATTGTATTTTAACGAATTTATGTCAAACTGCTTATTTAAAAAAAAAAAGCCCGCTGAGTTTCTTTCGCCAGTTCTTCTCAGTACAGTGGCTTTCTTTTCCGAACCGGTGGTAGTGTTTTGACTATCAATAAGTGAGTGTAATGCTCCTATGTTGAATAAATACATTTGATTTTGATTTTGATTTTGAACAGATTAAAACTTTTTTATTAATACTCGAATCATTACCTCCGCTTTAATGATCTCCTCTAACGTACATTATAAAATAAGCATGTATAAAAATCAAGATTGGGAACACTTATCAATTATTGGCCATATAAAAAATTATCCGATGGTGGAAGGGAACTTAAGACTCCCTTGCCTACCGCTTCACAGCATCGTGAGACGGGTAATCAAAACTGGGAATCATACACCAGTTGTTACCAAGTAACAGTTGTTCCGATACATGCTCGAAAAGTATAATAATAAATATAAATATTCAAACTTGTACCGTGATACGCGGCAGTCTAATGAATACGACTCCCTTATACTTATGTATAATTAAATTAATTGCTTACAAGCTCTAAGCAAGTTGGTTTCGAAATGTCCAATAATAAATGTAACGCACTACTAACATATTGCGAAGCATGTTAAGCTCATTTGGACAGTTTAGGATTTGGAATTAGATGTTCTTCCTTTGTATAGTTCATTCATACCTACGCCCTCGGCAATAAACATTCATAAATAAGGATCACGAAGAGCCATGATCCTTTAATTCTACATAGGGTATTAGTTTATTTCTATCTAGAAGACGTGAAATAATGTAATAGCGAGAGAGACGACCCTAGTTTTACATTACATTGTTGAAATTCCAAAAATTCCAACACAAGATTTAACCAGTGCACATAGTACTGCAAAGAGGTCCGTAAGTAAGTGAAATAGAATCTCACTACTATATCAATACATTGGGTAAGATAACAAATTACTGTAAGAGACAATCCTATAATAGGATATAATATATATCCTATTATATATAACAATATATTGTTGAGATTCCAAAAATTCTAACACAAGGTTTACCTAGTGCACAGAGTAATATGCAGAGTTCCGTAATCCGTAAGTAAATGTAATTGAAACTCATTATGATATTAATATGTCGGGTTACATAAAAAATTACTGTAAGAGTAAGTAGTAGTATTACGTGTACAACCCTACGACATAATATTGTTCAAATTCCAAAAATTCCAACACAAGATTTACCCGTTGCATAGACTGTGGCAAAGTAGTTCCGTAATTATTTGCTGTACTCTAAGCACTCTGTAATCTCGTTACGGTACTAATATATCGGGTTAAGTCGATCAATCGTTTGTACACGCGCTAGATAACGCATAGATATCGAGCTAATCGCCATCGTTCCCATTTCATTATGTATGTTTTTGTCGTCCGCCATAATGATGTTGTGACAGTGACTGTGTGACCGACAGGAAATACGAGCCAAGCCTACCAGGTCGGAAGTCTTGTGTTTCAGCCGTACCAAACAGTCCGGAACGGAGTTGTGATCTCGCGGATGTAACTCATTATTAATCTTTTAGTTTTTCATTGAGAAACATCAATCCTAAGACGCCAGATGCGAACCCAGCTGTTCGATCATTACGGACTTCTTATGGGCGCATCGCTGTTTTTTGTTTTATATTTTTGGAAGGCGACCGTCACACTTGAAACCACACTATCGCGTTGAAATATGGCGATGAAAATTTGCTTCAATTATTATTGTAAACAAATAGGAAGCGGTTGATGATTTGGTGACGCCGTTGCTAAGCTATTGGGTTAGGCGTCGTGGGTTCTCCCGTGCCCAAACGGGACAAGTATTTTGTAACCTACAGATAATTTATCCGGATCTGGATGTTTGTTTCCCAAGGGAGTTGACGTCAGGTCGTAAAAAACGTAGCCAAAAGAAACCTGAGAATAAAACGTAGTGGATACTAATTTATTAATTTATTAAATAAATTAGGAAATTACTTCCTTAATAGCTTGAGTCGGAATCTGGGTCACGGAAGCGTAATAGTTATCGGCAATAAATGTATAAAATAACTTTATAATAATTAAGTAGATGCATTTGTTTGCAATTCCTCTGGTTAGTAAAGTAATCTCTTCTAAGTAATCTCTTTAAAAGTGCCAACGCATCTGCAACCCCTAAGGTTTTTTGACATTTTAAAATGTTCGATATTCGCCTATATATCTTTTTCACTTTCTGTCCTATAAATGTGTGATAAATTATATTCGCAATAAATAATAATCGCATCACACGCGAAAACCATCATAAAATCACGCAAATCGAAAGTAAAAATTAATTTAACCCAAAAAAATTAAAGCAATATACATAAATGTAGATAACGATGCATACAAAAGTAAGCATACTTTGCTGTTGCTCTCTTTGTTGCCTTGAAATCACGCAACAGATGACGTCCATTACGTAAAATAAACTTTTTCGTTTGTGTCTCGTTACTAAACGAACATAAAATATAAGAGATTGCTTGAAATATGCTAAAAAACACACCTACAAATAAATGCTTATAAGTTTACATAAAAATGAAACACTTTTTCTGATAAGTTATCCATCATAAATATTAGTGAAATGTGAATAATGTAGACTACATTTCGATGATTTTTTTTTTAATTTATTTATCTAGGTAGATACGTTACAAAACTATAAGTTACAAAACATGTATTAAAAAAGAAAATAGTAATAAGAATTAATAACAAAATTTTGTATCTAACCTCAAACTACAAAACATGAACAATGGATCCCAAAATAAGCAGTGCTTGTATCTTGGGAGCCAGAGCTGCCAGATTTGCGATAAGTGTTTATTTACATCGTAAATACTAAGGCTTCGGCGTCGGGGATCGTGGGTTCGATCCTCGTCACGGGACAACTATTTGTGTGACCCACAGATAGTTGTTTGGCATCTGGGTCTTTGTCCACGTGAAATTTATGTTTGTAAAACATCCTTACAACACAGGATAATGTTATCCTAAAGTAAGGGCAATGTTGTTAAATGAAAAAAAATAATAACTACGCAGGCTGAGTATTATGTTTAGTGCGAGTGCGTGTTTTTTGTGTGTGTGTGCTTGAGTACGTGCTTACCCAAACAGTACTCTTTCAGAATCATCATAACCTAGCGAACGCAACCAGGGCTATGCAACGCGTTTACATGCTAAATAGGACAGATCTCTGGTTTTGACAATGTTTTCAAACTGAATTGTTAACATGCGTATGTAAATAAGCTGGACAACGTCTAGCGAATAGGGACTGAAAGCGTGGTTTGGGAGTACTAAATACCCTTCTCGTAAGTAAAGACTGATAGTCGGACCTGCGTTTGAGATTTTTATGCACGTCAAGGAGAGCTTTAAGGATGTATAGATGGATGGATGTGCAGATGATAGATTGTGTTTTCGGATATTTTAGGTACTTTTTCATTCACATTGTCATAGAATTATGAAATTGCTGCAGATCAAAGAAATTGAATAAATGTAACAGGTTAAATAACCGCATATTTCCTTTAAGTCGTAATTTGAATCGCCGTATACAGCAGCAGTTTTTCAAACAGCTCCACAATACGCAGTAATTGTTTCTTCGCTGTCAATTTTTGGTAATGCATGACTCATTTAAATGCGTATGAACGATTGAACAATTTAATGAAGAGGTCGGTCGTGTCTTATAAGGCTTTCATTTTGTTTGATGTTTCTATCAAAATGTTTAAAAACTGCCAAATAATCTGCACACTAATTCTCTGGAGCGTACGAGAATTGCAAGCTCATCCAAAGAACTTGGCTTGGAGCGGAGGTCCATTGCATTGTGAGTGTGAACATGGTGTTGACCTCTGGACAAACGCTGGCAAATACGTGAAAGACAACGTGATCGCAATGAAGGCCGTGTCATTTAATGATGACATCTACCTCATAACTCCAAGGTAATGTTTGGATGTCATTAGTAAAAAAGTTAACTATATTTGATGCAAATACGTTGATAATTAATTCTATTTATAAACATTTTGAATTAAATATTAATTATTACATTCGAGCTTTCTGAAGCTTTTCTGTATTTTATGTAACAAGTGAAAATAGAAAATATTTGTAGCTAAAAAAAGACCAGCACGCTTCCATGGTACACCATACATAGTACAATAAATAGTTAATAAAAAGTTACACGCACTAAAATCACCTCTCGCTTACATAACGTGAATTTGTACCTAATAAAAATAATATTTAATTTAAAAAACGCACTCTTGACTCGCTAAAAAATACATAATATCTAAAATTACTTATGTAAGTAAAAGAAGCTAGACATTTTACCCTTTCCAACAATTTAACTTCATTGCAAAGAAAATGCAAATTTTTTTTTTTTTTTAAATACATGCTGGTAGACAGATACCTTCGGCTTTTTTAATAAGCTTGTCATTTCTTATATATCAAATGGGTAATTTAAAAAAACGTGGAGCGCTTTCTGAGTATGTGTTCTTATATTTGATTTAAACAAACTGCTAACCTCAAAATCATATCAGTATAAACTCGAGGGATTTACTAGTAGCCACTGAAGAGTTCCACTGTCAGTTGGACTGGCTTAATCAACAGTCCCTCGTTACCAAACCACATCTATTTGACTCATCAAAACGAATTATTTGAGCATAAACTCGTCGACTTCATCATGAAATCATCTCCTGGATATATTAATAAATATTTTTTTATCCTTGATGACGACAATAAGAAATAGGTTAAATTTCACTTCTAATAGTTTGCATTGTTTTTTGTTTAGTAATTACAAGTGAACTTATACTATCTACAAAAGCTTGTTAAAAACTACAATCTTTTCTAATGAACTTGTTAGCTTTTATGTAATGTATTATATATTTTACGTATATAGATTACCGCTTTAAACACAATTTAAAAATCCTAGACACATAAGCAAGCATATTCAAATGGAATATTAAGTAATTTATTAGATCGATACGTAATCTTACTTTCAAGAACCACCTTTCACCACTTAATATAATATTGTTGTTGACAAACTCCACAACTTTGCGATTACAAGGTCGGGTCAGTTATTTTTAAATTTATTCCATTTTCTTACTGCATTCGTTAATGATTTTAGGCTATATGGTTTGTATAGTGCAACCACGAAGTAGAAGCAATATTTCTAGAGAATTAATTTTATCGTATTTGAGAATGTATTTTTAATTTAAACTGTTTTGTTACGAAATGACATTTATAAGTAATAATTTACATGCCCCGACACTGTGTTTTATCATTCAATAAATTTATCAACTTTTATAAAGTTTTGTACATTTTTGATGCAAAGCACTAAAAGTGTTAAAAAGCTTTCAAAAATTTGAAATCTTTGGGTGCTCGGAGTCGTAAATGTCTACTGGATTTTATTCATGAACGCACAGAAAGAAAAACTGCCACGATGTTTCGCCTAAAAGTCGTGTCGAGAGGAATTCGGAAACCTTCTCCTACTCACTTCCACATTCCATAGAAAGGAAATGCCACTATTCTCCCTATTTAGGTGCCTTGAGCATGTACCTACTCTTTTGCATGGTGAATGTACTTCCCAGAAATCAAGAGAATCAGTGCTAAAAACATCCATGGCTCCGCCCTCCATATTTCAATTATGGTGGGTTAGGAATACTTACTGACACTTCATAACCTTGTAATCAGACAGAGTAGGTCGGAGACAGTAACTTGTTTTATGTCACAGATCACACCTCACTCGATATTAATATTTTGGTATGTAAATTAATTAAAATAATATAACTATATTATTTTATTTTACACACACACACACATATATATATATATATATATATATATATATATATATATATATATATATATATATATATATATATATATATATATATAATCGGAATCTCGGAAACGGTTCCAGCGATTTTCATGAAATTTAGTATGTGCGTAGATTCGGAGGCGAAAAATCGATCTACCTAGGTTTCATTTTTAGAAAATGTCCTTTTATCCCTGTTTTCAGGGAATGAAAAATAACATTCAAATATGACAGTAAATTTAGCCGCGAAAAAAAATGTTATAATAGCTCGGTCGGTAATCAGGCAGCCCCCGGTCCTCCAGGTATCATTCAATTTTATCATACAAATTACTATACTCATAGAACAGGAAAAACCACAATCAATCAACCTACCTATTAAAACAAACAAACACAAACTCAAAATTTCGAATTAAGACGATTACAATAAAATGTAAAAAGTTTGATCATCGGACAAAATATAATAGTTCGATAAATAATCAAATATTCTAGAATCAATTCTATGGTAGCGTCATCTCAGGCAATTTTTTCAATACTTTACCTACGGATGTATGATCGCTATAAAATCGTTTTGTACATAACTAGCAATAAATTCGTTCATATCCGTAGTTTAAGCCCTAGAGACTTCATAATAAAAGTTCATTTGGCAAAAAAAAGTATTTAATTGGTGACTAAACGTGTCCTTCATCATTAAGTTAAAATTGTCTTTGGTTAGAATTTAGGTTATCTGTAACTTACTCGAGACCAGGGTGCAGGGCCAAAGTTACTAAAAATAGCCCAGATAAGGTCACCAGGTTAAATTAATCACTTGAAATTATCTTTAATTGCGAATGTATTTTGCAAGTGGGTGAAAGGCGATCTGATCTAGATAAACATATTTATACACACAGTTTCACAATAAAACACATTAATTTATTCCTGTATTATTAATTATTTCCTGAAAACATGATGTTTTTTATATAAATATAAAAACAAAATACTCCAAGTTTAATATTATGTTTGTATGTCTTCTGTGAGGCTATGAGGCTATGGTCCCCGGATGAGCCAGCCAGGAACAACGAAAGCTGCTGCGTAGCCCTACCACAATTAAATACATATCGTAGAAATTAATCGTCTCCTGCGGTAAAAATGGGGCTCGGTACCACGTTTCGCTGTATAGATATTATAATTCCCGAATGCCATATTACGGTATGGCTGCTTACAACTTGGTTGTAACCGGTGGAAAGTTCTGAGGACGTGGGTATGCACTAAAAACTAAAAGCTTGTTGTCTTTTCCTTTGTAGAACCCTATGCTGTAATCGAGCGTAGACAATCCCAAAAAACATACCCCAATCACACTGAAGACCTTACCCATGTTATATGAAAGACGCAGACTGGTGGTTCCACTCCAGTACACAAATACATTTTTATTTATTTCACGACTGTTCCACGCCCTTTACAAAACTTCAACAAACAGAAGACGACACCTACCCCATGGTATTAGATAGAGTAAAAGACGAATAAGTATTGCGTTGACTCGTTGTAGATTGAAGCGTGGCGTGCTGGCAACAGTTTGGCTGATAGTACGGGGCCGTCGGGGGGTGGAGCTAGAGCCGTTCCCGAGTGTGAGCGCCCACGCGCTGGCCGACTGCGACGCGTTGCAGAACGCCGTGGACTGCCACCTTGACCACTTGGTGAGTACTGGTCTTCACCGATACCCTTAATTGCCATTAAGGGGTAGAGAATCGGTGCCCTATTACGTAACCTTCGTTACGGTAAATATTATGGAAATTCATGTAATAAACCCGAAAGTATTACATTAAAGTAAATTAACGGAATATATACGCCCCACTGCTGGGCAAAGACCTCCTTGTAAATAAAGGGAATAATCCACAACACGACCCCACTTTGGATTGGCACACTTCACATATCTTCGAAATATTATTTAAATAACAATTTGATTATGGAAATATGTAAGTTTCACCTCCTTCGCCGATGCTGAGCACGTAATTAGTCAACTTTGTTAGTAAAATTGGAATTAACAATTACATTGGTGCAGGAACCGGGATTTGAACTCAGGTTGCCCGAGTGTATATTCAATTAAAAACGAGCGCCCGGACACTGAGCTATCACGGCTTTTCTCAAATGTTTTATATTGAAATTTGGAAATGATTTGTGTGTCGCTAGGGCCTAGGTTGGAGCGTGTAAGACTAGATTGAAAGAAAAGTCATTTGTAAAAACGGGAACCTTTCACCGGAGCCGAATATTTGGAATTCCAGTTATTTCAGTTTACAAATCGTGAAATGTGACTTTCACAGTTCTATCGGCCTGTTGATTATCATAGAAAACAATTGCATATTAAATACTGATTGCCTTTATCTTGTAATTTTTAGATAATATTTTTTTAATTTATTTAGCGATGCGACGTTACGAAAATTTTGTTTTGTAAGGTATCTTTAATGTAATAATTCAATGTAAAATCTGTATCAATCTTTTTAACATTATAAGCAGGTTTCGTTAAATACACTACCTCATATTTAACTTTCATTTATAGTAAGGCACTTTCCAAGCGAGTGTCTATATAGACTATGTAGTATCTGAGGTACGCCAAATTGATAGCTTGCAATAGTGCGTCTCTGTTTAGAAATATTACGTGCATATAATTACGCTTTCGCGCGTGCACTTATTCTAAAGTGAATTATTATTAAAAATATACTTAAGTAAAAACAGTATGTAAGTTCCGAATAAATTTATGTAGCCTCCAAGTAAAGTTCCTGAATGGCTTGTTACTCCTAAAATACATAACTATTTAAGTTTGATTCAACACAACTTATGTAATTATTGTCTACGTCGTTCCGTCATTGTTTATCTGATATTGCACAAAAAAATGAATTTTTTATTTATTTTTGTACTATAAAAAAACGCTTAATATTTTAAATATTTGAAAAATTATAATGAACGAATTGAAAATTGTGTGTTGCACCATAACAACTTTTCAAATTCCTTTTAAAGTATATTATGTTGTTTTTAAACAATGCAACTCACATTAGCTCGGACGAAGGTTATTTTATCGTATTAGCTATCTAATAATCTTTATCCTCGCAGTCGTATGTTTGACCGAAATTGATAAATATTCATGTAACCTTTGTGTGTACTCAACATGAAATAACGTAACTATTTCATTTAACCGGTCTAAATCTAGCAAACGTAAAAATAGGACAATCTATGCAATTAAGCGATACATGAACATGGTCGAATCGAACTTACGCTATTGAACTGTGACAGAATTTTTATGATTAAGACCGGGCAATCCATCTAAAATGACGACAAAATATTGAACGATTCAAGACTTTTATTTCACATAAATGCCACATACAGCCAAAAATAAATATTAGGCATATTATTTTGTTTTTAAATTCCCGGAGTTATGAACAATTAACAGCGTAAACGGTCAAACTGAGTTGCTTAACGTAATTTCACAGCTAATCCGTGTTACCAGCAGTTTTTAAGTAGTACGGAATAAAAAAGATAATTAAAAAACAATTCTATAAAATCCGTATAGTAGTTTTATTTAATCGTTCAAAACATTAACTTTGAAAGGGCCAGTTTCAGATTGAAGAAAATAACAGAAGAAAAGACAGAAAATTCTCTAAAATCAAATCCGATTGAAGTTAATATTTATAAACAGATTTACTTTTACGTTTCTTAATCAAGCATTTTAGACAAACGGCACCAGTTACGCGATTTTATTAATAAAAAAATAAAACCTGCTTCAAATATCTCACTCACTGTATATTTTCTTGATTTTGAGGAGTAATTCGAATTCGAATCGAACACAATGCTTATATAATTATTGAATCGGTTAAAAAATGAGGGAGTTCTCTGGTAAAAAAATTAAAAAATACAACCGAATTGAGAACCTCCTCGTTCTTTGAAGTCAGTTTAAAAATGAAATGTTCAGTTATTGATTGTAACCACGGCTCTAGCCCTTGATCTTATACTAAAGGAATGGTGTCGCAGCTGTTCTTATCTCTGTCTCATTATCATCATATCAGCTGTAGGACGTCCACTGCTGAACATAGGCCTCCCCCATTGACTTCCACTTCGACCGGTCGGTACCGGCTTGCATCCAACACGTCCCTGCGATCTTCACTCGCGTAGATCTTCCGTCCACCTTGTGGGAGGTTACGTGGTCTCCACTCAAGAAGCTTTCTGCCCCAACGGCCATCGGTTCTCCGAGCTATGTGCCCTGCTCAACTGCCACTTCAGCCTACTGACACGCTCTGCTTTGTCGGTAACTCTAGTTCTTCTAAGGATCTCCTCATTTCTGATTCGATCTCGTAGAGAAACCCCAAGCATTACCCTTCGCATAGCTCGCTGTGCGACCCCGAGCTTATCTCTGTCTAAACCAAACTAAACGTAAGGGTTGGGTGTTGTTGACAATTCACTTAATAACAGGCATAATCTCATCATAAGACATTCGTCCTCAGAGCACACCTACCAATGCATGAAAGAGACGGAAGATACCTATTCTCATGATATGACAGGTTATAATATAAACCTGTAAATTTATTCAAAAAAGTTTATTTCACATTAAATGTTACAAGAATTATTTATCATTTCACTTTGTCTTGTTATCACTTGGTAAGACGTTCCTACCCACCGGCGACGGCTGAATTGTTGTACTTAACTCTTTACTTATTCACGGCACTCAAGAATCGTGGTGAGTCGATGTGAATTTAATGGCACCGATCGGAGACAATGAGGCGTTAGCCTTCGTTCCATTGTAGCGCGCGTAGGAGTTGCGAAATTCGATCGCAAATCGCACGTAGGTGTTGATAAAACGCGTAAATATTATCTACGGGCTCCATAAGACCTCACTCAATGGCATCTGACGTTTTCATGTCGGGCCTCAATTGAATTTGACATCTGTGTGTATTTTTGAATTCAATTAAAATGCTTTAAATATTATCAATGCTGTATGGCACTGCCCCGTATTTGTGAGACGTTAGGACACGCATTTTACAACATTATAACGGCCACCGGGAACACGGTCCGTACCGAAGTTCTAGCCCGTAGGTGACATTCCTTGCCAATAGTTAACTCACATATGCGCAATTGCGCGGCCCTAACCAACGCAGAGGGCCTTATCAAGCTCATCTGGGTTTTCCTCGAGTTCTGTGTTCGATGAAGCGTTAATAATCTACTGACTGAAGTAAAGCGTCAAAAAATGTAAATAAAGTAATAACGTAAACAGATTTCCAACGTGAATGAGATATATGAAGGTCAAGCAAATATTAATCCTGAGTTTGAATTGCACCTATCTCAAGAGCACGTGTAGCTTACCAAATTATCAAGCCGTCAAAGAATTAGAATAACTATTAGTTAAAGATTACAGATTTTTCTTTTTATTTGTACGTGATAGGAAATCTCTAGAGATACTGAAATGTATCTCTTTTTAATATACTTTATCCCCAAGTTATTCAATAATCATCCCTCTACTATTTTTATTATTTTTTAAATGTCTAGATAAAGGTAAATCAAAATTCACATTTTTAGTGACTGTTATTAGCAAATAATCGCCAAGTAAGCATAACCGTCAGAACGACTGGAATCTATGCCACAAAGCCCAGTCAAGTTAGCCGAAAAAATAGGGACGATGTACAGCCACCACTCTGTATCTCAGAAAAATAAAATATATTTCAATTTAAATATACATAAATCAATAATTTACAATTTTTGTATGATCTATATATTTAAATTTTGTGATAAAACTTACCATTTGGCTAAACCTATGTTTACAAATTTTAAAGTTTTTTTGTTTTATAGTGCTAATCTTTGCACTTAAGATTTCAACATTAAAACATGTAGAAAAAGTACGAAAAGATTGTCGCCGCTGTGGGAATCGAACCCACGTCTTCGGCATTCGCGGCCTGACGCTCTAGCCACTGAGCTAAACGGCTGATAGCCACCTATGTTTACAAACTTTAAACTAGAATATATTTTTTTACAAATCTCAAAACAATGAGGTCTTTTCCTATTTAATTTATGATGGTGTTCCGGTCATACATATAATTTTTTTTTAAGTAGCAGCTAGTTTTTAGTAGTAGCTCTATGCGATCGCTAATTTTGACCGGGCTAACTGGCAGACTAATCATAACTTTGTCTGTTTCTTTACATCCCATTGAAAATCGTCTTCCGATATGTACCTACATGAAAAGCCCACCGATTATTTACCCATGACAAGTGACAAATCGTCACAAGGCTATTGCGTCAGATCGTTCCGTCTTCAATAACAATCTTGTTATAAAACATACATATACAGTTACTGGACAAGAAACTTATAGAGGCACTCTGACATAACGATGGCTGAATAAAAGTTTGCTATTTATAAGTGCCGATGGTAAAATTGCGCTTCTACATTCTTCTTCTATTTGTTGGAGAAATGGCCGCCTATAATTTCACTTATACCTTATAAGGTTTAGACGAAACAATTCTAAACTTTGACATATATTTTATACTCTCCTATTTATAATTTTCGAATTAATCTATACAAAATCTCTTTATTTACTTTCAATTCCGTCTTATTTTTCATTTTTGTTTTTAGCTCTGTATGGCTTTTTCATTTCTTCCAAGAAATCTGGATTTCGTGAACTAGGGGGCCGAGTCAGCGGTAACAGAATCTTGTACAAGAGACCTGTATAAATGTGTTTATTAGCCTTAAAATACGATTTTTGGTATCGAAATCGTACAAGTAAAATACTTACTTCGCGCACAAACTGTTTTATTGCATCAAAAATAAAATTTTATAGGGCAACCTTTGGATTCTCGATACTGGCATAGTCGAAACCGTGGAGTCTCCGCGATGCACCTGTCCACCCAAGATAGTCGTTTTCAACGTCATACTAAAGAAGATGACTAAAGTCGTCAAGCTAAGCTCCATCGTGGAAGCAACATCACAGCTACAGAACATCGCAGTCGAATACGGTATTGGAGGAAAAGTCTTTGCGTAAGTAACAAAATAAGTAGGTACTTACATGTTAATATCACGAATTATGCGTGTCTGTTTACGAACGCCTTACCAAAATGAAAATGGCTTTGATAAACCAAGTGAAGTATAAAGTAACAGCATATTAATATATTTGTCCCACTGCTGGGATAAGGCATCATACTTAAGGTATCAGGAAATAGACCGCCAGGAAACGCCATTGCGATTAGGTGCCCTCAAATGTCAAGTACGCGATCCTTTAATTAAACCTCGTGCTATTGAGTAAATTCTTTTGTATATAAGATAAAATCATTCTCATTGACACCTTCATTTGTCATACAAATGATCACTACTGACACATAATCTCAATCGATAATTTTATTTGCATCCTAAACGTTTGTTTACTAATTGTTTAAAATTATTTCAAGGACAAAGTTCGCTTCGAAACTTCAAGGTTTAAGATATTGGTCTACGGGTGTTGCAAATATCCATGGGCGGCAATTGTCACTTAAGATCAGGTGAACCGCCAGCTCGTTTGCCACTCTCTCACATAAAATGAAATCTTCGGAAAATATTTCCTATTTATAAAGATAAGCAAAAAGCAAAAATATGATGCAAGCATTAGACACAGAGTTTGCAGCATTTTCATAAGGATGCAATGTACATTAACATGTAACATTGTAAGTGAACATTAATATGTACTCGAGTTCGGTGAACATCACTGTCGTAAGCTGTCGAGAATCGCATTGGCATATTAAATTTACTAAACTTTATACTTTACAGAAACTTTCGAATGTACGTAGAAACTCATTTAGATTTAAAACAGCAAACTAATACGATATCAAAATTTCTCGTATTGCTAATAACAGAATGACAAAAGGATGAAATTAATCTAAGCATAATTTAACATAATACTTTTTTAAACTAGCTCAAAACCGAGACCAAAAATCGAGTTAATTTATTTATAATTACAAATAAAAAGACAATCAAATTTGCATAGCATAATATGATTGTGATGTTACATAATATTTAGGTAAAATATCTGCGAAACATCTCATAACAGATGTTAACCAACGATTTCATTCCGTTCACGCAATATCCTTATTATGAAGAAAATAATAAAAATATATATTTTAATGTATGTAATAAGGTATGGTTTTGTTGCAGAAAGTTTCTCAACCAACGACGAGGCGTTGCACGAATTTAAATGAGATTACTATCTCCGACACTAGAAACTGCTTAATAGGATTGCGAAACTTAGTCATTGGAATAATTTTGACTCCTAACAAATACTTACTGTAATGCGCAATTGACTAAGGCTCATTGCGTGGACTAATTGCGATACTAAAATTTATTATAATTAGTAGATAGTCGATCAGTACGATGTGGTTACCCTAAGCTTTATAACTGCTGTGCAATTTATGAAAATTATAGAACATAACAAGTCATCTCGTCCTATAACTATAGCGATTGTAAATTATATGTGTAAATTGGAAAATGAATGTAGCATGTGTACAGGAATAGGTAGCTTTAGTAACCAATATGGGATTTTGGCCGATCGTATAAGCACAGAAGTCTTCTTGTCTTTTTTGTCGAACGAGTGTATTTTCTTAGTAATATTAAGTAGAATTACGTACATACATACTTTTTAAATTTACTCACCGAAATCGGTGAAAAGTTGTGAAAAGTCGTAAATGGTTTAGAATAAAGAATACCGTACCAAACAAACATAGTAAAGAAACGTTATAAATTATTTATGACAATTTTAGATACATATCGGACGCGTCGCGTGGAGCTATCCTAGTCCACGACGTGACAGCCAACGATGGTTGGACGGTCTTGGCGTGTCCTCCTACACCTGCATTGCAGCTGGCAGTCGTCAAACGAGGCCTGTACAGTTCATTGATGCTCATCAGAATGAAACAAAGGGGCCTCTTGGAACTGGACACTGCCGCCTTAAAAAGGAAGAGTTTCCACGCTCCGCTAGCAGGTAACCTCAAATTTGCCGATCGTAAAATATCACTATTCATTTGTGGCGCCCCAAAGTGAATACCTTGAAACACCAAGTTCTGAAACTGATTTTGTTGAAAATCGAAATGGTCCTCAGTAACACATTAAAAAATTTCATTAATATTGAAAGGGTGATGATGCACCAAAAATCTAATATCTTATATTTTAATATTTTCATGAATTAAGAATAAGATAATCTTAAATCATCATCATCCTCCTGCCCTTATACCACCTAGATGAGGTCGGTACAACATTTGAATCATGTTGTAAGCGGTTTTGGCCATGTTTTTTACGAGCAATCTCGCCAATCTCCTCGGGAAACAAACACCCAGACCCAGGTCAATTATTTGTGGTTCACACAAATACTTGTTCCGTGTGGGAATAGAACCCACGACCCTCCGTAGCAACGGCACCAACGAAAGAATTATTATCTTAAATATAAAAACTTAATAATTTATTTTAACTATTTTATTTATGTAAACTTAGGTACGTATCGTATTTTGATCTTTTTGATTTAAAACATTTATTGAATGAAAGATGAAAAACTTGATGTGAATTGAATTATTCTCTTGATACCAATCAATTTTACTTGATTTCCCAATGTTTTATATCTATTGTCTTAAATTATTTAGAGCTTAAATTATTTAATTATATGACTATCATATCGTAACTGCAATGAGTATACTAATCTACAATCTACATTTACCAATTTCAATACACCCTGACTAGCCAAACCCAGTAATTTGTATATTGCAGTAAACACTGACTGTAAAATGCAGTCAGAACCCACGATTAGCTCTTGGTTAGCTAATTTAAACCGGTCTCAATTTTTTTTTCATTTCACTGCACGTGAAGTCTCCTTGTGACCTATAGAAATGCTAAAGTACGGTTACTTAAGTCGTCTAATAATAAACATATTATCTATTGTATTCACAATCAATGAATGAACCGGAAATAGAATCATTACTAGTACAAATTTTGACTGAAATTCATTGATAACTTTTATAGTATCATACACCTTTTAACCAACCACTGTTTTACAAAATTTAGTCCAAAGAACCGACAAGCAACACTGTTTGAAATGATTGTATCAAATTACATTTTTTTCATAATATTATTATTTATAATCAAAAGCAACCATTTCGCAAGACATTTTAAAAATATCAGGGCATAGTCCACGCGGCTCCTCTGCGGATTGGCGGACTTGGCGAAATATTTTTATGTTATTATTTCGAAAATACGCAGGTTTCCTCACGATGTCTTCCTTCACCGCTGGGCACGTGATAGTTCAGCACTTGTAATTAACAACTTCATTAGTGCCGGCACCGGGGATCGAACTCAGGTTGCACGAGTATATTGAATAAAGGCGGGCGCCCGGACACTGCTATCACGGCTCTTGAGCTATCACGGCTCTTGAACAACCGAAACATTGAACCGTTTTCCTATTATTTAATTCATTATCATCATCAGCTTTTTCCCTAGGTGGGATCGGCACAACATGTGAATAATGTTGTAATCGGTTTTCGCTATATTTTTCATCTGTGGGTCAAACAAATACTTATATTGTGGGAATTGAACCAACAAACCCCGATGCCGAAACAAGTAGCTTAGCAACGGCGCCACCAAGTCAATCTATTATTTTTTTCGTAATATTTAATTGAATGTCTAAATAAAAAAAAATCAAATATTTATTACAATAATTGTAACATAATGTTATTAACTACGTCGGGGAAAGCTTCCGTTCTCACCGAGGCTGTTAAACGTCTAGCTTTTACATACGAAAACCAGTTTGCTAGATATCAAGAATGCCACAGACGTCGCTTATTGTCAGTCAGATGTCACGCACGTGACTTCAACAAAAAAAAACTTTCGAATAATGTCCAGAGGTCTCGAGCCGCTACACATGATTTTTATAATTAGACTTCTTTTGGCGCTTTAGAAAAAAATTATGAGGGCAAAATGTTTACAATGAGCGCGCACAGACTTTGTTTGATGTTTGATGCAAAGCAACTGACTTCACGGTATTACCATGGCAAACAATAATGACTTTTTGATATTTACCTTTAATTCATTCAATTAAAGCGTTACTAATTGCATTTAATGTCTTTTTCACAAACAAAGAATTTACTGGCACAGGGGATAATTTTTTAGTTATTCTTCTAGTTATTCTACCCGAATGGTATGGTACATAGTGGGTAGTGTACCTGCCTCTTGCGTCAGACGGTGTGGGTTCGATCCCCTTTATTGGAAAAATGTTTTGTGATCAGCATACTGCTTTTCTAGTGTCCCCGTTTATATATATTTATTTACATAAGAAAAGTATGTTTATGGTTGTGCGTTGCTTAGTTTGGGATTAAAGAATGTTGTGTAAAAATGTCCGAAAAAATGTATTATTACTATTATTACTAAAGAAGTGTAACTTCTTATGTGCGTACATAAGTACACATATACTTTTTTCTATTCAGTTTTAGGTGAGAGCGAGGGCCCAGTGTTTCTACTCGGATACGACGCTCATCGTTTATACCTGCGACATGCAGAGTGCGCAGACGTTCTGTCGTGGGACACTCGCAAGCCGTACAACTCGACCCACGTACTCAACATCCATTCGGCCGGACCCCACATGGTATCTACCTCGGTGTCGAGCGACCCACTAAAGCACATCCTCGTGATACTGGATTCCAACTACGCAGAGACCGTGCGTGGGAAACGAGCCACCTACCACAAGCTGACGTTTATCGGACAAATATAATTTAAACGTCACGAGAAATTTGATATATTGCTAATGGGAGAACGATAAAACTGGCCATGGGATATTACTCAATTGGACGCCGAGCTATTTATAATTAAACGGTCTCAAACGGACGCCACTTGATAACCGGCCTCGGTTTACACAACAGAATATCTGCGAAAAAATTTGGATTTAAATAAGAAAGGATAGATAAAACAACAAATTTGAGGTGCACATAACACTTATATATTTAAAATAACGTGTGGAAGTTAAAATAAACATTTTTAAATTAAAACAACGAACATAATAAGCTATGGATATTCGCAGAAATAAAGACCGTGTTTCGAATAAACTATGAAACTATTTCGACGTAAGCAGTTACGAATGTTGGTTCACTATTTTTAGAGTATGCAGTTATTATGAACAAGGGTAACAAAAAAGCCGGTTTTATTCTAAACTTTAAGCACTCTTTAAAATGGATTAGGTAAAATAGTTATATTTTTCCAGAAGCATAATTATATATTATAAATTATTTTATGTTGAGAGCCAGTCATTTACTCTTATAGTTAAAATACAAATTTTTAAGAAATTGGAAGCGCAATGTATTCTAAATATACATTACATCTAATTTCCTTTGTTTCACTCTTGTATACCCTTCTCCAGCCCGATTCTAAAGTAATTACAAGTATCGGAACGGTTGTAATCTCCAAAGTTCTCCATGAAATAAATACTACAACAAAACTATAACTAAGTAATATTAGATATTCCAAAAATATTTCGAAACGGTTCGCCACATTCCTTAGCATTTGAGATCGATGATGCCTTGGGGAAAATTGTTATTAACGAGGTGGTTGTCACATCATATGGTTGTAAGCACCGTTCAGATTGTTTATTGTAACACTGTTAAAAGAACTATTCAATAGACATAATTAGGCCTTTAGAATGATACAAATAAGAATACAATACATTCGTGACCTATCGTAACAACACGCGTGTCTTTTATAAGTGTATAAATTTATACAATTCCACAGCGGAGTGCGCCGTATAATTCGGGTGCAGTGTCGTTCAATATTTACAATAAACCTATATTCAAAGTAAATATCGTTTGGTACAAAGTTTAATAAATTATACTGTCAAATATACTATAGAGGCCGTATATTTACATTATTTGCATACGCTGCGTTTAAAAATCATTATATATCTTTTAATATATATACACATTACCTGAGATGCATTCTCTGGGGCCGAATTTGAATTTACAAAATTCTATATTTCATTTATCACAAAATCAACACAGACCGAGAGATCTATATGATTTTCTGCCAATATAACATTTTCTTCTATTTCCATACCTTTTTTAAAATCGTTAATACACATTTGTATACATATATTATAGAAAAGTTTAACTACAAATTCTTTACAACCAAGGCACATGTGTGGTATTTTGTTATGATAGCATGTCCATTGGAATTGCACCTACAAATTAAATAAGAAAACCACAACAATGTTCTGAAAATAACAAAAAATCTGTAGTTTACAACAATGTAAAAAAGATAAATTTCATTTTCATTCATAATAATGCATATGCATTCGTTATTCTTTTTTAAAACCGTGTCGTGAGATAAACTCAAGATAGGATCGACATTAAAAAAACCTGATTGAACAATGCTTTTTTTTTTCATTTGTTTAAGAAACTTCAAAACCCACATTCGCTTCAGAGTGATAAGCTAAAACGAATATAGATTTCACTCATTTAAAAAAAATTTCGCTTCCTTTTTGCCAATGTTTTTTGAACCAACGCATCGGAAAATAATTAAAAACATAGAATGAATCAAAATTAAATGGAAGTGATATGAGACATTTATAATATGAGAATGAAACATTGGCGGCAGGAGATCACAAACAGCTGACTAGTCATAATTGTCAAGATAATATTAACATTAAGAGGACACATCCAGTCTGCATGACAATAGACACTACAACATGTAAACATAAAAAAGCTTCCAGTTCCAAACTGAAGTGAAATAAAACACCTATCAAAATGAATAATACAAACAGTGCTCGAGTATACTAAAAGAAATCATTTAAAAACAAAACGTTGCAATTAAATCGAATAAATAGAACTTCTTGTGAACGAAAAACCAGACTTCAATGAACACGAAGCTATACATGCAGCAGACCCTTATTGATTATTTTTTCAATCAATTAACTTTCAAAACGTGTCCCTAAACCGCCAATGTTCGGAGCCTCTGTTGCACAGTCAATCTAAGGTAGCCTAGGGCACACAGCGTTTGTAAATGTACGTCAAGTGTCATCTAAACGAAACCCTCAGATCTAAGGTTATTTGTGTAAGGTAATAGGTAAGGCGAGCGCACACCGACTGCGCCGTTAGCTGCTCTCAAGTGGATATTCGAGTTTTCCAAACGGAAGACTTTTCACCTGCAAAAGGGACATGTCGTTAACGTCACAAGTTCTACTGGCAGGGGGGGGGGGGGAGATAAGATTTTTACGGATAATTTTTTTAGACCATTCTTCTTCTCCTTTCTCCTGCCCTTCTTGCTCTCTAATATATTCTAATCTCCCCTATGTATGAGAGGTCGGACAGGATTTTATACGATCCTCACTATCTGATGTTAACCTCATTGGGAACAAACAACCAGATCCGGGACAATTATCTGTCGGGTCACACAGATATTTGTCCAGTGGAATTGGGAGTCCAGTGAATTTGGGAATCGAACCCAAGAACCATTAACCACATAATGTATAAAATGTTTGTAAATCAGATGTTCAGTAAGAACTGGCAACATTAAAATTAAATTTATTTTTATATGGAATACAAATTTATATGTGTACATATAATTATGTGATATATTTTATGTATGTATACATAATAATGTATGTATTGTATATTGGTAACAGTGTCAGTGTTAATAATAAAATATATTTTTAATTAAAATTTTAGATAGACAATGTTTTAGGGTTTAGATAATAGATTACCTTGCCAACTAGTTTGTTTTGGGTCCGATCCCCACATGGGACAATTCTAATTATGCGTGTTTGCGACACAGGAATAGTTTCCAAGTGCAAGAGTCGTAGAGAATTTAAAAAAGTTTGAAAAAGTTTGGAATGATGTGGCGCTAAAATATATAACAAAATCTTTTCCGAGAAACAATCTATAATTATGATAAAAAATAATCATAACCCGGCCAACGTTGGGTGTAATGATTGATGATGAGATCACTTTAACAGTATAAAATTGCTAACCTGTTCTATGAGATTCCCCGGCGACGTGGTTCCCGTGACGCGGCACGATGTACTTCGACTCCTGGAACATGGACAGCATCAGGTCCTCGGTGGTCGGGTGGTACTCCACGCCGTTTATGCTCGCCACCAGCGGGGAGCTCTCGTAGTTCCTCGCCGCGTCGCGGTGGGGGGGCGAAGCGCCGCTCCTGGTCGGGTAGTCGACCGACCTCGGCCTCCTGGGGTCCACGGGCGTCATCTTGGGGTTGACGTGGACGTCCTTGTGGATGTACGGCTCGGCGAGAGTCTGCGGCTCGCTCTCGTTCTCGCTCAGTTCGTCGTTCGTTCCCCGTTCGTTCGGCTCGCCGTCCGTTCTGCCGCCGCTCACCTCGACGATCAGCGGCCTCTGGAGGGTTGGCGACTGGACGATCGCCGTGCTGTGTACGATCGGCGTGAAGCTGTTCTCGGTGAGCGCCTCGCTCGGTAAGTCTACACTCGGTGTGCTCCTAGCGGGTGAGGGGCTTCTGCGGTCTTCGGGCTCCGAGTCGTCTTGCGGGGCCCGTTTGCCGCTCTCCGGCTCCTCCCTCAGCTCGGTGAGGCCCGGGGCTTCGCCGGCCGGCTTGACGTACCTCGGCATCAGCAGCGCCCAGTGGCCTTTGTCGCTGGTCGAGCACGAGTGCACCACGGTGGGCCTCTTTCGCCTGTAGAACAGCATGTAGACGGTGTTGTTCACCAGCTCGGCGTGCGCGCTCCGCCCGTCGACCGGCGTCACCCGCGAGTCGTCGAACTTGTACCAGCGGCCGTCGTAGGGGTTCTTGCAGGCGGCCGTGTAGTGGCCCGTTTCCAGGTCGTCACCGTGGTGGTAGCAGATCGCGTACAGGTCGTACACGTTGTCCTGGGGGCCGGCGGGCGCGGCCTTGGCGTGGCGGCGGCGAGGCGAGCGCGAGTGGCCCGGGGAGTCCCCGCTCGGGGCGCCCCTCCGCACCAGGTGCGGCGTCATGTCCAAGTCCTCCAACGGGAACTCCACCATGGTGGTCAGTTTAGTGCTGGTGCGCCCCTTCGCCTGTCTGCAATCGTAATAGTGAAGTGGGTAGAACGCTCGCGAAATACTCAATTGGTTATCGATCGATCGGTATCGTACTCACTGTCGAAATCTCTTCAAGTGAATGACCAAGATGTCCGGTAGCGACCAGAGCCCGAGCGTCTTGACCACCGGCATGTACCTTTGGCATTGTGGACACCTGTAAAACAAAGTTCATAAGATGAAGGTCTATAATTAATATTGTTTGAAATATTATTATTTTCATACACTTTAATAAGAGACAAAACGTGTATTCCATCGGAAAGTCATATCGATATCATAGATACGACGTCGTCTACGTATCATAGATACGCAGACGACGCAATCGACACTCATTCGACCGATACGCATTCCACATTATTTACGAGCAGGTGTTCTATTTTTAAGGTATGTATGATTGACAGCATCCACATTACCTACATATTCTTTTGTGTTTTGATGTATAAAACTTAACATACTTGTGCGGCTCAAATGTGTGCGTGCGTGCGTGTGCGTGCGTGTGCGTGCGTGCGTGTGCGTGCGTGTGCATGCGTGCGTGCGCGTGCGTGCGTGCATGCGTGTGCGTGCGTGCGTGCGCTCACCTCCATGCGTCCTCTTGCGCGAGGTGCTCCGCGCGCGTGTAGTGCGCCAGGCAGGCGTGGAGCGTGAGCGGCCCGCAGCCGCCCCGCGCGCCCACCGCCGACACGTGCACCTCGCACGCCTCCCCCGCCTCGCGGATTATGCTGAAACGCATCTCGGAACATAAGAACAAGCGACCCGCCCCGGCTTCCCACGGCTTCCTCTTCAATCTATCTATTAAAAAAAACCGCATCAAGATCCGTTGCGTAGTTTTAAAGATCTAAAAATACATATGGAATACATATACAGAGCGGCGGGACGACTTTGTTATTTACAATGCAAGCAATATCGGCTAATACTAGGGTTGCCAACTACACTATAATATTTATGTGTTATTTCTCAATGGTATTATGTCGGAACGCCATAACTTTCATGATTATTTATCAATTTTAATGACTTCTGCGCCACATTAAAGCTTACTTTTGCCGTTAATGAGAAAAAATATTCAAGTTCAATGATGTAGTTAATGTTTTCTTAAAACCTTTATCCATAAAATATTTCGTAAACTAGAACTGAAGAAATATTTTCAGCCAAGGTTAATACATATAATTTTTTTTAAATCAATATCGTGTTATTAATTTAAAAAAATGTAGTGTTATACATATGACATCGATATCGTCATGGCTCATTGAATGGTGATACGAGTGCAAAGTGAAGTGAGCAACAAATCACTTTCGGTACTGACTAGCTATAATTTGGCACGGGACAAGTATATTATATGACCAACAGAATGTTCAACAAGGGGGCAGGACAAAAACACAAAATTCAAAAATAACAACAAATTCAAAAAAAGACTATTTATACCTGTCTCTGTGCGCGGGATCCCACAGCAGCTCGAGTCGCAGATGCGGATACTTGTCGTGCGCGCACAAAGCTTGCTCTACATCCAGAGCGAAGAGCGGATGTGGAAGCTGCAACAAGAAGAAATCATGAACCACAAGAACCACCGAGGCCTCTCCTTTAATTATTTTTTTTCTTTAAACAATGCCCTTGCTGTAGGATAACATGATCCTGAGTTGAAGGACTTTTACATACATAAATTTCACGTGAACAAACACCCAGATCCGAAACAATTATTTGTGTGCTACACAAACAAACTAATGGTAAACAACGTTAACTGCTGCATAGGAGGGAACTGTGGCCAACATTACTTTGGGCTTTCTCACCTTGATCCCCGATGCCGGCGCCATTGAAATTGTTAATTTATACTGACCTATCACATTCTCAGCGGTGAAGGAAAACATCGCGTGGAAACATGAATATTTTCGAAACAATAAAATAAAATATTTGGAGGATATGTGAATTCCGCCAATCCGAAGTGGGGCCGCGTGGTGGGACTGTGCCCCGATACCCCCTGTACAGGGGAGGCGTTTGCCCAGCGCTGGGACACGTATAGGCTGTTACTTTACTCTACTTCTCTCACCTCGGGCTGAAGGTATGCGGGCGTGTGGGTGTCGGCCAGCCGAGCCCTGAAGATGTCCGCCCCCTGCGCCCTCTCCAGCACCCGCTCGGCCACCACCTGGCACATCTCCTTCAGCAGCAGCTTCTGCAGGTCCTCGTAGGAGACCTCGCGCGGCACCTGCATCGCGTACGGCGAGCCTGCAGAGCCACGCCCGAAAGCGGCGTGAAGAGGAGGCGTCAATCGAGGAATCAACTAACCGGAGCGGTTATTGATTGGTGGATGTAAATCGCGCTAAATGACATCATTTCTGCTGATCCTATCGCCCTTGACGTGAAATGTTATTCAGTGATGTTGAAGCTTTGGATCTTGTCAATAAAAGAAAAGCGCAAGAAAAGTCTGTAGTGGTTTCATTTAACGAGAGATTAAATTTTCATTTTCAGTTCGAGACATTAAATTCGATAGTTAAGTAATGAAGTTCACCAGATCACCTCGGCCCATAAACGTCTTTCAAATCGGATGAAATACAAAGGAATGGACACTTTCAATTCCCGGCTATATTCATTACGAACCCCGTAATTCACACGTTAAGCCGACCTAATCATTCAACAGCCGTAACCGCTTTATGGCTTGACCGACTACGGCTACGGCTCTACGACCGGTAATCAAAGGATTTGAATAGATTGGGCACTTACCAAAGCGTTCGCCGTCGAGGAGGTTGACCCACAGCAGGAGTAAGTAGGGCGTGGTTGGCGTCTGCAGCAGTGGCGGCACTTCTAGGCAATATAGGGCGCCAAAGTCGATACCGGCCACCTCCCAGCCAGCGCGAGCGTTGCACCAGCCTGCGAAGAGAACAGCTGGATTTTTTGGTATGTCACCGACTTCCGTCTTTGAAAACGATTGGAGGTATTTCAAATGGATAGTTTTTTTTGGTCCCGTGTCACCATCTGGAGCTTAAGCTTCCGTCTTTATATATGAAACGATTCGGTTTGGCTTTCATGTGGTCCCGTGTTATCATATTGGAGCTTAAGCATATATATATGTATATATATATATACATAATAAGTGAAGCTCATTCGGAGGGAAATTTTTTGAAAACTAATGATGTCTAGTCACTAAGCTACACGGTCGACAGTTTTGCGAACATTATAGCAAAACTGTCGACCGCTTAGCTGGACCCTTCTCTGTACATAGGGTATTAGGGCATAGTCCTCAACGCGACCCCGCTGCGGATTGGCGGAATTCGTACATCTTCGAAATATTTTTTTTGTTATTATTTCGGAATAATGCAGGTTCCCTCACGATGTTTTCCTTCACCGCTGAGCATGTCAGAAACTTAAAAGTGTATTAACTTAAGAGTGTATTGAATTAAAAGCGAGCGCACGGACAATGAACTAACACAGCTGCAGTGTGCCAATGAATTAAACACACACACACACACACGTACAAAAAAAATCACCCCGTCGGTTGTTGTGTTGGGTAAATAGCCGGATATACCTGTCTCGCCGATCTCCGTGAGTATGATGTGGTCGCGGTCTATGCCGGTGTCGTTGTGAAGAGTGGTGCGCAGCTCGTCCATTGTGGCGGTCGGCGGTAGCTCAACGCCGATGCGCACCTGACGCGGCTGCTGGTTCACGTACACCACCTGTAATGCGAGCATAGGGATGTCGAAACATTATCCATGTATCGATATCAACATTTCCAACCGATATATTTGGATCCAATATATCGATACAAAATATTCAGTATCAAAAATCATATCAAACGCAATATTTTTCAAATATGAATACAGCACAGAGTTCGAAGGTGTGAAATGTTCATGTTATTTGAAATAACTTTTTATTTATTTATTTTTTTTTTGGACTAAGGGGTTTCTAAGATCTATATCCGATATATCGATACGTCAATATTTTCTCTTCGATATATCGAGGCCGATGTTGATATTTTTATAAATATCGATATATTGATATATAGATATGGAAAAAGAAGATCACACGCTATACACTCGTTGACACAATTCTACTAGTGTAATACCGTAGACGTCGGCAGTGCTCAAGACTAAGCCCGATTTACATGGTTCAAGGACAGTGGCGCGTAGTGAGTACGAGTACAGTGGCCACAAGTGACTGTATACACTACAGTTAAGTCCAGTGGCATTTCTCTGTCCAAATGTACGAGTAATGTCAAAAATACGTGCAATTGTTGCCACCAATACTCTGTGCTAATTTGACTGTTCACACTACTCCAAATGACGAGTCAAGTGCCGCACGGGGCCATAAGCGCGCGCGCGAGGGATGCACTTGCAACAAAAAATAGATAGCGAGTCTATTTGGATCTAGTTGAAAGGCAGCTTACAAGCTAAGTTGACTCTGTACTGTCCGATGGTTTACACCACTATACTTACCTATTTCACTAAACACTTGACCAGCATAAATCGGGCTTTACATCACGTTTCACCGGTACAGTCGTGTACAAAACATTTAGCGGAAGGTGAGTCTGTATATTCGTGCAGACTTTACGGAAGGACTTGCCGGTGTATTCGTGTTTTAAACTATTCGCAACGGTTTGTCAGTTTATTATAACTTTCGAATTTCTACAGAGCAATGCTTAGGAGCGTTCATGCTCATGTTTCTAAACAATTGAACGGATGATACGTCGTAAATTTAAAACACTTTACTGAAGACATTTTCACACAACAATTTGCCAGTGTATTGATGTTTGAATCCTGGGTTTATACGATAAAATCACGTTAGAGATTTATTTATTTATATTTACACTGAAAGTTCTAAGAAAATCATAAAACAGCCCAATGTAGAAAGATGCCAATGCTTTTATTGTGGTTTGAAGTAGTCTCCGTTCCTCACTAATCATACATCTTCGCATTTCATTTAACCACTGATAAAAGCAGTGGGCCCACTCTTCCTTGGCGGTCTCTTCTACGGCATTTTCAAACGCACACACCGCAATACCTAGGCTCGTAAAGCGAATACCTCGAAGTATATCTTCGATCCTTGTAAATAAGTGAAAGTAGCTGGGCACCAGTTCGGGACTATATGGCGGATGACTCATTATCTCGACACATGCCATATTCAACTATTCAATTTTTCGTTTCGCGGAGTGCGGTGAAGCGTTGTCGTGGTAACAGAGGACGCTGCTGTCGAACATTGTCCAAGACAACATGCAAACAACAATTATCATACCAGTCTGCAGCAATTTTCCCACCATTTTCCAGCACAGATTTCGCCAAATGACGTTTCCGACCAAAAAACGAGCAACCATCTTGTTTTCCTTGACTCCTACCTTCCTTTACTTTAGTTGGCCTATTGTTATTAAGAGGAAACACGCACTGAGCAGATAATCTTTTGGTTTCGATTTGGATCAGATTCGTAGTAATATATCCAGCTTTCATCACCTGTGACCACGCCAAATACAGCATAAGAGTCATCTTTGTTGAAATTTTCCAACATTTCGCGTCGCACATCCATGCGAAAGTCTTTCTGGTCTTCAGTAAAAGTATGAGGTCATGTAATATTAGTTGTACTTGACCCATACCAATGCCTAAGCTTGCACGAATCTATTGGTAGATCGCTCTCTTATCTTCCTCTATCGCTTTACATAGCATTGACGTTATCTTTATATGTCGCTGTTAAGAACGTCTCACACGCAGATCATCGCTAAGATTGCTACGCCTAAACTCATTAAAGCAATTGTAAACAGTTGTATGGAATGGGCAAGGCTTCAATATTAAATGTTCATCGAAGTCTATATATCACAGCATTTTTGATGAGTAAGACCACAAAAAAAGTCGTAGTAAATTATGGACCGAAAATTTTCTCACATTAAATTGTTTTTGAGGTGTACCAAGGCTTTTGGAATTGCCGCCAATTCACAGAACCAAAAGACAAATGAACACACATTAGGTTACCAAAAAGTTCTATATTCAAAATTTAAAAGATGTTCTCATTGGCAATTCTTCTAACTGTCCAGTTCTAAAAACCTTCCGTGGTATAAGCTATCAATAGTTATAATATTATACTGATTATTATTCAAATGACTCTGTGGCGCAGTTGCTAAACTATGCATCAGAACCAGGTTCGATTCCCACATGAAAAAGGTATGTCTAGGGTTAACTTATTTCAGTAACTTACATTTACGGGTAGTGGGGAAGGTTGGACTGTATTAAGTCTTGTAGGCAGTTGCACGCTGACACAGTGGAATGGATCAAATGTACATGATGTCCGCTCACATTTGGCACATGTCAAAGCCGACCTATGGAAGCAATAGAAAAAAGTATTAATAATATAGTATGCTCTAGGAACAAGAATTTTTTAAACATAATTATATTAGACAACCTGTCCTTATTTATATAAAGTGGGCTTTATAGGAAAAATGTCACTTAAGTATATAAATGGATAAGTTAATGTCAGCATTTAATACATATGAAAAAAAAATTCAGTCCTGTTTACCATGTCCAGTAATCCTGACATTCTGAGCATATTTTTATTACATTAATCACATAAAAAGAAAATATTGCTTATTAAAATTACTTTATTTATCCCAAACAACAGTTTAACTTTAAATATATCAATTTCAATGACCAATATTAATTATTTAGAAAACCTATTACATATTACTTAGATTGCCTTACTTAGATTACTTGCCGCAATGCTAAACTCGCATAATGCATTTGGAATTGCATGTGTTATTAAACATTAAACTAAAATTACCTATACTGAGCTTGAAAAACAGCCTGTACAAAGGAACTGTTCCTTCTTGCATGATTAGCCAATGTTTCAGCTGCTACCACCTCATCTGGCTTACCACCTGTATTCTAAAAAAGGTGCCTTTGAGGGATTAAAATGCAAACTATAAATATTATACATATTTTCTAAAATTAGAAACAGTTTATAACAGTTATGGGGCTTCTGGAAGAGATCTAATAAAAACAATCACTTGCAGTGGCTTCTTTACCTAGGAGTTATTTTATACTAAGTGTGATGATAAACTAATATTTTCAGTGTTTTAATCATAAAAATGTACATCTAATTCCATTCTAGAAAACATGTTATATCACATAGACAGTTAGCACTAAGACTTTTAATAAAATAAATATATATGGCGCACAATGCTTTTTGCGCCCCTTTATCAAATTGTTTTGAAATACTTTTTATTTAAATTTAAGGAAAATCATACTGAATCAAATGTAACCGTAGAAGGTAGACCTAGAGGTAGACTAAAAAAAGTTTGGACTGAGTGAAGAATATGTATGCAAAAAGCTGGGTACAGAGATGATACCAGATTGCAGAAAGTGGAATAGAAGTACATGTATAACCAACACCATGTTGGGCAGGAAGAAGGCAATAATTAAAAAAACCTGATGAATGTTGCCTTTTGATATTTTGGATGAATACATTTGTGAAATAGGCTGTGAGAGGCTTAAAAAAAAACAACCTAAGGTTTCACAGATTGTTATTAAAAAACTAATAATATGACATTTACCCATTATGTTAACACAACCATACGAAATAAATGATTACTATACAAATTTGTGTTGCTCAAACCTTAATTGTTTTATACTTTTTCTTTGTGGCAGTGTTTAAATCTTCATGGACTTTGTCAAGTAGCCAAAAGAGAAACTCTTGTGCATCATGTTGACTATTTCCTCGATATTGTGTACCATGTCTTTCAACTGCACTCTGATGGAAAAATAATCAAATTTGAAAACATAATATAAAGTATTCAATCAAACTTTTGCTAAAGTATTTAATAAACCAAAATTAAGATCAAGTATCTGACATAAAACAAGATGTTTTAGTAACACAACCACCAGTATTTACCTTAAACGCAATACTCATATCAGGAGTATATCGACAGGACCACAAAGCTTTCAATAGAGCAGCTAATTGTTCAGTAACTTCACCACGGGTACCATACTTTTTAGAGTTAATCTTGTTTCTCTTTTGCAAATCCACCTTTAAACAAAATGAAAATAATGATTCCAATATAATTGATAAAACATTTTCTTGCAAAATTTAACAAGTACCTTGTAGTGATCTAATACAAAATATTCCGCTATAACATCTGTGTGTGAAAGGCACTGAAGAACTGCATTCATATAGCAAGTATTTCCATGATTCTTGAGTCCAGTTGCAGCAGGGGTTGCTCCTGGTGGCCATGGAGGGTCACCACTGCACGGTACTCGTTCATTGTTTATAATTGACGGCGCTGCTTTAACCTTTATTCAATAAAACACGGATTTTCAATTTTTTACCAAAATAATGGTTATAAAAATGTTATTTGTTTATCAAAACTTACTCCTGATACATTCACTGTACTCATATGCTGCGCTATTTTATTTAAGAATATTTTCCACGATGGCCTTCTAAATAACTTCCTTTCCACAACACCTTCATCTTTTTGAGTAGTTCCAGCGATTGTTCCAGTTGTAGATTTATTGTCATTATCACTGCTTTTATTTCTACTAGAACTAGGTCTAATCGTACCGAAGGGGTTGCGAGGTAAAGTAAAAGTACGTTTTAGTCGGGATCCTTCCACCTGTTTTGGTGTCATGGCAGCCTCAGCAACCTCATTAATTAACTCACCCTCAGAGCAGGACTTTAAAACTGATGATAGATTATTAGTGGACATAATGTTATATTAAATAATTTCTTTTATTTTACATAATTTATTAACCGTAATGAAAACCAATTAGAAAATATTGATATAAAACTGACAGCTGCGCCATTTTGTTTATTATCTATGGGTCTAAGACATGACATGACCATATCTAGGATGCGTTCAAATTACAACACCTGAAAAAGTAAATGCAAGCATTGCAATGGGGAAGAAAACTGCCTTTTTATCACGGTAGCCACTGAAAGGTAACCCTTATTGACAGCTGTAAATAGACGTCACCGATTTGTCACCTGATCGGTGATTAATTGCGTCAAGCGCCTACGTCATGGCTGATTAAAAGTATATTTTCTAGCAAATAACGGCAGCTTAAGCGAAATAAAAAATACGTATATAAAGCTGAAACTATAAGGAATCAAAATATGTGTAAATTAAAGTACAACTATTAATCCAAAAGAAAGAATTAAATATTAAAGTTGAGAATATTTGTTAAATTTCACGTAAATATTTTTTTAAACAAGTTTTTACAAATAAAATTGTATCAAATCTCATTTGATATTTATTCTTTACTAAACTAGACAATATAAGCTTTAATTTGATACCAAAAGTGTAAACATTCATTGTGTAAACTTTATACAATAAACATAAACATAGACCATCTACTTGAAATCGGACACTCGATTGTTTTTCAATGCGACGGCAAGATGGCCGCCCATAAGGCCATAAACACGGCTATTCATCTACTTTTTTATTATTTAGTTAGAAATATTTTGTTTCATAAATAGGTACATGACATTCTTATATTTCTAAATAACATATATATTAACATGTATAACACATTTTTATTTATAAAATATATTTTTATTAAATTTAGGTATATAATATACATATTTAGTTATGACACATTTTTTTAATATTTGAAATGAGCATTTATTGTAGATATGTATTTATGATATTGTAATAAAAAACAAAAAAGCATAGTAACAGTATGTGAGCTATATCTCAGCTAATATTATTTATTTTACGGCTGGTGATATGCCTTAAAACAGCCCTCAACGCAAAGATTAATGTCGCGCTCCTGGCATTTCCAAATTTTTCACTATTGTTCCAGTATTTTTTGAAAACATCAAACAGGAAGGGGTTACTTTCAACATCGGTGTGGCCTGCTTCTTCTTTGAAATCCAAAAGCCTTAACGACTTACATATTTCTTTGAATAAACTGAAATATTAAGCGTAGTTACGATTAGTACGTAAAATGAAAAAGATAATTAAGCTTGTTCATCATTCTAAAAAAAAAATCATTAAAAATAGAAATTGAAGTAATATAAAAATTAGGGCGGAAGAATTTAAAATATACACACAAAGCACATAAGCCTTGGTCTGATTTCCACCCAAGCAGCACAGCACTATTAAATTATATTTTTCTTTTTGTGTAGTTTTATTTTTTTTCCAAAAATATGAATAAAATTTAACGAATACGAATATTCACAAAAAATTTACCTCCTAAAAAATTTTCATTTATATTTTTCTTCCTTAATTTAGGCAGAAAATTCTTAAGTAGTAAGTTGGCATCCCTTACTATTACGTGCTAGGTACCAATGCAATCCAGCTCAAGGTTAAACAAAATTTAAAGACATCGTTAATACCGTAATTCGTATTTAAATGCGACTAAAAATTTTTTTTTCCATGCTGTTAAGATTCAAAATTACTTAACTACGCGCTTTGTCGCCCGTTACGGCTCAAGGCTAAACAAAACAATAAAAATATACTTAATAATATCGTTGTAGTAATCGTTGATACCATGATTAGTATTTAATTGAAACGGATCTTATTGATATGGTTTTAAGATTCAAAATTACTTAACTTATTCAAAATATCTGTTTAAAAATCTGATATTGTGCCTTGCTTGCCGTACTGCTCTCTGTTTAACTAGTGTAATATTTGTATCTCACGCGCTTTGTCGCTCAAAATCTGTTTTAACTAAAAATCTGATATCGTGCATTGCTTGCCGTCCCGCTCTAACTAGTGAGTATTTATATCTCACGTGCTCTGTCGCTCGATATCTGATATCGTGCATTGCTTGCCGTCCCGCTCTAACTAGTGAGTATTTATATCTCACGCGCTCTGTCGCTCGATATCTGATATCGTGCATTGCTTGCCGTCCCGCTCTAACTAGTGAGTATTTGTATCTCACGCGCTTTGTCTCTCGAAATGTTTAAAAATCAGATATTGTGGCAAACGCGTATGATATCGCGATTCGTGTCGGTATAGCGAGCGAGCACGTTACATCAGATTTTGGAAATATCAGATATTGTAAAATACATATTGAACGAGCCAGTAAGCGATATTCGGATATTGTACTAATATCTAGTTTTCATATCTGATACGATATGTATCGCCCACCACTAAGTAGATTCTTCAGTGTAAGTCAAACTACCGTTTCAAATGTTTTTATAACTTTCATTAATTTTATTCACCAATTGTGGAGTAAATGATTCAATCTTTATTGAGTAAATTAAATATCTGGCCAGAAAAAGATTTGGTACAATATTATATGCCTCAGAGTTTCAAACTTTACAATAGTAAAACACGTTTGATATTAGATGGAACTGAGATAAAAGTTCAAAAACCAGAAAATCCTGTCTCTCAACAAGCCTCCTGTAGCAGTTATAAGAACGCAAATACTTTAAAAATACTAGTTGGAACTACTCCAGGTGGATTATTGTCGTATTGTTCTGAGGCTTATGGTGGATTAGTGAGTGATCGACAAACTGTGGAACGCAGCAATTTATTACAGAAATGTGATCGTGGTGACATTATTCTTGCTGATAGAGGCTTTAATATCCAAGATTTATTTGCAGGAAAAGATATTACTGTCAATATACCTACTTTTTTGAAAGGAAAGTCACATATTCCAGGTCTAACTGTACTTATAATATACACACACATTTACATACACTTGTTAGTACCAGTGCTAAATTAACTAGCAATAAAATGACATTGACCTAATTATAACATACTAATATGTGCTGAAATTATATTTTATCCTGTATTTAATTTATCATAGTTTTTATACAATACTTTTTCTAAAATGGCTTTTTCAAAATAATTGTTATAGAAAGTAGCTAGTTTAGATAACAAATTTATTTTATGATTTATTTAATAATGGCTTTTTCAAAATAATTGTTATAGAAAGTAGCTAGTTTAGATAACATTTCTGATATAAATGGTTCATTTCTATAAACATACACCACTTTCATATCAATGAAAGTATATATTATTAAATTACAATATTTTCTGTTAGTACAGAACAACTGGCCTTGAATTTGGTAGTAATAAGGATGATTCTCTTTTAAATATAATTCACCACCCCTTATTTGAAGATATGGTACTGTTACAGTATTTATTTTACAAAATCTTGGAACATATGGACATTTCACTTCTATTAGTGTCTCTTCCCCGATCAGTCCATCAGGGGAAGCTCCCAAGTATGGATGTGTTTCCGATGTAAATAAACCACACTCTTGCACATCTAAATCATAATCTTGACAGTACTTTTGTATTGCTACGGGCTCTTGCACCTTGCCATGAGCTGTAGCCTTGCTGGAAAATGGCTTTGGATATAATAGTTTTTCAGCTAAATGTTCCTACATCCCTGTCTTGCTATGGGTGATAGAGTAAAAATTACTAGCTGTCAATCTATGCAACCTTAACTTGTGCCATTCAAGAGATTTATTCTGCAATCTGGTTTTTGCTTCTATATCAATAACCTTCTCTTTAGTTAAATTTTTTAAAAACAATTCTTCTAAGATTTGATCTTTTAAGCTTTTCTTCAAATATTGATGATCCAATTCTACAGCATATGGGTTAGCTGGCTTTATTGTTTGTAATATAGGCATTGTTGTATTACCATGTGAAATGGCCAAATTTCTTACATAATCTTCATAATTATCCATTATGTCTTCTTCTGATAATGGTGAATAATTCACAATCTTTTTTCTTTTATTAGGCAGCTTTTGAGCTTGCATTGGTGAGTCAAAGAACACTTTCTTTGGCCATTTGAAATTCATTAGCTTTTGAGTGCATACTTGATGTAGTATGATTGTTTTAGTGCGTACCATATCTTCAATACCATGTAATAACACCATAACATGCTTGCAGTGTGCTTCTACACCACTGCCAGCAGCGCATTCACAGTGACTTTGCTCAATGGAACCATCTCTATTTAATTTTACATTGACCACATAAGCAATTTTTTTCATTTGGGCTTTACATTGACCTTGAATAAATGTCATATTACCATCGAATGCAACACGAGCAGTTAATAAAAATCGCGACTCGTACATTTGCCTGCTTTCATTTGTGCTTGAAATCTGCAAGAGAATTGACCAATTAATTAACAGTAAAATATGTTTATTAGTCGTAACATTCTTATAAAAATACACTATATAACTACACTAACCTTTCCACAAATGCTGGAATATGTTGTTTAGTCAATTGAGGCAGACACGAGCTTGCATTAATATCGCGGTAATGTTCAGCAGCCGGAGCAGTATATGTTTCGTCTTCCTTGTCATCATCCACACCAAAATTGGCGTTTCGATCATAAGCTTCTAATCTACAATCACAAAAACTTTAACAGCTTTGATGAAATTACAAAAAATACCTTAGAGAAAAAGTTATAATAATAAACTTTTTCTCTACGTATAATTTTAAGATGATTATTTCTCACATACCTTTCGATTAGACAAGCCTTTTTACCTACAACAGAAGCTTTAGGTTTTCTTAACTCATCCTTTAATTGCATTACGGTCATCATGGAGTACATTTTCGCAAATAATTTTAGGAAAGAAAACTGGACACAAGAAAATAATAACACAGCAATGGCGGAATAAAGGTATGATCGCCAGAAGCGACATCTACAATTACCTTTGCGTTTTGTTCCCCATTGAATAACACGTGAGCATAAAATAATAGTTTTAATTTATTAAATAAATAAGATCAAAAATAATTAATGTAAATCATTAATTGGTCAATAGTGCCTACTCTTCCTTTCATACATGATTTTATTTTTTACAAATATTCATAACTTAAAATACATAGAAATATTTTATTAATTTATCAATATTAATTCAATGAAATTGGCGTTATAACAATTGCGACAAATGTGAAAAAAATAACAGGACAGGACGACCAGCAGCTGTTGTCCTTAAAATACAGTATGTTCTGTCTGTGCAACAACTTGTCAAACGAAACGTCAAAATCAAATAATATTCGCACTTACACTTAATTTCTTATGAAAGTAGCGATTTAACGAGAAGCTTACAAAATGGTACAAGGAGATCAACCACCACAAGATGATAATTTGTTCAGGGCTTTCGCTCATGCCCTTTATACGACGGTAGATGCACCAGTAACGTGGTTTAGAGGTACAGTGTAAAAAATTGTTTGTATGCATTGTTATGTAAGTCACACTATAATATTATGAATCTTAATATCTTGCAGAAAAAGTAGTAGAACCTAACCAGAAGAAATATCCATGGTACCATCGCCAATATCGCCGCGTTCCTACTATCGACCAATGTTATTCCGATGATCCGGTTTGTGATTTTGAAGCTAACACGCAGTTTAAACGCGATAGGTGACTTTTTTTTACTTTTAAAGCATTGACTTTTGAGTATTAACTATTACCATCATTGTATGATTCCCTTCCCCTCTACATTTCTTTTTATATTAATTTTTCCCCCATAATTCACCATTTTTATAATTTATGTGACTATTACATGTAATAAAATTAATCTTTGATACAGGTTACCTGTCTAATATAACTTGTCTTCGTTCTATGTAATTCAGCAGATAATAACTTAAATTTTCTATTCTTATCTTAAATAGGTATATTTTTAATTCCCTTATATGATCCCTTATGCTAATTCCATGTCGAATATGCTTTAAACCCAACCACTTAATCATTTTCCTGTATTCACATTAACACTAGCAAATACCTGCATAAAGAAAAAAGAAGATGTTGGAATTTTTTAAATTAACAGGGAAGTAAAAAAGGGAATATCTTAAATATAATATATAAAGAATCTTTTTATTATATTCCATATTTACAACATTAAATCTGACTAAATTAAATATTATCGAATTAACCTACTCCAGAAAAGAAAAGAAATGTTATGATGATAAGTCAAGGATATAGTATATACAGCATGTCATTACAACTACGACAATAAATGAACACACATACAGAGGATCACTTTTTAAAATTGTATTAAGCATTTACATTAATTAAACATCAAAATTTTCAGAGTTATTAAATTTTAAAAAACAAACATTTTAAGAACACCATTATGTATAAAACTGTAACATAAAGTTCATTTGTAAAGGTCACAAAGCAAATGGATGGGTTGAATGAATTTAAAAGAAATAAAACATACTGTTAGAAGGAGAAACTTGTAATGCGACATTGTGGTAATGAATGAAAAAGTCTGAATGTATGAATCAGTCAGTTGTAGTTGTATAGGATGTTACAAATTTTGTTTCTTTTTAATTTAATTACTTTGTTTGAAAAATATTTTTTTTTAATTATGGATTTTTTTAACGTTTTATATTTTTCTATGATTATTGGGAAGTAGCATTGGACTTGTGTTCATTTATTGTCTAACAACACGCTGTATATAAATAACTTTAATATACAATTATGGCCAAAATATACAAGTAATAGATAATCTTTTAATATCCTTTAAATACAATAAATGGTTATTTACATGGCTTTTTCATATTCATTTTTAATCTACCACCTTATATTTTCCTATACCACTTATTTGCATTGTTCTTATTTGCTTACAGGGCTGTTGATTCTGAAATTCTGAGTATTTTACGTATGCGCTATGAAGATTGTATGATGTATGAAAGTCCAGATCACCTTACAATTTGCAAACCTTTTTGGGAGAAATATAAGGATGCTGAAGAGGCATGGTTCATTAAATGTAAGTGAAATATATACATATAAATTGATTTTCATACATTTGAAAACATATATTATTTTATTGAATTACCATGACTTTAAGGGTATGCTGTAACACTAAATGAGGTTCATATAACTAATAGTTTTGAAGGTAACACTAATCTATACTTTAACACTGATTGATACTTTTACGATGTTGCTGAACTCACACTCATTCATTTCATTGATAAAAAAGTTGTGTAACCTTATAAACTTAACTTACCATACGCTGCAATATACTATTTTTAGTGTTTTTGCATTCAAATTAAGTCTGTGAGTGACATAGTCAAATTTCAAGTAAAGGTACATAGTTCGAGTACGATTTTTTTTATATGAAAAATGATAATGAAAAATAAAATCATTCAACCAAATATCCTTATGACATTGGGTTCCAACTTCTAATACATGCTGCACCTTTGTCATACAACTACCTAAGCCACCGGTTTATGTATGCAGCAGTGACAGAACAAATATCAAATATTGTAAGGTAACATAATAAAAATAGTATGGACCATGAGTAAATACATAAATTTATGATAATTCAATAAAAACACCTGTTGATTCTACTTGTAACATTTACCCGGTTTAGTCAAGCTAAAATTTTTGGCAGATGGTGATCTTGGAGCTTATGCTGATGCAAGAAAAGCTTTCATGAAGCAAAAACACCGCATGGTTTGGGAGAAACGTAATGGACCTCTCTCTGACCAAACTAAGTGAACATTTCTAAAAGGCACCTTTTAAATGTTAAGTAGATATAACTGTCATTGCAGTAATATAAATAAATTCTAGTGCATACTTATATTGTTCTTTTTATCCACTTTTTGTGCTAGGATAATAATTAATAGGATTATGGTTTTAATTGGAACATTTATAGATATGCTATTTTGGGAAAAGGGGGTTCACATGATGTTAAGTGTTAACCGCCGCCCAATGAAATTGCACCGCGAAATGCAGATGCATTGCTACCTTTTAATAAAGTATGCAGCGGCAACCTCATCCTCCAGACGAAACATAGAAGTAATACTACCACTTCACTGGTGCAACAGCGAACATTGCTGCTCTAACATACAATAAAGAAAAAAAAAGCAGAACTGCACATTGCAATACCTATACTCACCCTGCGACCATACGCCAAACGCAACCTGAACAACCAGCACTCCTCTTCCCCCGCTACTCAACCTCCATTTCTGAGCATACTAGGAGCGATCCTCAGGCCGAGATATCGAAAGTGAAGAAATATATTGATATTTATAAAAATATCAATATCGACCTCGATATATCGAAGAAATAAAAAAAAAGGTATGGTACACCTACGGAGTTTGTGCCGGATTCTTTGAAAAAATATCGTTATTGATACGATTTTCGATATTGAATATTTTGTACGATATATCAGTATATCGAAATTTTTTCGACATCCCTTACACAGTATTTGTTGAGGATTCATCTTGGCTTTGGCGTGGTAGTACGTTTGACTCACAACCGTACGAACTCCTCGAATAATGATTCCACCGCTGTGTCTGCGATGAATTAATTAAAATAGACATACCCAGCATATTAACGTGAGGCGATTTCTACCGGATGCCTATACATGTCCCACTGCTGGGCAAAGGTCTCCTCTATATAGAGGGTATCAGGGCATATTCCACCATGCGGCCCCACTGCGGATTGGCGGACTTCACATATCTTCGAAATATATATTTTTTGTTATTATTTCGAAAATATGCAGGTTTCCTCACGATGTTTTCCTTCACCGCGGAGCACGTGATAAGTCAGCACTTAAAGTTAAAAACTTCATTGGTGCCGGCACCGGGGATCGAACTCGGGTTGCTCGATATGGAATTAAAGGCGAGCGCCCGGACACTGAGCTATCACGGCTCATGATCTATTCTTTCGAAATTTTCGAACTAACATCCTTTTCAAAATGTTGAAGTCAAACAATGTTCAATACTCTCTTCGGGTTCCGCAAAATTTCTTCCTACTTTTGAAGGACGTCGACAACTTTTTGGTTACCTTTACCTTTAACATGAACACCTATATCGATGCTGCTTGCATCCGTGTAAGGACACTCGCAAAGGCAACTCTTTAAAAGCATTATTGTATAAGCATAAACATTAAACGTACCCTTACAATAACCCTTTAGCCGAATGAATTCTATATAGAACTATGATAGATATAGGCCATCTTACAAACACGTCAATCCATTTGTTTTTTAATTTATTTAAACTTTTGTTACACCTTAAGCTAAGGGTTACAATGGACGGACTCGATGCCTAATGGCATTCTCAACCCGTCATGGGGAAAAGTAGATTGCAGGTCCTATACCGAAGAGTAAATGTAAGAAATAAATAAATTTCCTCCGAGTTCAATATTTTAGGTAAATATTAAAGATTATAATAAAAGCCAAAAATGGGATAAGCCAAACAAAATCAATGATTTAATAGGTATCTTTATATATAAGATGGCTTTTCTAAAGGCGCCCAAATTCACATAGGAGGTTCAGACAGTATATTCGTTTATTGAAACAAAACTTTTTTTTAAATAGCCATTCTATTCCCTAAAAAGCAGAACTTGTTAACAATGCGGTAGTCATTCATAAATGCATCGTATATTTATTAAAAACGAAATTGTGTCCGTTTAATTATGAATGATCGCGCGTAAAATAAATGAGTTGCGTATAAATGACGCACTTTTTGAGATAAGTTCAAATTAATGTAATTAATTACTTAAGAGTGATTTTCAATATTTATCATTTTTATATAACAGTATTTGTCTAGAATTTAATTTATAAAAATGGATACCCTTAGAAAAGCCACCCTGTATAATTCTTCTGTGTGTCACTGAACTCCTCCTAAACGGCTGGACCGATTTTATTGAAATTTTGTCTTCAGGTCGATTCGAAAATGGTTTAGATTCACAATTCGGTCCACATTTTTTTTTATTTATAGGTCGTTTTCGGATTTCAGTCGCGTTTACAGGACGTCTGTCGGGTCCGCTAGTAATTATTTATATTTTTTATGTATATTTATTTAGAGCTGTTTTGATCGGACTTATCGAGGAGGACGTTCCAGAGGAATGTTGCTTGAACACTAAAAAAAAGAGTTAAAGTATCCTGTATGTTGCGGGATGCGATTCTAAAGATATGTAGAAGAATTAGATAATACAGAATACAATAACAACAGAATTCTGTAGCAACGCCTCTGTCGAATAGAAAGCCAGATCAGATAAGCTCAGAATGGTAGGAAGATACGTGGTCATATTTACGTAAATCCTAGGGTTTGCTGGTAGAGAATGCAATATAGCATTAAGCTCGCCTTTGTACAATTTTAAATGCAATAAAGATTAAATAAACCAAAAATAAATCTAATGCAATTATGGAGAAGGCGCTCCAATTTATCAAGGCGAGATTGGGGATAGGTTCGAGTACACACATCTGCATCACTTTAAATTTGCTAGTCATGAAATTGGATCGACTAAGAGAGTGTTTCAGACTATTATATAGCTATATTTAATCTTACTACGTTCAGAGGCGTTGTAACGAATTTATCTCTTTGAAACAACTTTACCTGCAATACGGTCAAATGTAAAAAGAGAAAAGGTGTGAACATAATTACGCCACCGTAACATCGCTGTTTTATGTACAAATAAAACTCCGTCGATACTAAAAAGTAGTGAGATAACAATTAGTGTTAGACAATGGGTTACTATGATAATATTCAGGGGATCTTATTGACAAGGGTAGCGTTCACTTCATGTTCATTTTTTTTTCTACATCATTTATGCGATGATGTAGGTTAATTTAAAAAAAATCTCGAAAAATAACATTTATTTTCAACACTACATTTTTTCATGCATTGACAATTTCTACTTTCAGACACATTGATTTACGAGTTGGAACTACAACAAGAAATTAAAGATCACAGAGATATGAAGACATAGATCTTCCTTTTACTGTTACTTAAATATCTTAGGTCTAATTTTAATCTTACACATTTAAAACTTTGATATTGGTCACAAAAATAAAAACAAATAACCTTAATAATGTACTTAAAATATATTTGCTAGTCTTAAGAAATTCAATTCAATTTTAATTGCAAGTAATAACAAACTTTGAACCATAAAAGCTGGTAAACACTAAAAATTAATATTTATTTTTGTCATTTTTTAATTAATACCAAAAATAATTGAAGGGTTTTCTTTCTTAAGACAAAGCCCGTATACTTAATGAATTGGACAGATGGTTAATAGAGTTGTAGCGAAGTTTTAACACCAAAAATGCGGACCTGGCAGTGCTTTAAACACATTCTTCATTAAACAATAGATTTGTATTTAGTAGCACGCGACTTCAAAATTTATATGCAAGAGCCTGCTTACATTAATCGAAATTAAAAGAAAGATTTTTAACGAAAATATCATTAATCCATGTTGACGCCAAAATAAATTTTAATAGCGTCTTCAACTAAAAACAATAACCATGAAACGTATCAATGTATTTTATATCATGTACCAAATAATACAATATTTTATGTATATTTACATAAATGGAGATTTACTGGATAATTTGTGGCCGTCTTGGTACGTTTTATATCACAGGTGTAATATTGATGCTTGATTACATTGAACATTTTGTACAAATATTTACAAAATAATTACAATTAGAATAGAAAAATAAGTTAATTTTAATATTAATTATTTGCGCATTTGAGATAGGCCAATATTTAATAATAAAGGATTTTATAATCTGCATAAAAATGACTGAAAATAACACGATACAAAAGGTCGCGTTTAGGTATAAAGATCCAAAATATTTTTAAATAAATTTAGTTTTATAATTTTGTCGAATATACAAACACTTTCACTGGACATAACACACAAAATGCCCAATAATTTTTTATAACATTCTTTTTTTATCTTTTTGAATAATATGATCATTTACTTCTATTTAGGCATATGTCCGTTCAGAGCATTTACCATATTATATACACTGTAAGGATTTTAGGTTTCAGGCGATATCCACATGTGGATATCACCACATGGCAAGATTGTATAACTAGACACAAATTTACATCAACACACATTACAATAGACTATTCTACAGAGGTCTGTGCATGTAAATATATTACTAAATGCAGTGATGCTGGCCCGGTGTCTTTCTAAAACAAATGTGAGACTGACAGACTGGACTGGGTTTTAACTTAAAGGGGAAATAATTTTCTTCTAATACTTTCTCTCACCTTCACACACAAAAATAGTTGCTCAACAGTAACATCAACATGGACGACGATATTTTTCGATGTTTAACACTGTTGCGTTTTAGGCACAAGCAAGCTTCAACGTCAACAGTATGAGAAATATGTAAATTTAACCTAATTTTTGCATCTTTCAAATATAAAAAACTTTGAACATCTATAATTGACTCTTTTGAATTTGAAGTTATCGTGAATGAATTGCAGATCGTAAAATACTCGAACTTAAGTTCGTCCACACTAGAACAGCTTACTAAAATGTGAGTCGGTCATACAATTTTTTTCTATAATATTGTAAATTTTCTGGCATGAGAACTTATTGTAGTCTTAACAATAATTGTGGCAAGTTTAAAATGTCTTATCGTTTCTTATTTCTAAAATAGAAACCGACAAAAACTGGGGCACCCGTGTGGACGAGACTTTAGAAACACATTTACATTCGCTTTTAATAGTAATAAATTGCACTCAAAAACATTTGAAGAATGTAAACGTTATCTAAAATTACGTAAATTCGAAAAGTGATATTTATGTATACACACATTAATTCACAATTGCTAAAAGCATGTACAATACTGTCCTAAGGAAATATTTCATAACTAAATTTATGTAAAGCCACGTTGAAACTAACATAATATACTCATAGAATCAATTGAGATCATATATCAAAGGATAAAATTCTTTTCATAAAAAATCAACATTTCATTTGATTATTGTACTTTATAGGGACATTCGAAAAATGTTATAAGCGCTCCGATATCACAAAATACATTTCTCTTACATTCCAGTTCATCATCCACAATTGACACGCGACGAGTCTCACGTGGAAATGATATGTACGGTATAAATGCTAGTGATACATAAATTAAACAAATAATCATCACTAAACTACTTTATGCAAAACTAGGAATTGGTCAAATCAATCTCTTTGAAAATCAAATTGAATTCTTGCTATATTAAAATCAAAACAAACTTACTCAATATTTATAAGGTATATAACTTAGTATTTTTGTTTCAGTCATAATATGCATATTTAAAGCTTTATAAAGAAATATATACTTATATATGTGTGTATAAAAATAATGTCAAAGAATAAAAACTGTGAGATTGACTAAAACTTATCGATTTTACTACAATAAATTTTAGACAATCAATAATAAAACAAAACGAAATAAAAAGATATAACATAGGCGCAACATACATTGAATAATAACAAAACAATGAAATTACAGTTTCACACTTGAAGAACGAAAAATAGCCATTTAAATATACGCCAAACCTCTCCATAATAAATAATAAAACAATTTAACCAACTGTTGCCATCATCACGCTATGTATACGGAATTAATTTGTAAGCGGCTTGATAACATTTTACGAACGCAAATACTTTCACTTAACCTAAATAGACACACAAAAATATACACAATCTAAAACATTATTGTTATAGACATCACATTTCTTAGGACACTTTTGTCTTCTTGATAAAATTCGTTGCAACCCTTCATAGGATCTATTTATTACTTTGCAGTTCATCTTGACACTTCGGCATACATGCAATTTTACTTAGCTACGTTTTGGAGAGGAATGTATCATTCGATAGTGGTTGGAATGGTCATTATGCCGAATCGAACTGGGCGGCCAAACGGGTACGACCTGTTAAAAACCAATAAAATTAACCACACCAAATTATTGAGAAATACTCTAATACTCGAAAGGGAACCATATTTTAACCATTAAGTATAAAATCTGAAAGACTCTGAATTTGGTAGGACTTCTAACTGGCTACATTGAATTTGTGAAATTTCTAAATGGTCAAGTGGATTCGAGAATGGTTTACATTCAGAATTCTTCTACCATTCACGTTTACATTGACATTTCCTGCCTCGCACAACCACTCTGTGGAACTCAGCTGCCGTCGGCGATTTTTCCGAACCGTCAGAATCTAGGAACGTTCAAGAAGAGAGCACATTCTTTCCTAAAAGGCCGGCAACGCATTTGCAAGCCATCCGGTGTTGCAGATGTTCATGGATGGCGGTGATCACTTACCATCGGGTGCCCCTCCTGCCCCGCCCCCCCCCCTCCCTTTTTTTTCCATAAAAAATTGATTGAGCTCAGGGCAGAGTACACTGAAGTATTGAAGCATGATGAGTGATGCTAAGAACTTGAATTAGACTTACGTTTATTTTCTTGAGTTAACAAAGCCGTCGGTGTAGGCAAGGCACTTGCCGGTGGCGAAGACCAAATATTGATCCTAGGTGACTCGAACACTCGCGATCCCTGTAAAATGTGAATATTGAATTTTTTAGTTAAATATATTCCGTTTCGACATATTAATAAATTAATGGTTTAGATTAATTGTCCTACAAATTATGCGTATTTAAAAAAAATACAGATGAGCTTTATGACAATTGAAAAAAAATCGGCTTTATGATGTTCATATAGCTGATTTGTAACCAAGAAGTTGCAACATAATAGTTATAACAAAATTATTCGCATATCGCGTAAATCGAACTTTGAAACATATAAATTTATACCATTAATAAAAATTATTGATTTTATAGTATTTTTGAGTGAGACAAGAACCCAAGGATTTCTGGAATAGCCTAGTTAAGTGAGGTTGGAACTTATAACATTAAAAAGAGCTCGAAATCAGCCTGTATTCAGCTATGAAGTATTATCTCAAAGTTTCTCGAACCTTCTGCCCGGGCGGGGTATCGTGCACGGAGTAGTCCTCGTGGAGCGGCGCGCGCATCGGCGGCGGCATCACCACGCCCGCGCTCAAAGCCCACTTGCCGCCCTCCGCACCCTTCGGCCCGCCCACCTCGGTGAACAGGGCGCGGTAGTGTCGCATCAGGTCCGACACGCTCTCCACGCCTGGCAGAAACGAACATTCACTAAACACTGGCCGAACACTTTTCCTAGATAAACGATTGGAAAGTACAGCTTTTATGTAGCATCTCACTGAGGGAGATACTACATAAAGGCAAGCAAACATTCGGAATTTAATGTAAAACCTTACCCATATCCGCGCACGGGAACGACGGCTCGTAGCGCTTCGTGTACCGCTCGAACACATCCGCGGCGGACACGGGCGCCGCCTGTTCGGCGAGGATCTGCGCGACGCGCCACACCGTGCGCCAGATGGGGGTCAGGCGCACGTGGCGCTCGCACGTCTCCAGCACGCCCGAGGAGGCGAGCTCGCGCAGGTCGGGCTCCTCGCCGCGCAGCCGGCGGAACGCGCTCGCGAAGTACTCCTCGGTGGAGCCGCGCGCGACGCTCCGGTCGGCCGAGAGCACCGCGCACGCCGCCAGCGCGGCGTTGGCGAAGCGCGGCGCGTCGCCCGCCATGTGCACCACGCCCCCCTCTACGAAGCCGCCCGCCGCCGACACCAGCTCCTGCAGCGTGGCCACGTTCAGCACGTCCGGCAGCGGCGGTGCGCCGAACCGCGACGCGTACAGCGCCGGCAGCGCCTTGAAGGGCGCCGGCGTGATCGCCCTCAGCCGCTGCGCCATCACAGCGCGGGCCGCTCGCGCCGCTAGACGCACGCCGCGCTCGCCGCTCGCCTCGCACCACACCGCCACCGTGTCGGGTATCAGCTCGAACAGCTCCACCAGCTTCACGCAGCCGTAGTGGGCGACACGCAGTTGGCGGCCGAAGTGCGCGTGGTAGGCGGGCACGAAGCGCGCGAACTCCATACGCAGGTTGGGCGTGTAGCAGAGGAGCTCGACGGCCTGCACCGCGAACTGGGAGGTGCGGGCGCGCTCCTCGGGAGTGGGCGTGCGCCGCGGCAGGGCCACGCCGCCGTCGGGGCACATCACTACAGCCTGCGGGGCGACTCGTTGCATCAGCTCGTCGAGGGTGCACAGGCCGTAGTCGATGGGCGAGAAGGGCCGCCCGAAGGCCACCTGGTACAGCTGGGGGATGTCCCGCGGCGCTACCACCCGCCCGGGCTGCGCCTTCAGCAGCTTCACGAGGTCGGACGTCCAGCGCCGACTCTGAGCTGCGGCCGATATCGTTATCACCCGGTACGATCCTGAACCGAGAACCTGTGAATTACATTTCTTACATTAAAACGGGTTATCAACAACTAAATTATAAAAATAAGACCAAAGAGAACTAATCATATCTGTGTACTCTGTACACGCCAAATATGTATATGCACAAACCATACAATTTCAGTTGAATATTTACCTAATTACACTACTCACCACGATTGTACTGCTCAGGGCAGCAAGTAGATCAGGCAGTTTAGTAAATCCGTAATCGGCAACTCTGCATTGGCGGCCGAAGTGATGATGAAAAGAAGGAATGAGCCTTTAAAAAATAAAGCAGACAATGTTACTAATGGTATGCAATTTATTATTAAAGGCTTTACGTATTTTTCCTTATATACATTGGCAAAAGACTGGAGATAGCTCCCATACTTAATCAATGTACAGAGTAATTATTGTCCCAGAAAACCAACAATCTTCGTTTCGGTGATTAATGACCTAGTGTTTGCTGAATGAAGTTTACTTGAACAAAAACAAAAATACAATTATCTTTACCGAATTTTAATCCAATTATCTGAATTATTAGATCAAAATACGTAAAGACAATATCTCGGACATTCTCATGTCACGGAACCAATGTTAACACAGACTTCCTTTTAAGCTTAATCGCATAAGATATCCAGTAATACGAAATATTTAAAAGAAAGTTGACTAAAGAGGCTCAGTTTGTCCCGTGACAATAAATACTGCATAGCGTCAGGAATTTAGTTTAAAATAAACATGATCAATCCCTAAAATACTTTTATAATACACATTGCCAGAGTATAAGAAATGTTGAGTTTAATTTAGCAACATATTATGATAAAAAGCAGGTATTTGGACGTAAACTCACTTGCTGAATGGTATAGAGCAGCGTGGTGCTGTCCTCAGCAGGTCGATAAGTTCGCGCTCGAACAGAGCCAACATCGGCTCTAAAGCGGGGGCGGTACGCGGCTTCTCGCGGTCACCACTCGAGCGCGAGGTATCGCCTACGAATGGAATCACGATAAACTTAAATAACTCAATCGGAAAAGAAAAAAAATTATGGAATTTAAAATAGTTGGAAAATAAAGAGTTCTTGTAAAAAGTTATCAACCGGATAAAGCAAAATTCAAGATTGTTATTTATTTTTTTATTACAATTGCAAAAAAATTAACGATGACTTTTTATTTATTTACATGACTACTTGAGTGTTATTGATTTTAACACCGTAAGTTCAATTGTAAAAGTAAAGTAAAGTAACAGCCAATAAATGTCTCACTGCTGGGCAAAGGCCTCCTCTATACAGAGGGTATCAGGGCATAGTCCACCACGCGGCCCCACTGCGGATTGGCGGACTTTTTTTTTTTTATTATTTCGAAAATATACAGGTTTCCTCACGATGATTTCCTTCGCCGCGGAGCACGTGATAACACAGCACTTAAAGTTTAAAACTTCATTGGTGCCGGCACCGAGGATCGAACTCAGGTTGCTCGAGTATATTGAATTAAAGGCGAGCGCCCGGACACTGAGCTATCACGGCTCAAACTGTAGAAATTTTAAAACATCGTACCCGTCCCTACATCGTACATCTGATTGTTATCCGTAAGTAAACTATAGTGTAATCTGTAACTCACTTTGGTTACAATTGGACGGAGACGTGTCGGAGCGGTTGGTGCGCCAGGTGAGATGTCTCGAGGGGCAATCCTTCACCTCCACGTTGGGGACGCTGCGTAACAGAAGCTCCAGAGCTACGCCGTGACGCGGATCCGCAACCAGCGGGGGGAACATTGCTTCGTAGCACTCGACGAAACTGTAGACGGCCAGAGACATACAATAAATTTTTCTATGTGCAGTACATTGAAGGATGTATTAACAGTTTTTTTTTTATTCAAGCCTTTTACGAATTCGCCTTTTTAAATATTAAAATGGAAACTATCCATATACAGGTTTAATCCTACATTTAGCAGCTTATAATAACATTTGAATAAGGCCTTTTCAAAAATTACTCTCTGTTATTTCTAAAAGCCATAGTAGATTTAACAATTATATAAGCTCGTAAAAAGATATAGACTTGAATAGATAATATATGACTTCAACATTGAAAATTAACCACAAAGCCAAAATATAAGCCATAATATAATGGTGAATGTGGCGAATTATATGCAAGTCAACCAATGTTATGATGCCGCTACCCATAGACTAAACTAAGTGTAGAATTTGCGTTCCCAACATTAAAACGGAAGACGCCGGTTATACAAATTCAACTTTACATCGGTCTTCTGCACCATTGTACTTCCCCGAACGGGCCAGCCCGTTCAGTCAACGAGAGCGTCCGCTTCTTTTCATCAGCGCAATCATTCCCGAAAAACTGCAACTGCTGCCGTAAACGCTAACCTCAGCAGCGGCAGTATGCCCGCGTGGCTCTCCAGCAGCGCGTGCACGTTCGCCGCGAGCGTCGCTATCTCCATGTACACCGGCTGCAGGATCCTGCTGCCGTCCTCGTGGCCGGTGCCGAGCGTGGCGTGCGCGTGGCACTTCCACGGCGCGTCGTCCGGCTCCAGTGCGGCCGGCGGCGTCAGATCCAGCAGCTGCACCATTCGGCCGCAGCCCTCGTGCACCGCTACGGTGTCCTTCACGCGGGCGATGTCCGAAGTGGTCAGGGCGCAGCAGTGCCGGCTGGCGTACGCGTCGCGCAGCCGCAGAAGCGGCAGCGAGTGGTTCGGCTGGTCGAGGAGTATCGCGCGCAGGCGGGCGCGGAGCACCTCTAGGTTGGGCGCCGGGGAGGGCCTGCCGAGGGAGAGCTCCAGCCGCCTGCCCGCCCATTGGCTGTCGAGGCGGCGCTTGTGCACGCGCGCGATGGCCAGCCGCGCGTCCCACTCGGAGCGGAGCAGCACGCTCGCCAGCGGGCCCTCGCCCGCCGCCCACACGGACACGCGCACGACGGGCACGTACTGGTTGAACAGCTTCGTGAGCAGCTCCTGCGGAACAAACGGATTATGTGAATGTCATGTCTAGTAGTCGGTCGCGTGATGTGAACTTGTACACGCAAATAACAACCAACTACAGTTGCGAGTGTTCAAACGAAGGTAATAAAATATGATATTTCTGTATAAAATTTCACAAAGAAATAAACCTTCATATTCTATTTTCATTACAATATATTGACAAATATTTCATAACTTTATTTAGTTTATTAATTACATTACTTCTATTTAATTTATAAAAATGTATCGAAACATAAAATATAGTGCTATTTAAACACCCAACACCCTACTATTCAATCAATTCACATCCTATGCATCAGGGTTCTAATAACGTATAGTGTGGAAGTGCGTGAAGCGTCGTGGAAGTTACAAAAATTTTGCGTTATATTATACCTTATGAAGGTTAGGGTAGGAAGCTATGGGAATAGTAGACGTTTGTATGCTGTCGCATGCAATATTCGGCAAAATATTGTACGCTTTTGTATGCTACCGCACTACCTCGCATGCTGTGAAGTACACTACCTGTAGGACCGCAGGCTCGTAGGGCGGTAGGTTCGAAACGGTGAGCTCGGCGGCGGGCTCGAGCTCGGCGTCGCTGTGCTCGCTGAAGCTGGCCGAGGAGTTCCATGGCGAAGCAGCACGGCTCTGGCAGTCGCGTTGCCTGCTATCGTCGCAACTGTTGCTGGACGAGCAACCTGATCTATCCAGGTTCACTGAGCCTGCAATGGACGTTAGTGCTACATGACTTCGTAATAAACACTCGGGCATAAATCCTTTCAGCGAGATGGAAGGATCGTCCTAGCATCGTGATACGAGATTGGAAGAAGTTGAAGATAAACTTACACGCACGTTGAAGGATTGTAGTTTATTTACGAGAAATTACGAATACATGCGAACGTTAAAAACACTCCCTGTGATTGGAACATGTGCACTAAAATAGTTTCGTGTTTTATATATTAGGGCGTCGCCTTTATTATTCTCATTGCCAAGTGTGGTAATAAATGTACTTCTCATTGCAAATTTACATCGACATATTTATGTATGTGCAGCGTTTAAGTTTTGAAACAATATAAAACTCCTATGAGTGTAATACCGTGAGTGCCCCTGATCTTGCGGGGCTTCGGCGCCGGCGGGGGGCAGAAGTCCAAGGGGGGCGGAGTGGGGGCGGGGAGCTGCTGTAGGGCCAACGCCCAATCGCTGGCTACCGACCTCGCCGTCGCCTCCGCCTAGAACCGAGCTGGTTGGTTAACACTGGTTCATTCATCGTACCAACGATTTGACCGATGCTTCACGTGATATTTCTTAACAAAAAATAATTAAGTTCGAATTCAAATCCAGCCAACCTGAGTTTAAATTCGAATCCGTTCAACTGTTAAGACGTAAAGGTTTGCTCGCTAAAAGATTGTGCTCTTCAGTCTTTTTAGAATGTGATAACTACATCCTACAATAAAGCGGAGCCTTTAACAATGTTTTTTATTGTACAAACATCAAATATCAGAGGTGTATCTTAATAACTGTGAAAAATAAACTCATCTATCGACACGGTTGTCACTTACCGACTCCTAGACGACGTAACATAGAGATCACGTAAACAAATGCACTAGCGTCATAATAAAAAGGCCAGGTTACGTGTAGAGAATGGACACAATGCATGAGAGAATACATTCAGATTGTTATATAAGCAAAAAATGATGTAATAGCGATCGTTAAAAGTATAAGGCAAATTATGAGATTGATTCGCAGTATAAAAAACATATTTAGTCTAACTTAGCTTAGAAGAACAGCACGTCTTTCTGTCTGTTTATTCATTTAAGTTTAAAACTGAGAGCCACTGGTAGGGACCCGATTCTTTTTAAGTATGTTACTTGGACATTTTACGTGGCACTATTTAACCGATGCCTTATTTTATATAAAAAGTTTAATAAATAAACAATGGCTAAAAAGTCTGTCTAGACTTCTCAGACCGAGTTTATTAAGAGAAAATATAAAACTAGAAAATATTAAACGCATTATATTTTTGAAAATAAATCGTCGTACAATATTGACAATGACAAGGAAAAATAATAAGAGGCAAATAATTTCTGTTCTCAATATAATATGAAAAAGGTTTACGCTACATTAACGATTTCATTGTGGTAATGACATGCTCGTCTCTTATATCCAATCAAGGTCCAATGACAATACATTACTTATCTTTTCAAGGCAAAGCAAAGTAGAAGTACCTTGTAGTGTGACCTTCTTTTAGATACGAAGAACGGTAATGCAAGGAAAAGTTAAATTAATGTTATATGTCAAAAACCTATACTAATTTTATTTAATATAAAGAGTTTTATTCTAAGGATAATGCGAATTTTGTATTTGGAGAGGTTTTAATTAAAATATATGTATATTATTTGATAAGCTGATATTGATTGATGGTAAGATGAGACAGAACAAACGGATGCAAGCCTATAAACGTGCATCAATCAAATAGAAAGAATGTCAATAGTCAACAGAAGTAGAATAAAACAAAATAAGGATTACATAATACAAAACCAAACATAAGTTCGTATCGAATATCGAAAATTATCCGTGAAATATAAAATGGTAAATGGTGAAATATAAAATCTACGGTCTAAAGAGAAGGCATGCGCGGTTCTCCTTAACTTCTTTTAAATATACTTTTAGTTTTAAACCGAGTAAAATAACGGTGACTGTAAGTGGAAAAAATTAAAAAAATATCTATTATGTCTAATATACTTACTAATCCAACTGCTATAGATTGGATGTCTTTCCGATTACTTGAGCTAAGGTCATTGTTACGAGTACAAGATTTATTTATGTGAAAATTTTGCAAGCGAGCCTGATATTAAGCGACTATCGCAGCCACAATTCCTGGGGGATTGCAGATACCTTTCCAACTTTTAAAAAAGTCGGCTCCGGCTAACTCACACACCAGACAAAACGCGAAAGTACAGCACTGTCTCTTCACGCCAGTCTTCTTCGAGGCTGCAGAAACTGTTGCGTAGCTCTACCACGTGTATTTATCCCCAGTCACTTTAATATTGGACTGTCGAACCTGATTCATATTTGTAAAAAGAGAGCAACCTAATGACACCCGCGGTTACATGTAGAGAAACAAACCTGGTTCATTTGCTGAGCGGGCAGCGGGGGCGGATGCACAGGCTGAGCGGGCGCGGTGCTATAGCCCTCGTCGCTTGAGTATGTCGCTTGGAATGCGCTGCGTGCATAACGGGTGCTGATTTTCCTCCCGAACACGTCCTCGCCTTCCATACGTTTCAACGCCCTGGCGAAGAAAAAGATCGTAAGCACTAGCTTCGACATGGGCGTTGACTAAGTAGGGCAAGCTGCCTTTTTAAATAAAACTTAAAAAGAATTGCCTAATAAGGCTGTGCCTCTTTGCGTGGGTGTTATATAAGGCTTTGCCACTTCCTAGGTCGGGTCGACAGACAACGGCATTAACCACTGCGTAGCTCAAACACAGGTGGAATTGAGAGTGGCTTATTGCCAACTTAAATAACTTGCGGCCTCCGTTGCGTTGTACTCACACACTGAGATTCGAAACCTTTATCACATATTGCGCTTGCCGATGACTTTATGAATTTGACAACACCGCATGTTAATAAAACGCTGGCAAATGGACTAACATTACGTACTGTCAATTAGAAGTATATCGCTTTGCAAGACAGCGACTATATTTATGTAACTATAATAAAATTACGATACAATTTAATATACAATTTAATACATTTAGTAGAATTTGTTTAGCAAAAGTTAATTAATAATAACAATCGCATGAAATCCGCACAGTCTACTTGTGTAAACAAAGCTTATAGCTTTGTTTGCTTGAAATTAAATAGTTCATAAGATAAATAGAATGGGAAAGATCGTATACGTCCGATTTTGTTTTTTCATTACAAAAAATAGATAAAGTGATCAAATATGATACCTATCAATGAAAATAGATTAACTATATTGATCGTGCGAAGTGTTCATGTATGATCCGACCCAATCATTAAAATCATTCACAGTAAGTTCGATCATTTTCTGAGAAGATTTTATTGCCAGAATTTGTACAAAGTCTTAAAATTAAATCGTGTTAAAAACATTGTTCTCAACATGTTATTTTTAAAAACGTTGAAAACTCCTACGATTATTATGCTATATTGTTCCTTTAACCTACATATAAAATAGTAATATTCGGTAGAGGTAAAATCAAAAACAGTTGAAGACGCATCAGGTGATACGTGCAATATTGAATTTTATCTGTCCTTATCTGCACTTTAAGTTATACATAAGCATTGGTTAAAAGGCAGAAAGATTTCCACTTCACAAATGATAAAATCGCATAATAACAGTAATGTTAGCTCAAGTTTTAAAGAAATATAGTAATAGACTTAATGTGTAAAGCATTACAATAAGACATTGTTAAGCTAATAGTGAAAGAGTTGCTCGGTGAGAATTTTTCGAACAGTAACGTAAGGAAAACTGTAAACACATGTGTATGTATCAATAAAATATAAATATAAAATATTATGGCAAAATTTCGTCATGATCAATATGTAAAGTGCTAACTACAATATATAAAAAGTACATATTTAAAAATGACTTTGTCATATGCACTCTTTTAATATAAATGAATCTTTGAAAATGATTAGCAATCATATAACGATCGTCATTTACTGTTTTGGCTAATTGCGTTTGCAACACCAAGCATCATTGAATTTATATTAGTTGTCAGCAGGAGCTGATGCCTACTACATTATTATACGAGCATACTACTGTTTTCTTTACTATATTTCACGTTAAGGTTAAAAGATTTTCAAAGAATACATGAAATTTAAAACTAACAAAGATATAAATCTTGTTGTCGTTAAAATGATACGTCAATCATTTATGTTTGACGTTAAATATATTTATATTGATAAGGTATTAAGGGAGATAAAGCACATTCGAGAAATTATACGTACGATGATAGCAATTAACGTAAAGACGTTAGACGTCAAGAAGCTAAAGATCTTAAACAATTATTCAACTGAGCTATTGTTAAAAAAACTTATAGAACAACCAAATGTGGAATCGATCTATACAGGTGCTGTTGTTATAACTTTTTAGTTGTTGGGGCACATAGCATAACATCATAGCAAAGCCAAATTACTACGAGCGTTTACTACCTTTATATAACGAATAGCACGTTTCTTCAACATTACTGAGGCAGGAATTATCTATGATTTATCAATTAAATACCAAAATTCAAATAGAAGCAGATAGAAAACAAGAAATCCAGATTACTTGGCAACGTTAGACAGAAGTTTCGACTTCAGCTGTTGCACGAAGGGGCAAGCTTGTCCGGGGAAGTACCTCGACCTCACAAAAGACTTTGGACTGCTTTGTGATACCGGTGCCTTGTTTATTGTAGGTGGTTAACGCATCTGTAGCATGACAGTTTACGTTTAACTAATCAAGTGAAGGCGAACAGAACTTAAAAAAAAAAACATATTTCAATTCCCCGTGCAATGAAAACTCGCCGAGACTGTTTATTTATGCATGATTCAGTTTAAACGTTTTCGGTCATTCGACACTTGCATCGGACTCCGTAAACACTGCTACTCGATGCATATTGCATAAAGAATAATAATGCGAGTTGAGAGAGAATTCGATGAATTGTCGACGAGTCATAAGTGCAGTGGAAAAGTATTGGGGAGTATATACAATACTGTATATGCAAAGCGGTCTGATTTACGATGAAAACGTTGGAATAATTCAAATTAATAACCTTTTCGCCAAATTTTCAACTAATAATTATGGCTGACCACTTAGCGAACACTCGTAGATATGTACAGCAAGTTTTTAATTTAGTACGCAATACTTAGTGCAATGCAACTCGTTAGTTTCTTAGTAAAAGCGTACATTTTAGAAAATATACTTTTATATACATAATATACGTTATAACCGTTACATTTATCATTATGCAAATACTACATTTTTGATAAGAGAGGGGGTAAAACAGCAGGCGGTTCATCTATGTGATAACTAAAGAGTACATAAGCGTGCGGTTGCAGATACTTTGCGAACAATTAAGAAAGTGGACCTCACTAACCTGAGCCGAAAAAAGTATGAACACTTCGTTAGTTTGATCTTTTGAGAGGGCGTGGTACTTCCCCGGAGCTAGCTCAATTACTTTACTAACCAACCACTAAGACTTATGTTCACGACTGTACTTTTAGACCTCCATATGGATTATTCCGTCGGCGGTACATTCATTTGAATATCGACAGCTCGGATGTTTTATTTAAACGGCAATACAGCGCGGAATTACAAATTATAATCGTCGGTCTGTCACTTGCGAATGCATTTGAATTGTGACATGATGAAAAGTTTCCTTAAGTAGACGTCGTACTTTGATAAAATTTATTCGCCGATTGCAACGTAAGGTGGATAAAAATAACACTGGGCATGAGGATAATACGGCAACACTGTATATCAGATAAGCGAGTATTATATACATAGGGTCGGTTGTCAATAAATAACAACAGTCGTTTCTAAAGGATTGTACCTATATATACCGTATACATAATAATCATCCGAAGGATTACATATAGTAAGAACAATGATGAACAAATAACTTCTTTACAGGTTAATTAAATTTAAGCTATCAATGAAACGAGAAAATGAATAACGAAAAGAGAATTTTCTAACATTTAAGGTGATAGCGGTGCGACTTAATAAAGCATAAACGCTAACAAATATGTTAATGCCCCGAAAATATAGGTTTTAGTACATAATTTACAGTATCTGAAGGCCACTCGCGTGCTCCGTTATATTGTTTAGACTTATTAGGCTTATTTTTAGCTGATACCCGCGATTTGGTCTGTGTTGTTTATTACATTAACATCTAAGACGCTGGGTCCACTTCTCGTTATACGTTTGTCAATACTTTAATAGTTTTATTTATATAGTTTTATTGTAATCCATATCGTCTGAATCTCTATGCTCGCTACCGTGTGACAGGGGAACCGTAAAGGATTTTCCCACGCAAAAAAGGTCACTAAAGCAGTGCTTGCTGAGCACGAAAATCACGAAGCAAGAAGTCTCGCTCTGGCGGACGCCCTTCGCAGAACAATTATTTGATGTCCCAAAGCGACATTGGTTCATTGGTTCAAAATATGTGCAAGTCATCCTGCTATTGTATACGATATATTTTTTTTATTGAGCAAGGTTGCAACAGTCCTAAAATACGAATGGAGTTTACGCCTCAAGTTCCTGGTACTGTCAACGGAAGGTTTAATTTATATGGGACTGAACCGATGCGTGGAGTAAAAAATTCATAAAATAAAAATGCTCTCATCATGAGTCTTTTAAAGACCGTAGGTGAGCAAATAACAAGTAAAAACAACTGAGATACGTAAGAAAATATAATTGATAAATAAATAAATATTGTTCGATATAGTTTTAGACAACTTTCTCTAGCCAAAGTTCAGAAAAAAGTTACCAAAGTTAGCAAAGCTTTTACTGGGGTGTTGGTTTAGGTAGCACTAACAATTAAATATACAATTATGAGATTAAATTTAATTTCGTGAATTATATAATAATAATAACAAATATTTCAGGACATTTTTAGTAAACAATGTTATTTAATCCCAAACTAAGCAAAGCTTGTCACTATGTGTACGAGGTAAATGATAACCATACTGTAACTATTTATACTACTGTATTTTTTAAATTAATTCATGTTACGATACAATATACAAATACCCAGAAACTATGAAAACACTATATTTATCACATTTTACTAGTAGTGGTTATCGAACCCACATCCTCTGACAGAGAGACAGAGACAGATTTACTATGCACTGGCGTAGTGAAACTGTCTCTATCGGGTCGTCAAATTTTAGTAATAAAAATACATTTAATGTTACAACTTGTTAATAACCACATAAATTAGGATGCAAATTTTTTTTCCATACATTATTAAGCACACTAAAATTTATCATCACTGACACATAATTACTAACTAAAGCTGCGTCTAAAGAAAGCAGTTCTAGTAGAAGTGTTATTGTATGTTATACAGATAAAATTGCCTTGCCATCTGATATCTGAATATAACCCCGGCCTCAAACATTATCAAAAATGTTTTAAAACGTCGTTATAATCGATTACACAACACCGATGAGAGCCTAGCAACGAAGACTAACTTTTCCATGCGACCTGACTTCTCTGTGAAAGTTCTACCGAAGATAGAATTTCATCGCCATGACACAAATTGAGAGACGAAGTAACAATTAATTTTTTGAACAATCAGAAAGTTTTTGACGAACACAAGGAGAATTAACACCGATATACAAATATACCGATAACTTATGCGATAATATAAATGACAATATAAATAAACGAGAATAAAAATTCCTACGATTTTAAATACGGCGGTCGGACGACGGAGGCGGTCTTAACGTTTATTTTATTTCCTATCCCAGCCGTTGTTTGATGTAAATACGCCGGTGTTTATGTTGATATTTTAGTTTATCGCGTGTGGTTGATAACGCCTGTTATAAATTATTTTGTGGTCGCAATCGACCGATTTAATTATGATGAATCGTCGTAATTTATTTAAGTAGATAAAAATATATATGCTTGAATATCTTTAGACTTACTTCCCAAGAACTAAACCTTATTTTATTTCAATAGTTTGGTAATAATATAAGAACAGTAATATACACGATTGTCAGCTCATGTTCATTTAGTAAGATATGAGTAGAAACTTAAGAGGTAGACATGTCATTGATCCGTAGTTAATGAGATGATATTATCTACAAGGGTATAATGGCAGCATCAAAAACCAATTCAACCAAAAATCTGTTTAAGTTAAGACTTCCAACGGATTACCGTTTACCTATCTATAACAATAAGATAGCCAAAGTTTATTTATGCTGAAGAACATTTTTCGTCAATACGTTTCGGGGGTAATTGCTACTAGCTACGTGGACGCCGTACGATCGTTGAAGCAAAGATATCCAGCAAAACTTTTTTGATATACATTATTACTGATTCATCTTTAGTGACGTTGTAAGAATTATGTGCATGCAACACAATAAATATATGTTTTATTAATAAAATAATCGAAACATTTTTTTTATTTAACACATTAAAGTCTTATTAAAAACGACGGATTAAAAAAGATTGACGGTTTAACACAGACAAGACAAAACATAATGTTGTCTGTAAAACTGCTATTTGAAGATTTTAGCCCTGTCAAGCTATAAAATTAATATATGATAGTAACAAAATCAGAAATGTTGATGAAAACACATTAAAACAGAATGAAGGCGCGGTAATGTTAATTTTGTCAAACAAAAAACTTATAAACTAAACTTATAAACCTTACCCTGAAAGCAGCATTTTTCACTAAATAGTCACAGTGATTACCATTAATGCATTAGGTACCAAGATATAATTTATTAAAGCTATAGAAATGTGACACTTTTGAAAAATGTGTCTTTGTGTTGCGTTACTGCTTGTGCCTGGCGATGCAATGGTCGTTTGAAATTAAAACGGAGGACGAAATTTTAAAACAGTTCAATTTTGAGGGTAGATGAAGGAAATGGTCCTACGTTAATAATTAAAACGATATCAGTTATTCGATATCGATTCGTTATAGATTTCTAATCGTTTTTTTTTAATCGAATATATAAAAATATATATATAAAACGAAACGCTTCATTAATGCGACCACTATGACATAAACGTAAAAAATAATGAAATGTAATCTTAAAGTAAGTGTTGTGTAGTTTCATAAGTTTAAGGGTCGCGTCGGTCGCTAGGTTTAGTTAGACATAGAAAATATGGATAAGCTAGCAAAATCGATTACTGCCATATTTATCTCTATATAAAAACGAATCGCTGAATGTGTTAACTAAGCGCAAATCAGATCGAGAACAGCTGAACCGATTTCGCTAATTCTTTTTTTATAATATATTTCTTGAAGTTCGAGGATGGTTTTAATAATTATAAAACATCACGGATAGAAAATTTAAAAAAAAACAGCAAATTTCTATATTCCCGTACAAAAGTCCCGTAGATTGACTAAAGGTCAATTCGAACTTTAATACCATACCATAAAATTTAAATGTTAGTCTGTGGTAAAATGTCACTTGAAATGTAAACGTCTCTTTGCTGTGCATCACTACAAAGTATAAAACAAGGTCGTCCTGATGTCTGTCCCTATGTATGCTTAGATCTTTAAAACTACGAAATAACGCGGATCTTGATGCGGTTCTCTTTACTAGATAGTTTTTTTTTAAACGTTGCCCTTACTTTAGGATAACATGATCCTGTGTTGTAAGGACGTTTTACAAACATACATTTCACGCGGACAAACACCCAGATGCGAAACAACTATCTATGGGTCACACAAATAGTTGTCCCGTGTGGGAATTGAACCCACGGCCCCCGACGCCGAAGCCAATACCTTGGCAAACGCGCCACGGAGTCAAATACAATACATTGCACCCATGCGAAGCCGGGGCGGGTCGCTAGTTCTTAATAGATTAAAAGTCGCATTAATCGATTTTGTTGGTGTTTTAGCGACAATCTAGTAAATTATGGACAAAAACTTTTATTATTCATTGTTACAGTAATCATGGACACATAACGTCAAAGAGAGAGGCCTAATTAAAACACTCATTACAATCTTATTGTTAAAAAATGAGAAAAGTGCCTATTTGTTAGATTAGAATTCATCCGAAGTCAACAACAAATAACACTTCCGTATCAAATATTAAAAAAAAAATGTATTTGATTTCTCGACTTCGTATGTATTGCATAAAAATATTCATATATTATTGAATATAAGTTTGGTTAAGAATATTTTAACACGTTTTGTGTGAGGTAAATATGTAAGATTTCTTCCATGAAATATTTATATAATGGCATTGGAGAATAAAGCTTCTTATCACTTTTACGACTTGTTTATACTGACTGCTGCTTTATTGAAATTGTTTTCCAATTAGGGTTATCTATTTAATGGATTCCTATAGTATTTAAAGACAGGGTTTGCTACCTATATTGACGATTCCCTACGGCTAAATCTTCTATACCAAAAAATCTTTATTGCTAACTATTCACAGCCAAAAGTACACAGGAGACGTGAAATCTGATGTTGTATGACAGTATCAGCGTATGCTGTGTATAAAGGTAATCAAATCATAAATAATGTTGTGGTTCACGATTTTTGAATTCCCAAAAAATTTACGTGGGAGCATCAGTTTTCTGGATGGAAATATAATAGTAATGTAATATACGTTATATAACATTACTATTATATTTAATACTATTATACTTAATATAATAGTAATTAACAAAAAAATTATTAATTACTATTTTATTATTCATTCACCACTTGCACAGTTTTAAAGGAAATCGCCTCGACGAAAACATGTAAGAAATTATGAAATGATATTTGAGAGGTATATTTGAATTTGACCAATCCTAACTAATAGAATTCAGAGCAGTGTCTAATACCACACAGTGGTATATACCGACACCGTATTACGATCGGAAGGTTTGTGTTCGAATCTCCAGTGCATATTCAACACTCTTAATACAAATAATTAATAGCATAACATATAAGGTTTAACACCGATAATGATATTTCTTATTTCTTAGTTATTTCATAAACGTCATGTCAACGGTAATAATCTAAAGATTTTAGCGTCTTCATCAAGATATAATAGACCACAAATACTAATGGATTTTTTTTGTCACACTATTAGAAAATATATAATAAAAACAAAAAGAAAATTGTTATGAATATAATATGGGTATATAGATAATGCTTGGCTAAATAGTAATGGCTAAAGTGTACTACAAATAAAGAAGAACATATTTCGCATTTTCTTAAATATTTTGTGTAAAAAAATAATACACGAAAAAATATCAAGTCAAAAGAAAATTATGTGTTTAGTATGGTAAAGTATAGACTAAGAAAAAGAAACTGCATAGCAGCCTACACACTACCATTATGTAATACACAACTTTCACTTGGGTTGTTTTAAGATCAAGTGTTATAAGAAGCAAGGAAACTATGAATTCTCATATTTTTGTACATAGCATGCCATACAAGCAATAATAAGTAAACAGTGAGCCAAAAAAAAAAATTATACAGGTGCTCAGAAATTATTAGTCGGTACTCACTCCTGTAACTATTACTCATCAATAAATATTTGATTCATGGAATAAAAATCACCCTATGTGAAAAGTTCAGCTGTTTGATTGCATCAGTAGCTCAATTATAATACATAAAACTATAAGTATAATTTCCATGATACAATGTAGACAAACACATTTAAGCTAAGAAATAATATGTATTATCTTGAATTTTATCTGAAACCCATAATGCAGCTAGTTGTCTGGAACATTACCTTGATGCATGGTCCGGTGTAGGAAAGCGCAAGACAGCTGTGGGTGCAGTCACCCTGAGCACTTTCCCTCCGCAATTATCTGCCAGCCTTCTTAAACGACGTGATACTCGTTCTGGAGGTTGATCTATTGGAAGGTTTGTGACCTCCATCTCACAAGTTGGCTCCACCTCTTCCTCAGTTTGGCTTACCTAAATAATATACAAACCATTATACAATTGCATATCATGAAAAAGTAAAGCAACTAACCTACCATATTTTAAGTAATCTGTTAGCTACACATTTATGTATGGTTAAGTTGATTTTTAATCTAATTAAACAATTCAATTGTTAGCATTAGATTTTGTGTCATAATGTACTGAATAGTTAATAATATCTGCAAAGATAACTGATAGAAAAATGTCTGAGATGACCCTAAATGTCTGAGGATACACAACTAAAATAAAAAAATGCCAATAGTGTGAATAATTAATCGGACATTACTAAACTTTGGAGTGAGGAATTTATTCTAGTAAAAATAGTATAGTTTACCTTTGGATTTCTTGGAAGTTTAGCAGTTATGTCATTGTAACAATAATGTGAGTTAGCACATGCTATCAATGCAGAAGATGTGTTCTGTTTGTGCACCAATATCACTTCCATATTTTTCCTGGTTTAAAAGAAATACCACATGGTCAATATAATGGTCATCAACTCCCCATGGATAATACATATTTATGATATAGTACCTATGACGAAAATCAGACAAATCTGCAGCAAAATTGATGTCTCCAGATATCAGAAGCAATGCTGCGGGGGCCGTATGAAGTTCACCAAATCTTCTCATGCATTGCCTTAATTTTTCATCAGCTGCATTTTTTTGTGTTCCACAAACATGAATTAAGCTTACCTATTAATAAAATTATAAGTCATATGTGTTATTTATCTCACTATAATATAGTATAACATTTTATGTTTTCATGTTATATCAATTTAAGGGAGATATTCAATTGCAACATATATATTGTTAAAAATTGTTTACTTCAAATTATTATACATGCATAATGATATAAATATAATAAAAACATCAGCACATTTGAGGAAAAAAAATTAATAGCAATTTTCTTACTTGAGCATCATTAAGTTCTTGTAACCTATTAGGGGCCTCCTTTCGTACATCACACACAACAATAAAGTCAGCTTCTCGTCTCCCCGTAAGAAACTTGGCACGGATAGCGGCCACTACATCAATTGCAGAACATCCACGGGGTACCTATTTGAGATAGACATTACAAGTGTGGTGACTTTCAGAACTATAAGTTAGCAATAACTTCTCTTTTTAAAGATGATTTTTATACCTGACAATTTTCAATATCCCAAAATATGCCAATGGGTACACTATAAGTGCAACGTTGTTTATGATGGCGGAAACGAGATCTCACTCTTGTCCTTTCCGCTATTACAACACCTTCATCTCTGATGCTACCATAGTTCTCATCTGATGATTCGTCTTCCACGTCTATCGAATATAATTGTTAATATAAAATATATCCCACACAAACTCCTTCCGGGACCTAATGAGACATATGTTACAGACACAAAACATTATTCTAACACTTACCTGTAATCCATAACCGTGGAGGCAATGGTATTTTCATAACAGGACTACAAATATAATTTGCCAGACCTTGAACGGAACGACTTCGTGATTCTTTAAAGCCATTCATCCCGTTGTATACTAAATCTCTTGTCAAACTCATTATACGGAACTAAGTTATTTACCACGACTGCAAATTTTCTTCCAATTCATAGAATATGGAACAAAGCATCAGTCGAAATGAGGCTACGTGCTTATTAATAAATTATACATGTACACGTAGAACAAACACTTAAAATAAAACTGAATATTTTAAACACTACACATAAATCTTAAATCTGGTGGGATTTGCGTCTACTATGTAAAACAATTAATAATACAAAATGTAAAAACAAATCGACACTTCGCTACGCCATTTCCAATACTCTACAGAATCACAGATTGTGAAATATGAACATTGTGTGATTGCTGATTGTGTGTGTTGATAGATTTTACTTTGATGTTGAACGTTTCATAGTAATTTAGTGTTACCACTACAAAATAGCAATTGGATAAATATATTATAAAACAATTTTCCATTACTTTTAGCTTTAAATATTATTCCTTAAATGTATTGAATTACATAGTTTTTAAAAGTATCTAACGATCTAAATATTTATAACAGTTGTAAATTATTAGGAGCATAGGAATCGAGTTCTAGAATCGATATTTGTTCTTTTTGAATTATTGTTACGAAAAGTTTATTATTACAAATCACTTGTATATTTTGCGAAAATTGTTTAACTTATGTTAAGCGATAACCACCGTCCATGGACCTTTGAAATACCCGTGAGGTTTCAAATACTTTGCCACTTTTCATATAAGTGGGCCCCGGTGACCAGAAGAAACACATAAGTATAATACTTCCACAAAGGGTCTTCTGTGAGTTCATGGCTTGTACCCGGAAGGACTCTTTCGTGCAACGGCGAAGACTGCTGCGTGGCCTTACGACATTAGATAATTGAGCAATGGCCTGCCCACTTACATTTACTACCTTTTGACATAAAAAAATCATTACTCAAGAAATCCTTACTAATATTATAATTTTTATTGATTGAAAAATATTTTAGATTGTGCTATTTTAGATAAAACTAGCCTTTCGGCCAAGGCTCCGCCCACATATACTACATTTTGAATCATACTAAAAAAGTACCTACGGAACACTTTGTGCTCGATTCAGACTCACACTTGATCGATGTTTTTTAACTTTATATGAACTTACAATCATCGTTTTACAGACCATACTATACAGTTGACTATAGTCACATCTGCTTTAACAAAACTTCAATGTGGTTCTTTAAGTTAATATAACTTTTTTATTTATGAACCGATTTAAATAAAACTAACACTAAATGTTAGGTGAAGGTTACTTCAATGCATTAGTGAAAGTTGCACCTAAAGCGGTTAAGCCATTTCTGAGATTAGCACGCACAAACGCACAAACAAATAGATAAATGGAAAAACTGACAAAAATTTTAATAATCAATAACAGTTTACCTCAAATATGTTCCATGTACAGACAATGATAATTTACATTTTTATTCTCAGTATAGATTTAAAACGAAAATTATTAAACCAAATAATTTTTTTAATCTAATTACAATTAAACTAAATTAATCACGTAAGAGCCGTGATAGCTCAGTAACCCGAGTTCGATCGCCGGTGCCAGCACCAACAAAATTCTTAATTTTAAGTGCTGACTTATCATGTGCTTGGCGGCGAAAGAAAGTATCTGCAAATTTTCGAAATGATAAAAAAAAATGTTTGAAAATATCTCTCATAATCATCTTTACAGAGGATACTTTTGCCCAGCAGTGGGACATTTATAGGCTGCTCCTTTTCTTTTTTTTTAAATAAAACCAATTTTTTTTACTTTCACTTGCCATAACTTATGTCACGGAGATGCAGCGGAGTGAAGGTCATGTGATCGTCGTGTACCTGTACCAGATAAGTTGTTCTCCTTCATGAGTACCTCTTCTGATGAAACTGTCAAAGCGCGCAAGAGGAAATTACAGATACAAATAAACAATTTCTATAAACTGTAAGCCGTCATGTCATGTGTCAAACTGTCATTCATTGTCAATTGAATGAGCTTGCAACTTGCGTTTACTTTGTAGTTTACACAGAATTTATTTCATACTTTCAAGTCTATCGTTCAATTAAAAAAAAATTCGAAAAAGCGTCGCCATCGCAATAATATTTTATAAATTGTTTGTTCTATTACAGTCCTGTATTATTTATTAACTTTAACGTTTTAACAGAAGTTAACAATTCTTGTTCGTTTTGTTACAGTTAAAAAAATGTCTACGAATACCGGAAAGATTGTTAAAATGGAAGTAAGTGCGAGCCATATTTAGAACAGGATTAAATATTTCTTTACTCCTTTCGCCTCTATCACCATAGCTGTTCAGGCATGCAGACCAAAGGAGGTTACAAGATACGTCAGACTGAAACCATTCTCTTTAGCTTATACATTTATCAACATAAATTGTTATTCTTGCGTTTAGATTATCATGCATAAGCAAGTGGCACAATAGATCATCAAGCATGTAACTTGGGGATCTATTGTGCCACTAAAAACCATTACTTTTGAGAAGTTCTGACTTATCTATTAAGCCTGAAGCTTAACTCTCATGGCTGTATGTGTAAAAATAAAACTGGTCGTTGTGTTGTCTAAATCATTACTTTTGTCCACATGTTTAGTATTATACTTGTTTAAAGGTGGATTATGAAGACACATGTAATGAAAAAATACCATTGTGGAAATCATGGGCTTCCAATGGGAGGGTGCAAGAAGCGATAGACCAATTACTTGCCCTTGAGAAACAAACCAGAACGGTACATATTTTATTATGAACCTAGTAATACTTCTTCGTTAATATAATTCCTTTGTTTCCTCAATACATTAATTCTATATCTTTTGGTTTTTGTTAGTCTTATAATTTCATTCTATGTCTTTTGAACAATACTTATGGAACATACTAATTACAGGGTGCTGATATGCCATCCACAGCCAGAATTCTTGTGGCTATTGTACAAATTTGTTTTGAGGCCAAGAATTGGTCTGCACTCAATGATCATATTGTTCTTCTGTCTAAGAGAAGGTATTTTTTTGCATTATTATTTTTGAATTACATCTTTAGATATTTTTAATCATTAGCAAGATTCAAAATAAAAGTATGTTTTGCTCTTGTAATTTACCACATAACCTTTGGTCTTCTTATTTTCATTAGATCTCAGCTAAAGCAAGCAGTTGTCAAGATGGTCCAAGAATGCTGTACTTATGTTGATAAAACTCCTGATAAAGAGACAAAGATCAAGTTGATTGAAACTCTAAGGACCATAACCGAGGGAAAAATATATGTTGAAGTTGAAAGGGCAAGATTGACCAACATTTTGGCCAAAATAAGGGAACAGGAGGGTGATGTGGCTGAGGCTGCAAAGATAATACAGGAGCTCCAAGTTGAGACATATGGCTCTATGGATAAACGTGAGAAAGTAGAATTGATTTTGGAACAGATGAGATTGTGTTTGGCCATCAAAGACTACATTCGTACACAGATTATTTCAAAGAAAATAAACACTAAATTTTTCGAGGAGGAAAATACCCAGGTTAGAATGCTACCTAATATTTGTTCACACATTGTTGGTTGAAAAATCATTAACCAATATCTAATTATTAATCTATTTCAGGAGTTGAAAGAAAAATTCTACCGTATAATGATATCGGTTGACCAACAAAATGGCCAGTATCTCTCAGTGTGTAGACATTTCAGTGCCTTGGGTGTAGCTGGAGGTTCAGAGGCTCTTATTGGCAGTGTGGTTTTCTTGATACTTGCTCCATATGATAATGAACAATCTGATTGGACCCACAGACTGAATTTGGACAAGGAACTGGACAAGTTACCTGAATACAAGTAAGATATTATACAGTATTTTAATATTATATATGGTGGTGGTATACAGACTACACAATAAACATCCAAAGGTGTATTCAATTAGTATAAGAATAAGAAAATGTCACACATCAATTTGTTGACTGTGCGTGAATGTGACTTTAAGGCACAGTTTATACTAACAGGTTTAAAAATTCTGTATTTTAGAAAGAATACATAAGTGATTAGGTTAGACATTGAAACTGATAACTGAACATGTTATTTTCAATTGCAAACATAATACATTATTGCAAACCATTACAACAGCACATTATGCTGTTTATATTAATAAGCTGAACATAAAAAAATAATTAATGGTTTGAGTTTAATGACTACTAAGTGACTTTATTTTCTAAACTCCCATTAGTATAAGAAAACACGAAAATAAACAAATAAGTGATTAAAATTAAATTTAACTACATTGATGATAATACATATTGCATTTTATAATCGCTTTTAAAATTTTATGAACTGTCAACTTATAAAAAATAATGTGAAACATTATTTTTTTTAGTTCATTTGACTTATTATAATTTTTACAGACAGTTGTTGGGATTATTCATCAACCCAGAAATAATAAGATGGAACACACTCTGCTCAACCTACGAGAAAATGCTGCGCAAGACTCCTTACTTTGATGCATCAGATGAGAAGGGGCAGGAGCGCTGGAATGACCTCAAAAACAGGGTTGTTGAACATGTTAGTATTTATTATGCATAAAACAGTATCTTCATAAACAAATCATTCTTCATAGTGTATTATTATGCATCCATTTTGTCTTGAGTGTCCATCTGTGTTCATTTTAGTGTTTTTCTAGTAGGTGGGAAGTGAACTATATCGACAGATCATGTAAAATTATAACCCCCACACAAAAGTAAAAATCAAAAACAATATGTATGTGTGTTACCTAATTTTGAAATGGTGGACCCGGGTACCTTTCAGAAGTAAAATTTCCACTATAGAAAAACATTGTGTGATGAACACAGTGCTTTTAGTGTCTGGATGCTTATGTCTATATTATGTAATTATTTTGAAAAGCAAAGTATGTTTAAGTATTTTGAATTTTTGTTAAAAAAGAACAAAATGCCTTCGCGGTTTCGCGCCCAGACGCTATACCAACTAACTACATTTTTACCAAGCAAGTTTAATCTTAAGTGCAGACACTAGCACTAAAATAAAAATTAAACCTAAAATATTTAAGCATGTCTCTCAGTTACTTACTGCCCATAGTACGAGCTTCACTTGCTTTGGATTTAGATAAAGTCGTGTTAATCCCGAAATATTTACACTTATTAACGGCCGGTTTCAATATTCTATCGTACAGATAGATTGTGTTACTGGAGATAGAATTTCGACCTAAGTATTATGGGGCTAATGTCAAATACCTATTGTTTGCAGAACATCCGCATAATGTCAATGTACTACACGCGCATCACGCTGCAGCGAATGAGCGAGCTGCTCGGTCTGAGCGTGACGGAGACTGAGGAGGCTCTCAGCCAGCTCGTGGTCACCGGCGTGGTTCGCGCCAAGATCGACCGGCCCGCCGGCGTGGTGCACTTCAGGTGACTTTCCAAATTCAAATATCTTTGTCCAGTACTAGCTGACCCGGCAAACGTTGTTTTGCCATATAAATTATTTCCAGGAGGGAATTCATGAATCTGAACGCATAGAAAAATAATTGTCGAAACGCACGCATAAAATGTTTGACAGGTAGGAACTGTAGTTTGTATGGGAAAATACAGTTGTTGCTATTTAGATTTTCCATGTAGTTTTTCGATAATGTCTCATTGTTTAAACCTTCCCTGGACTGCAGCAAATATTTCAAAACTAAAATTAGCCAAATTGGTCCAGCCGTTCTCGAGTTTTAGCGAGACTAACGAACAGCAATCCATTTTTATATATACAGAATATTCAGTATACAGCGAGTCGTTACCATCGCGACAATAAATTAACACACGTCTAACGCTACTTGTGAATAATCACAAAAAATATCCATAATAAAAAAAATATATTTTTAAACAAACTAATTTAATAAAAAATAATTTGTAACATCCTATACAACTAAAACTGACTGATTCATACATTCAGACACTTTTTCATTTGTTACCACAGCGTCGCACTACAAATCTCTCCTTCTAACAGTATGTTTTATCTCTTTCAAATTCATTCAATACAATCATATGCTTTGTGACCTTTACAAATGAACTTTACCTTACCGTTTAAAACATAAGGGTGTTCTAAAAACGTTAGTTTTGGAAAATTTAATAACTCTGTAAATATTGATGTTTAAATAATGTAAATGTTTAATACTATTTAAAAAAGTTATCCTCTATGTGTGTGTTCATTTATTGTCGCGGTTGTAACGACACGCTGTATAATACAAATGACGCTCACTTATTGATTGTCAAAACGCCATCACCGGTTTGGAATAGAAAAGCCATTGACCTGAGAAGAACCTGCGAAAGAATCTCAGCGGGACACACATTTTGGACTCACTCCCCACGTGACTCCAATTCGCACCGACGGGTTTAACGTTGGAAACGGTTCGAAACGTCGGGAGTTAAAATTGAAATTTTCGATGAAGTCCGTAAATAGTAACATGTATAATATACTAATAGAAACAAGAAATCAATATGTTCAACCCACTTTTTCAAAAAGCTGGTTCTCAATTCGGTTGTGGTTTTTATGTTTGTTACCTCAACACTCTGTTATGAAACGATTTTAAAAATCCCTTTTGTTTTTTTGGTTCTGGTTTAGCTCTAATATGGATCCCATGATGATCAGATACATCATGGCACTCTTCAAAACCAAGTAGAAAATGTATATCGAAGTCTGTTTTGTTTTTTGTTATCAAAAATGTAATTGTGTTTGCTTATTATTATTATAATTTAACGTCTTCAGATTTCTCCATGCAGACTTTTCTTCATTACTTATACCGCCATTTTTCGTATGGCTCCATCCTTTTGTCGTTGACATTTCTAGCCGTCGAACAAGGAAGTTCGCAGCCTCTTTCGTAATGCATACCGCAAGCGACGAACATTTTGTCAGCGTCAGGTTTCCTATCCGATTATAAATGCATGTGTCTTCCAGACAAAAGAGAGAATAGACCGTTACTGAGCTAAGGCGTTTACCGTTTAAGATTCCTCTTCCGCCGAAGCTGTCAAAGCCGACGGGCTAACAGCAAACTACACGTCACAAAAAAAACGATTAAGATCTTTACTTACTATCAGGTGTGATGGTAGTCTCCAGCACTGGTCAGTTTTGAGAAAAAAAAATCTATTTTCTTTCATATTCACAGCACAGGGACATTTGTTCGAGAAATGGAAAGAGTGGAATGATGAATTAAAAGAACAGATTGTAAATATCCTAAAACACGTCATATACTATATTATTTTGCGATTATCGATTAAAGGTTACGATAGAGTAACAGAGAGGGAAGAAAAGCAATGGAAAAATTTAATCTCAACGTAATGTTGCTCAACACGTTTGTTATTTTCATTCATGCACTAGATATTAAAAAGCCGTAAAGATATTAGAAGCACTAGCAAAACGGCAACTGCTGTCGCTACTTAAAATGAGTTCTCAAAAAACAGTACTTTGTGCAACAACTTTTACAGTTTTATTTTTATTACGCCTTGATTGAGCTTGTTTATAAACCCGTTTTACCTATACAACTAACGATATCCGATCATTTTTGAAACGTTTACTAAAATTTCGTTGTTCATTCACTTGCAGCCTCAACAAGGACGCTTCGGACCGCCTCAACGATTGGTCCAACAACCTAAACACACTTATGCAGCTGGTGAACAAAACTACGCACCTCATCAATAAGGAAGAGTGTGTACACAAACACTTACTGGCAACGGCCGAGTGAAATAAACTTATTGATTTACCTACGATAAATTCCAGGCCAGGTCCTGGCGTTTAACCTTAAATGCTAAGTTTGTTAATAAAGAGCTAATTGATTTGATGCCTTTGAATTTTTCCTATTTGCTGTTGCTTTCTAATTAATTGAAAGAAAGTTTCTAAGTTCCTCTTCAGTTTAGTTACCGAAATAACAATTGATGGAAGCATAAATGGCGGGTAATGAGAGTAAATAAGTTTTTTTTTGCCTTAAGAAATATTGAAAACTTTATTTATTGAGTGATCATAATTCCAAATAGCTTAAGCTCATATAATTATGTAGATCTAGTATATAAAATTCTCGTGTCACGGGGTTCGAACTTGAACTCCTCCAAAATGGCTCGACCGATTTTTAACAAATTTTATATGCGTATTCAGTAGGTTTGAGAATCGGCTACTATCTATTTTTCATCCCCCTTAATGTTAAGGGTGGTCCACCCCTAAAAATATTTTTTTACTTTTTGTATAATTTTTTTTTGTTTCTATATTTTTATGATACAGCATACAAAAATACATACAACCCTAAATTTTCACCCCTCTACGCAGACGTAGTCGCGGGCAGCAGCTAGTAAATATATAAGTTCCACTGCTGGCAAAGCGCTCCTCTGTGCAGAAGTTAATAGGGGATAGACCACCACGTGACCCCACGGCAGATTCACTTGACATATCTTCGAAACATTATTATTATTTCGAAAATATGCTGGTTTCCTCACTTTACTGGCGGCAATTAACAATGTTATCGGTGCCCTGTGATTTGAACTCAGCTTGTCCCAGTATAAATAATTACAAATATTAGCAGTGAATTATCACGGCATTTTATGGTTAAGTGAGGTACAAATAAGCTATATTCAGGACTGGGCAAAATATATACTTTGATTTAATCGAAATGCAGTATCGCAAGTTAATAAAATACGAAACAAAATATCTTGTAAGGTCCCGAACAAGACGAATTCCGAAAAGGCTTCAGTACCTTACAGACAACCGAAGAGTTTTATCCTTTATGTCTAGCGTACGCGGAATGTCTATGTGAAAGTCTTCGATTCTGTCGAAATTTGGTACTCCAGGTCCTTCAGTGGTGACAAATTGACTGTCAGTATATCGAGGTGCTGAGGTATTCGTCCATCCATGTAGAGTCCAATAGTACACAAGCTATTCAACTGAAGAAGGATGTAAGACACGGTGATGTCATATCCCCGAAACTCTTCACCGCTGCATTAGAAGATGTTTTCAAGCATCTGGACTGGAAAGGACGTGGTATGGCGGGATAATGGCAATTATATCACCCACCTTCGATTTACCTGCATAGTCATTATGGCAGAATCGCTGGAGGGCCTTGGTACTATGCTCAATGACCTCAACAGCCTCTCCCAACGGCTTTAACATGAACATGGACAAGACGAAGATCATGTGTAATATCCATATCACGCCTAAACCGGTTGTTGTGGGGAGCACTGTGCTCGAAGTTGTTGACAAGTTCATATACCTAGGACAGTTAGGTTATTCCGGCTAAGTAACTCCAGCTTCGATACAGGTCAATCCGCGATTCCAAGTCGGATGGGCAGCGCTCAGGAAACTTCGGCATATCTTCTCGTCCAATATCCCTCAATGTTTGAAGACCAAAGTCTTCAATCAGTGTGTGTTGCCAGTGATGATCTACAGAACTGAGATGTGGTGCTAAAAGTTTCTCGGCGAGCTATGGAGAGAGCTATGCTTGATATTTCTCTGTGTGATAGAGTTCGCAGTAGAGGAGGTTCGCAGGAGACATTGGCAGTATAACAAAGATAAACGACATATCTCAGAGGACTAGTAAGCTAAATTGGTGATGGCCCGGCGATATAGCTCGTAGAACCGATAGCGGTTGGGAAAGAAAGGTTCTCGAGTGGCAGCCTCGTATTGGTCATCGCAGTACAGGACGACCCTTCACTAGATGGAGTTGGATTAATGCATTGGGGGAGGCTATGTTCAGCAGTTGACTCAAACAGGCTGAAATAAAGATGATGATAACACCATGACAAGAAAATCAAATGTTATATAAATTATTGGTTGGCGTGGAAAGTAGCAATCGCATGCAAGTGAATGTATCTTCATAAAAATATCGTTTCGGTCCTACCTACTGATACTGATTTACGCCGGGGAGTAATACAATCAACCATTATGATAAGATAGCTACAATTTAGACATTTTTTTTAAATTATCAATTAAGCATAATGGTACTAGATGTTCGTTCTCAATTCTTATTAAAACACGAACATGTTAACACTTTTAATCTCAGTCGCAGTGCCTTCGTGTGTGGTGATACTATTTAAATATGTAAATAGTAAACATAAACCACCTATTCTCGGAATATATCAGCAAAGAAATAAGGGTTATACTATTAAATTTCTTTTCATGTACATATTGTTGAGTTTTAAACAGGTATGTAAATTTTATAAGATATTGCTAGTCATTAATAGTAACATAATTTTCAACTCTTAAATTTTTAATATAATAATAGATACACCTTTATATTAATCTTAATACTAATATAATATGTGGTTTACTTTAATTTTTAGTTTATTAACTATGTGAAGAAATTGCTAGCTGTCGAATTAGGGCACAGCTTCGATGGGACTGAACACATTCATAAACATGATTCGAATTTGGAACAAAAATATTATCTCGGAGACTATCCCAAGGTGAGGTAATCGGATTAAGGTTAAAATTAAAATTATTTAATTAATTTCCATTTTGTATAAAGATTCTCGCATTTATTGGAATGTGAGCATGTCGTTTTTGCATTCACCTTGTTGAAATGTTAAGCCGTGAAGAGGCAATGCCGCCTGAGTGGTTGTTTGTATAATGAAATTCTCTTATCTAGTATTACAAATGTTAAAATCTCTCACGCTTTTGAACCCTAACGAGGTAGACGTTATATTCAATGTTCTTCGTGTTTCGTAGATGTTCTTATTAGATCTACCACTGTATATCGGCCACAGGTGTAGACAGATATCTTGGTACGTAAGAAATAAGTGCAGAAAACTGATTGGTGCCCCGTGTAATATTTTAAGATTAAAGAATATATATGTACTCATTCATTAAGTATGTGCTCATTTTAATATCAAAAGTACAATCTCACATTACTTTCACTAGGCCATCTCTCAGTTTTCAGTTAATAAATAACCTATTCAGTAATTATTATTTATTAATTAATATAAAACATTTTTACATTTGATATCGATCCGATGAATAATAAATTAGTACCAGGAGGACCACGGTTTGTTTTTTTTTTTGGTAAATCGTGTATTTTGGAAATTAAGTATTTAGTAATGAAATATTCATAATATTTTTCGATGTTACCGACGTAATAATAAGAAAATACGAACTGGTGTTTTTCACAAAAGAAAGAACTTTAAAGAAAAGGGAAAAAAATAACAAATAACAAATCGACAAAAAAATAAGTGTGTGATTGATCGTGATACGAACCACGGCCGTCTGTTTTGGGGCCGCCCGATTACCGACCGATTATTATAAAATAGATCGATTTTTCGACCCCGAATCTACGCACATACTAAATTTCATGAAAATCGCTGGAGCCGTTTCTGAGATTCCGATTATATATATATATATATATATATATATATATATATATATATATATATATGTAAATACAAGAATTACTCGTTTAAAGGATAAGAGATAATATTTTAGGCGGTAGATGCTGTCTATTTCAATGGATTGTCAAAGAATGGACCTGCAGTTATATGTGGTTTGGCACGTAGACCCAAAAACTTTTGCGATGCATTTTTATACTTAAAGGTAAATAAATTCTCTTATAATTTTCTCAACTTATTGTTAAGTATCGCTTATTGGTTAAATATAACTATTCATCGAGGAAGTGCATCTAGCGGTCTTGGGTTCTTTACTCACATTTATTTTACCTGATGTTTTACTCTCAGTCCGTAGACTATTAAAGCTTCATCTAATGCAGAGCACGTAATAGTTAGATTCCAAGGACTTGAGAATTTATATGAAAACTAATAGAGGTGAAATATATGGATTAAATACAGCGTACATGTCTTTTTTCGTTTTATTTTGTGTCAACTATTTATTTATTGACTAATTTATTTGTGATAACTCAGAGTCTGTGCGCTCATTTTTAATTCAATATATTCGAGCAATCATATTTCAAATCCCGGTGCCGGCACTAACCATATGGTTCAGTACAATTTTAAGTGTTGATTTAACACGTGCTCAGCGGCGAAGGAAAACATCGTAAAGAAACGTGCATATTTTCGAAATAATAGTGAAAACTAAAAACATTTCAAATATTTATGTGAAGTCCACGAATCCGTAGTGGAGTCGTACCTGTATAGAGGAGGCCTTTGCCTAGCAATGGGATAAATATAGACGTTACTTTACTATTACGTTACTTTGGCTAAATGCGTAGTTTGAAAGGCAGTTGCTTCATTCATTTATAGGTAGATGGTGAAGACCTTCTGTTGTCTCCAAATCTTCCGGACACTAAACTGGAGCAGAAAGCTTTGGAACAGGGAGAGTACAGCGTGCACGGTATCACGATTACTAACTTCACCCCGATGAGAACCTGGAAACTGTGTTATAGTGGAGAAATGAAGTAAGTTTTGGGTAGCACATTCACTTCGTTTGTTCTGCACTTATAATTCTCACTAAGAATAGCGATAATTATATTCCCTTTTTAGTCCACTGCCAAACTAAGCTGCCCCCCTACCCCCTCTCTCGCCCACAAACCGTCAGGAAGCACGATCTTGAGCCGTCTGCATCCATCGACTTCTCGCATATTTGCAGAGGTGGTCACTCATTCTAGTAGGGGGTCGTCCTACACTACGATGGCTAATACGAGAATCTTTATTGCGATCTCTATCACGCAGAGACAACACCGAGCATAGCCCGCTCATAGGTAATGAGGCACCAGAATTTATGAATAGCTCTAACATTTTAGAACGAGATCAAGCCCTGAGAGGAAATTGAAAGTGGAATTAGAGCTGACGTGGGGTGCCAACTGGGCACCGTTTGAATACGACGCGCACATGGCCCCAAGCAGCATTGCCAGCGATATGGCCCGTGAGCCTTGGTCCTCCGATTACTTCAGATTACTCAACAAGTCAGTATATCGAACATTTGGGAATGTTATTCGTTCAGTTTGTTTCCGAATGGCCAGTTAGAGCGACGGTCAATGTTTACCGCCGCCGATGCACGTTCAAATGTATTATAGTTGCGTTGCCAACCTAAAGAATCAGCCTATATATAATGTCCCACTTCTGGGCATAGGTTTCTTCTGTACACTCGGCACCACTGTGGATTTGCCGACTTTACATATATTCGAAACATTTTTATTTTGTTATTATAGTTAAAGAAGAACGGTTACTTCACTCACCAAATGTAATTAAAAGTTATGATAAACCAAACTCAAAATTTCTTTATACAACATAGGCTTATTTTAAGTTCTTAGTGAACGTCAGTAAACTACCACTGGTTCACTGTCCGGAGAAGAACCGGGAAGACTGGCTAGACCTGCCCGGAGAAGAACCGGCAAGAAACTGGGTTCTTGTTATGGTTTTCTTTTAATTATATAAGTATAACACAAAAGAATATAAGTATAAAATTAGCAGCAGCCAGGGGATTTACAAGTGCAGAGCAAGTCATTTCCTGATGTACTCGTACTTGTCCTCAATCTTCTTCGACACTACACTCCTCAAAAAATATTAAAAAAACAACAAACTTAAATTACAATAATTATATTGTAAATATGGGGTATTTGTTCAATTTTTTTTAAAACAATAATTTAAGTATTAATTTAAATGTTGATTTCTTTTAATTCTCTTTTAACATGAAGTGTCGAGTTGATTTTAAGAATTTATGTTGATTTAAGCTGGTATTTGACACGTTGGCTTTCTTAAAATATTAAACAATATCATATTATATGAACTATTTTCGATAACGCTGCCTTATATTACAGATTACATCAAACACATTATGAACAAATGGGTTTTATTAAAGGAACCGCAATTGTTGATGGCAAAGAACATATACTGAATATGCCTTGTTTGAGGGACCGCAGTTTTGGTAAAAAATTTAATACTTAATAAACATTTGTTCAAGCAAATACACAGATAGTGTAGTAACAAGCCTATCACCAAATCAGTGTTAATGTAATACTAAATTTACTCTGCTTATCGTCAAGTGCGATAAACATATATCAGCGCAATAGATCTATATAAAAAAGAAAATGCAATTGTTTAACAATAAAATAACATCGACCAAAGTTATGTCCACGATTAACAATCCTAAATTATATTCTTAATCCAGTCTTCGCTGATGTGGATTTCTAATCGTAACATTATTATAGAGCACAATATTCGAAAGAACACATTAAAAATTAAGTGGAAGCCATAATTTTGTAACGGGTTTGTTAAATACGGTGAGCATAACTGCATGATTTCTTTTCAGGACGATTCCGCGAGTGGAGAAATTTCCATCGTTACGTTTACCACTTTATTTTTCTCGAGAACGGTGACTGTATGGCGGTAGGCAGTGTGTCTGAACCTACCGTTTTATCACAGTAAGTTCGGCGTTTACGCAATGTATATTAATTTCTAACTTTAAAGCTAATTCTATGAATAAAATAACGTTTTATGTTTATATTCTGTTTTTAGTGCTAGTCTGCACTCGAGATGATATTTTAATGTAAATTCTGGCAGCGCTGGAAAAACAATTTTCAAGTCGAGTTTTGTCTTCTCGCTAACATGAAATCGCACAAAGTATACTCAAGTTACGGTTATTTTTTTCTGTGTCATACAGTAATTTGTCCCATGCGAAGATGGAACCCACAACACGACACGCGGTTGGCCAGCGAATCAAAACGCAAGTTTTATAATTTTAGTTTTCGTTTAATATTCAAATAATTGTTTTCAGCTTGACGATCGGATATATGTGCATTCAAGAAGATCAGACAGTTCTACCAGTCGATTCTAGCGACTTCCATTTGTACCAGCATGGTGAAAATCAAATACTACCGAAGGATTACGGATTCGTTTTCAATTCCGGTAAGCGTTATTTTATTTTTACTCGATGGATACAGGTGGCTTAGGATCGTAATTTATACGGGAGGCTTATTTTCAGGCAGATATGATGATGATCAAGCATTATTTTTGTAACTTACGTCTGACTTCACTTCACGGAGTTACTTAAATTGTTCCATGCTTATATGGTTAAAGCTGTGCCATTCGTCGTTTGAAGGATTAAGTCTTGAGGAAGTCTATGTAAATCATTTGATTATGAAGATTCAGGCAATCTTATCTTCATACGATCGAGTCCATTAACAATTAAAATCAGATCTATGTATAACTGTATTGTGGTAGGGCCACGCAACAGTTTCTTTCGGCTGTTGCACGAATGGGCAGGCACCACGACCTAAGACCGGCGTGAAGGAGATATTATTATAGGTGGTATTCTCGGAATCCAACAACTAAATATTTATCTTTTATAGCACATTTACAAAGACTTGTTTGTAAAGTTTACTTTATTTTTATAGCATATTTTGAAAAATACTACAATTAGCCGATGGAACGTTAGCAACTCTAGATGAGTCGCCAGTATGTTTGCCACCTTAAGTAAAGAAAAAATTACATGTTCCTTTATTATTCTAGGTGGCCAGTCGTATGCTGTTAAGATAAAAGTTTACGATGAGCACGTCTTTTATATAGGGTCGGAAAGAGAGGCGAAATTTTACGAAAGATGGTGTAACGTCGAGGTAAATGGCGTCAAAGGCTGCGCCTGTGTGGAATGGCACTACAACAATGTGCAAAACTCTGATTAATATTATTTGTGCAAAACTCCGATTGATTATTTATATTATGCTACTTTTTTCCTGAGTGAAATATTTCATAAGAAAAGAGTGCACGTAAACAAAAATAATAAAAGAGGAAAGTTATGTAAAGATATATTTAAGTAACATTTTACAATTCAGTACCAACTAAATATTTTAGAAAACATGGACTAGTATATATGGCGTTATTAAAATATTACAACATTTGTATTGATACCATTTAAAATATCTAAGTAATACTGTAAGCTTTTTTTAATCTATCCTTTTTATGTAATATAAACATGTACTATGTTTTTATGTAACTGTATAAAAAAACATGTACTATTATTTTATTTCAATTAAATTACTGTCTTTTATTATTTGCCTTACTAGTATAGTTCAATATAGCTGAAGATTAAAACATAAAAACATAACCTCACAAGAGCCACTACAATTTTGTTACAATTTTTTTTTTGGATTTTATACATATAAAGATTATTAAAAAAAATATACATATGTATAAAATCCAGTTCACATGCAATTAAATACAATTTATACAATTGACAGGATTAAGTATAAGGAAAAGTTAATTAGTAGCTATATGACAATAGTATCGGGAATGGCTAAATATGAAAGCAACAATTTAAACATGGACAAACATTTCGAAACTATAGTAAAGAGTTTACTTAGGGTTGTATTCTTAATTAAAATAAGTCATATTTCTGATAACTGTACCTGCATTACATATATATTTATCGTACATTTGCAATTCCTGAATAAAATATATTTGAATGTAAAAACTATTATATGCATCAATTTAAGAGAGACCAAGCTATATTTTTAATTAACGGAAGTAATTGAGAACTTTTGAACTGGAAAGATTTTTCTGATAGTCTCTATTCATTCTTAGATATGCTATGAACATTATTTAATAAATGTCAGAATTCTTCACGAATTGTGCTGTCACAAAATCTTTGTACGCCAATTTACAAGATTTTCACGCAATCGAGAAATGTATTTATATATAGAACGCCCATCGTGGAAGACGTATTGATTTAGTTACTCTCGAAGAACATCTTACACTATTAAGATTATTTTCAACTGATTTTGTGGTTCGATTGATATTTAATTACAATTCCTCAGTAAACACTAAAAGCTCTGCCCGACAAATTTATATTTCGAGAAAAAAATAATTTACAACTAAATACTCTACAGTAGAGCTTCACTTAAATACACGATCACACTTTTTTCTAATGCGTTTTAAAATTTTAAGAAAGTTCATATTTCTTCTAGAAGTATTTAATTGATAAAGATATACTTAATAGTAATTTTATCAAATCACCGAATTTTACATATACGTCAAGAAATGTTATACAATATTATGTTTGAACAAAGAAAGAAAACTACTCTAGGTCGTTAAAGTCCGTACAAGAAATAGAAATAAACTTTAAAACTAATGCAATATTATCATAGCCCAAAATTTTAATGACCTATAAGATAATGTAATTCAATTTGAAACAATAAGAACAGGTCACGCTGAACCAATAACGAAAAGATTATTAATATATATTATTATATATTTTTTTTTAAATCCTATCCTTTCGTTACTGTACAGTCCTCGATAAAATCGAGCTGAATTTTGATAGTTTCGCCATTGTTTTCCTCGCTTTTCTATCGATTATTAGTAAGTACAGTTTTTATTCATAAATGTGTACGCAGTTGGCACAGTGGCGCGGGTGCTAAGCAGAAGTCGTTGGTTCGATTCCCACACGGGGCAAGTATTTGTGTCATGCACAGATAATTTTTCCGGATCTGGGTGTTCATTCCCAAGTTGGGTGACGTCAGACAGGTGTCCAGTCGTAAAAAAACCTAGCCAATAACATCAACAACTTTGTTTACATATATATATATATATATATATATATATATATATATATATACCGAACCTACGTAGGATAAGGACAGCAAAAAAGGAAGAACCATACGCAACTCGAATGAAAAATTTCGTTTTACTTCAGAAAAGTCAGTTAACTATCTCACAGTGTCCCACATCTGTCATTACATATACATATTTCGCTATAAATGGAATGAAATTCAGACTAGAATCAATAGAAATCACAGCACCTATATTATACGGGTAATGTTCAGAACATTCCGCGCAGACGGTCGAGTTACCACAGTGATAAGGCAGGAGACACTTAAGTACTGTACAATCCAATAGAACATTACTTTGCACCAGTCTAAATTATTACAGAGCCACGCCTCCGAATATCTGGAGTGTTTTATGAACATTGAATAGAATTTGTTGTAAACAACTAAGCTTTTTCTAATTTATTTAAGGTATTTAAGGTATAACTTTGGGAATAAAAGGAAAAATCCATAATATACATACAGTAGTAAACTAACATTCTTCAACTGCAGTCAAAATTAATGAAGCTACTGATATGAGCCTTATGTAAATAAAGCGTCTATTTTACAATCTACATTCGAATAACAAAATGAACATAAGAAGAAATAAATGAATACATAATTACTACAGTTTGAATTTTCCTAATCGCATACAGTTAATGTATTTTGATATTTTTTTATATTATCTATTTTAAATAATTTAACACAAAAATCAGCATATATAGTATGAAGCTCAAAGCGTCATTGAAATATTTTGGCTAAATCAATAGGATTGTACCAAAATATTTTACAAGAATACAAACATATTTTACAACATAAGTACACAATGCTGTAACAACTTAACTAAACTTTATCCAGCTTGTATTTTTTACGTTTAGCGAAGAATATCTATAACCAAACTAAGATTAATCTGTCACTATCTTTACTTGGCCAAAAATATATACAGCGTGTCTTTATCGACATAAAGCGACCATCGCGACAATAAATGAACACACATATAGAGGATAACTTTTTAAAATTGTATCAAAGGTTTACATTCTTTAAACATCAATATTTACCGAGTTATCAAATTTTCCAAAACAAAGACTTTTAAAACACCCTTACGTATAAAACTTTAATGTAAAGTTCATTTGTAAAGGTCACAAAGCATATGAATGGGTTGAATGAATTTAAAAGAGACAAAACATACTGTTAGAAGGAAGCCTCTCCTTCTGTAATGCGGCGCTGTGGCAACGAATGAAAAAGTCAGTTGTAGTTGTATAGGATGTTACAAATTTTGTTTCTTTTTTACTTAATTAGTTTGTTTGAAAAATATTTTTTTTTAATTATGGATTTTTTAACGATAATATTGTTTTATGATTATTGGTAAGTAGCGTTAGACGTATGTTCATTTATTGCCGCGGTGGTTAAGACACGCTGTATAACAGATGTTATATTACGTTGTCCAATAAAAACTTTTTTAATGTGACAATGTTAATTCATTAATTGTAATAGTTTATTAATTAAAGATTTTTAATATTCGAATATAGTTATTTTGAATACTCTCCACCTTATTTACCACCTAAACCATATTTAAAGGAAACACTTATAAATATACCCAGAAAACAAAAAAAAAATACATCTCGTGATAAATGGTGCTTTGGTAATTAATACTAAATCATTAAATAATATTCAATTAACTATGACATTAGAATGTTGTGACTAGAGTGGTGTTTAAAGCTAAACCACAAATATATACAAACTGAAATGAAAAGAAAAAATTAAACAACTAAACATAAACATGACAATTTGAATTACATTAAAAACAATATTTTAAAGCCGAATCGAACAATTCATAACAAAAATAAAGAATGCGATCCTGAATAAGTAAAATCAATGTGTTAAACAAAATGTATAACGACATATATGAGTATAGAAAAAAAAAATATACGGCAATATAAGTAATTATTGAATGACGTTCAGATTTTCTAAATAATACTGATCCATTATTACTAGTATTCATAAGGCTAACAAACAGGAAAAGGTTGATTTTAATTTTCGTTATTAAAAATTAACGGCAAACCGCTTTTGTATAGGCGTAGACATTTAACATTTTAAACAACTTAAGATGCAGATAAGATTATTTTAATTTACCTAACGAAAATAATCGTTTCCTTCCAAAAACCTCATAATTTTATGTCAGAGTCTATGTTCATCATCATCAAAAGCCGTTAGAAATAATTTATTCGCATAAAAAATTACGCTAATTAATTATGTCCGCCGTATACAAAGTTTCGAATAAATTGGAACTAGTTAGTTCTGTAACTTATATGTAATTAATATGTAACTTATATACTTCGTAAGTATAACTTAGTGGAGTAAAAGTTGACACATATACGAAAATTTAATTCAATTAAAATATTTGATTTTATTCAACCATAAACTAATTGCAAAGCTTTAACTAATTGCAAAGTATAGACAAAAAATAATTTTCAATTAATAAAAACTCGTTTAAAATATAAGAACTTTGCAGAAATATTTAGGATTGAAATGGTCATAGTCGTTTGTATTTTAAGAATAGAGTTCACAACAAATTTTAAAGATTTTTTGTTGCCACTTTTATTAAGGGCTAGTTGTACCAATGTACACTACAAATGAAATATAATAGAATGTCCGAATTGATCTTATTTCTGGTAATGGTGAATTTGTCAAATAATAAATGATTAACACGAAATTTATTAACGCAGTCATATTGCAAATAAATATTATACATAACTATAGTTAAAAAAATATTATTTTGAAAATATTAAATGGAAATTCATGTGAAAATTTACCATGGTGATAATTAGCATTATTATCGCAAAAACACGTAAATAATTATACCATCGACATATATCATCTGTAATTAAGTATATACTACGTTTATGTCCGTAACAGTTGTACTCAGACAACAGAAAGAAAACAAAACAATACTCTCACTATTGCAAACTGCAGACGGCCGAAGTGCCGGGCGCGTGGTCGAGCAACGCCCGCCGCCGTTTTATACCTTCGAGATAAACTTCGCGGTTGAAAAGGCCCGCCGCTAGTGGTACACTGGAAACGTTAACATTTTAAGTTAATATTAATCCTTATAGACGCATTCAATGCATGTACCGTCAGCGCAAGAACCGAGTCATCGCTTAATAAGACCCTCGCATATAGACGATATAAGAAATATAATTATGTTTACAATTTCGAACTACACGGTTAATCGCAACTAATGTGTAGTGGGAGCAAGGCTACATAAGCGAGCTGTTTGAACGGCAGTGCCAAAGGGAGAACAGGCTCTTTGAGTTAATTCACCTTATTGTTTGAAACTCCCACGCAATGTTTTCACTTTAGAAACTGTGAAGTATAACAACGGAGATTTTTCAAGTGAAAAGCGGCATCATCATGATGTAGCATCCCATCTGTAGAAAACTAGCCGCTGGCGCTTTAGTGCCTCGAAACAGGGACCTGTCTGAAAAACCACGGGCGTGGTTTGGTGCTTTCAAACTGCGAGCCGGCACTTACACGTCGGTGCCGGGCCGGAGAGCAGCGGAGAACAGCGCCCAGACGGGCTTGTGGTCGCTGGTGCATACGGACTGCACCGAATTGTACGCCAGGCATTTCAGCCCAGCGCACGCCGGCACAGTACTGACGCGACGCAGACCTGATGAGGAACAGACAACGCCGGATTTAACAAGCGCAAGCTTGTAGCAAATTCTTTCAAACAGCCCTTGATCTGATATGGGTTCTTAAATATGAAGTGGTAAAAAAAACTTCAATACACTTTTTTCATAAGTTTCATTAAAGTTTGTAGAAAAGGTACGAAAAGTTCGTACTTTTTCTACAAATTTTAATGTTCAATTTTCTACAAATTTTAAAGTGCAGAGATTAGCACTATAAAAAAATTAAATTTCTAATAAGTTTCACTCAAAAAAATTAAGGCTCAGGTAGAGATGAGTGGGTTTAAATATGCGGGGCCCCCTTTGGCGCGGGGCTCGTAGCAATTGCTACTCTTTCTTCGCAGTTAATCCGGCACTGAGGACAGACTTAGATTCGAACCTCTGCCTCATTTCTCAAAGATGGTTTCTTTTGCCGGAACGCCATAACTCCAATAATTTTCCATCATCATTTCAGCCTGTTTGAGTCCACTGCTGAACATAGGCCTCCCCCGCATTAATAATTCCTAATCAAATTTTTTTATGAGTCTGTGGCGCAGCCGCCAAGGTATTGGCTTCGGCGTTGGGGGTTGTGGGTTCGATTCCCGCACGTGACAAGTATTTGTGTGACCCACAGATAGTTGTTTCGCATCTGGGTGTTTGTCCACGTGAAATTTGTGTTTGTAAAACGTTGTTACTCAGGATAATGTTATCATAAAGTAAGGGCAATGTTTTTTTAAAAAAATAATGATTCATCGTGACGTGTCGATGATGAAATAAAATTGTATAATTTTATAAATAATTATCGTATCAACAAAACAAAATTTATTAGACGTTGTCTAAAACTGTAGAGTTAAAAATAAGATATACAGCGTATCGTTAACAGCGCGACAATAAATGAACACACGTCTAACGCTAATCGGTAATCATAAAAAAATATTAACGTTAAACAAAAGCCATAATTTAAAAAAAATATTTTTCAAACAAACAAATTAAGTAAAAAAGAAAAAAATTTGTAACATACAACTCGCGCCACAGCGTCGCATTACAAGCCTCTCCTTCTAACAGTATGTTTTGTCTCTTTTAAATTCATTCAACCCATTCATATGCTTTGTGACCTTTACTAATGAACTTTACGTTATAGTTTCATACGTAGGGGTGTTCTAAAATTGTTTGTTTTGGAAAATTTAATAACTCGGCAAATATTGATGTTTAAAGAATGTAAACGTTTAATACAATTTTAAAAAGTTATCCTCTATATGTGTGTTCATTTATTGTCGCGGTGGTAACGACACGCTGTATAATATATCTATTAAAACTTATACAATATTAGGATTTAAAAATTAAATACCTACTTAATTTTTAATAATATTTTAGAAACGATGCAAAATCATTTTTGTTAGCATATTAATTAAAACCAACAATGTGTATTCCTTACCAGAGAACGCGGATGAAGAGTTAGAGGTCATTGACCTGGCCTTATATAAGATTCGGTCAGTGTATGCCGGGGCTCGCTGCTTGCTCGAAGTGTCGAACTGTTGGCTGCCAGGATCGTACTGTCAAGTTAAAAATGTATAATAAATAAAATATATTTTATGATTTGCATTCCACGTTTTTACGGCTTGACAGTGATATTAATCCTTCGAGTTGTTTCTGCAGCACTGGCGCTACGGTAGAACTCGTACTCGTAAATATACGGATATTTCATGTTTTCCATTGTGCGGTATGGAAGGAATTTATAAATTTGAATTTGGAAGTCTTAACCAAAAAAGGAGATATTTCAAATCAAAGTGGTCAGTATGACAAAACGCTAATTTCATATGTAAGGACCTAATATTAGGAAAAGCATCCTGCAAATCATGCGCATAGAGCTGTTGCAAGAAATAGACAGCGCCTTGAGAATAATAATGTTCGTGCAGCACGTCTCACTCCGCGCTCTGGGTCTATTAATTTAAAGTTATTCTGCCCATGTATTTTATAGCTGGCTAATGAAGCATCCGTTAATGACTGTGGTCTTTATAGTGGCCATAAAACACAAATAATAAGCACTCATACATAAAAGTTGTTCCCCCGTTGTACGTACAAAAAAAATTATAAATGTATGTTTTATGATTTGGTGTAATCTTTTTTTTTTTGGTGTGTTCTTGTATGCTGTGAAGTTTCCGAGTAAAATGAAAAAGAAACTAGTACTGCAAAATATTCGAAATGGTAGAGATTAAAATAAAAAAAAAATCTTTAATGTTTTGGTATAATATGTTTGCAAATATTTTTCCTACATTATGAGAATATTGCACATTTTACAGCAGTGGTGTGTACAGAGATTTCAGATAGGGTCACCAAAAACAGTTTTATGTAGTATAATTTACGTATCATAAATTCTTAATCTTTACTTTACATGAATCTGATTACTTGAGTTATAATTTCTAAACTAGTTAATGTTGATAAAGCAAAACGACACACCTGCACGGAACACATAAATATACTCGGAGAAGCGTAACTCCATACATAAAAATTGACCCTTAACATTATACTACAAGCACCGCAGTAGTATAGCACTACCACAAGAACTAATCCCCATCACCGAGAGTTTGAAATATCTCAGGTGAAGTGAAATATATCATATGGGAATATAAATATTTCGAATGTATTTTTTCATTAGTTATTGCATTTGCACATTAAGACTATTTTTAAATGTTTTCTTTACGATTCTTTCATTCTTTGTAAAAGAAACAAGACTCGGGTACTGCCTGCTTAAGTGCTAACCAAAAACACAGGCGTGAGTTAAAGTAAGTTCACCATTAACAATAATTAACATCTGTGTTTTATGGTTTAATTTGTATGGGATGACAGGGTATGCAAAGATTTCTTGATTGTATGGTATTTCTTGGTGTGTGGTGCTTTACAGCGTACATGGTGTTCTATGGAAATGGTTTCATTTAGTTATGTATGCGTAAAAATGAGAAATTATTACCTTGTACGTTGGCGGGAATGTGATTGGTGCTTCACGGAAGTCCCTGAAAGCGGCGCCATCTTCCAGCACAGCAGTCAACTGGTCGGTGTGCAGCAGCCCGTGCGGCAGGTATGGCGGCAGGGGGAACTGAAATTAAAACCCCTAACAATAACAATTTAAACCCCTTCACGTTTCATAGTCTAGATAAGATTTGATTTTTTTTAATTTAAAAAACGCTGCCCTTACTTGTAAGGATAACATTATCCTGTGTTGTAAGGGCGTTTTACAAACATGTATATCACACGGACAAACGCCCAGATGCTAAACAATTATCTGTGGATCACACAAATAGTTGTTCCGTGCAGGAATCGGGCCTACGATCCCCGGCGCCGAAGCAAATGCCTTGGCAACTGCGCTACGGAGTCATCAATTACTCCTTGGCGCAGTTGTCGAGTAGCGAATGGCTTCGGAGACAGGGCTCGTGGGTTTGAAGTATACGAACGTAAACGCTCTTGTAATACAGGATAATGTTATCGTACATAAGGGAAATGTTTAAAAAAAGTTAGTGACAACATATAATGAAGATATCCTCGACCCATTCCTTGTACTTTGGGTATTGTTTAGGAGTCAACAGATACTGTAAAAACAATATCCATTATATTCTTGTATATTTACACCGCAATGTCACGCAGAGATACTACAATATTAACTTAGCTTATTAATTCGCGTAAAATCAAGAAAACAATAACTTAGCTTAATTATAATGTGTAATAATTAACAGTGCTATAAGGGTATTCACAGACATCACCAAAAAACAAATAGCGTAGAGTCCTTCGTATCACTTCTATCAAACCCACAAATAACCTTCGAACACTCGCACAGGATTCAATTTCGCGAGTTTTATGCAAGAACCATAGAGAACAAAGATCAATTATTATTGTTCAATAACATAAGGTAAAAACTAAAAAGCTCAGTTCTCAAATCCAAATACAACTTGTTCGCGACTGTACCATCTAATAGTAGGAATGAGAGCGACGAAGGCAGTAGAGCAATGCACTCAACCTGTACCCCGTATATGGACCGTTCGCCATATGAACGCATGAACTTCTATAGTATTGTTACCAATATTTAGAGACTTGGGATATGGGAAGAACATGTGTACCAACTTCTGTTTGCTCAATCCACCGTAGTACTGCTGCTCGGGGCTCCCCCAGGCGGAAGTTCAAGTCGCCGCACCAGAAAACATAATCAAAGTTGTTGGTGACATCTGGAATTAGAAAATAACAGTTTATCACCAAGTGACGGTGCATTTGCTTGAATGAACGCATGGGGAAAGATGACAGATATCATAATCGTATCTTTTATCGATAATCACTTAAAAAAAGCTTAATACGTAATATTGTGAACATAAACGATTTTTATCCAATGACTATAATTAATGATTATGCCATTGCCATTTAACATAATATTATAATATAGGTCTATGACGATGAAGGTAACGTAAGAAAAAAAACTAGTTAAATGTGTTAAACTTTTCCTAACTCACAATTTTAACTACCATTACTTAGGAGGAAACAAAACTGACCTTCATGTTTATCTTTATAGCTTCATGGCGAAGTTGATAAGGTATTGGTTTTGTCGCCGGGGGTCCTGTGTTCTATTCCCAAACGAAGCAACTATCAGTGTGAAATATGAAATGTATTTATGGAAAATGTCCTTACAACACTGGATAATGTTATTCTACAGTAAGGGGGAAATTTTTTCAAAGGGTGACCACATTTGATCTTTCTAGGTCACAGTGGTCATAGTATTCAGTCAAAGTACTCGAGCCGTGATAGCTCAGTGTCCGGGCGCTCGCCTTTAATTCAATATACTCGAGCAACCTGGGTTCGATCCCCGGTGCCGGCACCAAGTTTTGAAGTTTTTAACTTTAAGTGCTGACTTATCACGTGTTCCGCGGTGAAAGAAAACATCGTGATGAAACCTGCATATTTTCGAATTAATAACAAAAAAAAATTTCGAAGACTATGCCCTGATACCCTCTGTATAGAGGAGGCCTTTGCCCTGCAGTGGGACATGTATAGGCTGTTACCTTTACTTTACTCAACCACTTCCGCACAAAATACAAAACAACTCACCTTTACTTCTATGCCTGCATGGCAAATTCTTCGGCAGATCTATGGACCTAATGATCCTCTTGATATCGGACAGTCTCTCCTTAACTTTCTCTTGGTGGGCAGTGAGGTGGGCCGTTACAAACAGAAATGTGGAACCAAAAAGCGCGAAGGATATCGCCACTGCGCCCTTTGTCCTAAATGCGGTCCCAGGGCGAACCGACAAACTCGCATCTTCTGGCAGTGAACAGAACCATATCAGGTCCCTTCTTATAAAAACTGTTAAATGGATAGTGCCTGAAAGTGAAAAAAAAACATTACAAACTTAGTTATTACCTTAAAGTTTAGCAGACAAGCATACACAATAATATAAAAAAGGTGTGACAGGAATATTGTTTTTGAGCTCTTTTTTCAGGCTATGTCAGCCTGTCATACTTATTGTCAAAAAACCTGCAAACTTGCAACATTTTTTTTATAAATGACTGTCTAATGCTTCAATGCTATCAGTTATACTACTTCATAGTAAATGATGTCATAGATGGCATGATGAAATCTACAGCTGTAAAGCTTCTGCATTACTTACTAGCTTAAAAGAAGGTTATTTGCGGTTGCCTTGAAGATATACATGTAATAAAGGGAAGAAAAACAGCAACTGGCGAATTGTTCTATTACTTTGTTATGGACGTAATTAATGATAAATAAAAGTATTTTAATCATCAAAAATGTAGCATGAATATTAAATTTTTTATGAATATTTTATGACTTGTGAGTTTGTTTTCCATATGTGACAACTATTTCTGTGACCCAATCTCTGTGTTTTGGATCTGGGTGTTCATCTACATGAAACTTATGTATGTAAAACATCCTCACAACACAGGAAAATGTTATGCTACAGTAAGGGTGCAATGTTTTAAAAGGTTAGACTCCAATAGATTTAGCTAGGTTCCACACAATATACAAATACAAAATGAATATTAAATATAAATGTGTCAAATTCAAGAATGATTTCATAACCAAGCAAATGGACCAATATCCATGTAGGAAAAATAGCATGGGAACTGTGGGAAACTCACCCAAATAATAGGAATGAAGCAACAAGTGTGATGGTCCCAAAACTTCTTGGATTGTTATTTCCCACTCAGTCCTCTCTGAATAAGATTCTTGTGTTCCAATTGCAAAAATATCAGGCACATGTGTAACTTGAGTGGGGAAAATAAAATCTGCCAACTCTCTGTGCAAAGAAAAGTAAAAAATGAACAAAATATCAATAATATTATCATTTCTTTATTTAAATGTCATGTTAGTATTTATATTAAACTATAGATTTCTATTAGAATATTAAAAATACAAGGATATATTTAAAATAATGAAAAAAACCTGTACCTGTATTGTAGTATATTGTAATTACAATTAATTTTGTGCATATATGTCTATGCTTTAAAAATCACTGTTGTTTATTAATTAAAAATAAAAAACAATAATAAAAGATATATTAAATTTTTACTTTTGTATTTTATTTATTTATATATATTTGATACCTTGATGGTGCCTGCCCATTCATGTTCCATGTGCCTATAAATATTTTAACCTCTCGGTCTGGAAAAACATGCTCTAACTCCGCAGCCCCCAATAGCGAATGGGATGCAAGTCTCCCATAAAGATAGTTCCTATTAAAGAAAATTTATAAGCTTCATGCCTTCTTTTAAATATTGTAATTAAAGTTAGTAAACATTGTTTTCAAGCGGAATGTAATGCAGCAACAAGCAGCTGTTATATAGGCATACTGAGTTATGTACATGTTTGCAAAAAATTAAAATTGCCAATTCCTATTTTTAATCATTTTTATTAAGAATTTAAATTGATGTAATTATTTAATGGAAAAAATGGTTAGACCTTTCCCTAGCCTCCTGTGTTGGTATTAGTCGCAGCACTTGTGCAGCAAGTAGTGAGTTGCGAGCCAAGCTGTCAGTGCTGCCAGCACGAGAAGCTGACCGAGTGATGGTTGATTTATTCCTAGATGCAGTATAAGATTTAAAAATAAATATTACAAGACCACAATTACTCATTATAATATTAAGAAGCTGCTTACCTTCTTTTGCGGTCAAGTGAACTACTTCTGTCGCTCTCAGGCGAGGAAGAACGATATAATGGTTTGGTATCATTAGATATTAAATGATCGGCTGACAAACGCTTTACAAACAATTTACTTTTGCATTTAATGCCTTCAAGCGAACTTGTTTGCTCAAAATATTTCTCATCATCATCACACTTAGTAAAGGTTACAGTAGCCTTCGGAATATCATCAGATTTTGATTGAGCGCCTGATGTAGTGTGATCACTTAAACTATTATTGGAATCATTGTTGGGACTAGAAGGTTTAGAATTTGTTCCACTCTTGGCACCGGGCCCTTCCACTAAGCTCTTAGGGCGCGATCTTCTAAAAAAGGTCTTGCAACATTTGGGGTTGTTATCATCATCATTACTGTGCTGATCACTATATTGGTTTAAGTGGCTTGCATTGCCTTCTGCATTAGAATTTTTTTTATTTGCGCTGTGGTCTGCATTGGAATCACTACTGTATGCACTCTGCGCTAAAAACGGATCTACTGGGGACATTGGTCGTGAAGGAGATTGGCTAAATTCATCATTTGAATCTGTATCAACATAGCAGCCAACTTTCGGTGATTTTTTAACAAATAAGCGTTTACGTAAAGATAACTTTTGTTTGGTCCTGGTAGGTGAAGTTGTCATTTTTGGTTTAAAACCAATAATACTTCTAATTTCAGTTACAATTACATTATATACTAATAATAGATAACTTAACCTATAATTACTTAAAGTGACATAATTCCAATAAGATATGTCAAAGTATCTTTATGGATACGTTCAAAAAGATGTCGAAAAAATCTGTCACCAACATAATTCCTCACAAACAGCACTTAATTTGACACACTTTTTGTAACCAACAAGTACGATATGATCTACAACCTACAATCAATATTGAAAACCTTTGTTATGCATAACTAACGTTACTATGACAACTCAGTGATAAACAAAGATGATATTGACGCCGCCGGCTATTGGGGTATTTCCATTATGGAAGTTTCTTACATTATAATAATCTATCGAGGGGAATAAAATAGGTCTGTTCCCCTTTTGGTACTTTGCAGTAAGTTATTAGTGCCACCAATAAACTTTCACAACACCGGTAGTGTTGCCGCTGCGTTAGAATTCCTTGAGGTAGTGAGCAGTGGCTACCTTACTAACCATATGAAATGAAAGACTTAACGCCATGCCGGTACTATGTGAAAACCTTGCACCTCCTTTGTAGAGCTAGCCCGTTCATGAAAAATCATTAGGACCGATTTAATTTTTTATTTAATTAATATAAACGGCGGATTTCTTAAAGGTAGTTAAACTATTTGAAAGGAGGCAATAAAGACACAATAATTATGTAGACATATGTATTTGCTTAAACCAAAGAGGAGTAATAAATTAACATTGAATAGGTTAGATTTGACTGATTATAATTTAGAAATTCGTAAAATCATCATGTATTCTTGTTTTTAAATATTTAGAATGTAAAAGAATACTGAAAATATTAACATTAATAGATTGTTAACTAATTTTATTCCTTTACCGGTACCAGGTACAAGCAAATTCAAACCATTATATTCTGGGGTAGGTGACAAGTTTCCGCCGACAATCGACTGAATTCCATTTCCTAAAATATTATGACATAAATTAAAATTACAAAAAAAGCACTTAACGATGTATACTTTATATTTGTATCAAATTTTACACTGCTGGATATAACTATTACTATTTCTTTTTATGTGAAAAGTTGCCAAACGAGCAAACCAGTCACCTGATGTTAAGTAAATACCGACGAACATGGACATCTGCTACACCAGAGGTTTGCAGATGTGTTGACAACCTTTTGAAAATTGGGCTCCGGCCACCTCACTCGCCAGACGAAACGCGTAAGTATTATACTAGCACTTTACGCCGGTCTTCTGTGAGGTCGTGATACTTAACAGGACGAGCCTGCCCATTCGTGCAACAGCCGAGGCTGTTGCGTGGCCCTACCACTGTAACTATTATTATTATCACCTAAATATAATTATTAAAATGTCTGCTGTAGGTACTTGGTAATATAAAAGTAAAATTATCAATGTAATGGAGGTTTAAAGCTTATAGCTCTTGAGATTGTACACCCAACATACGTTCTTTAAAACAGACAATTGGGGTATTGCATGATGTCATTTAGATATCGGTTAGCAAAAGTTGACCCAATTACTCATTTTTATTTCACTTATACTTTATATAAAGTTACATACTAAAAATCAAAACTTACCAATGTTACACAAATCATTGGTACATGCACGGTAGTATGTTTTAAATGTTGGATCGATTACTTCGTGATTCAAATAGTCTGGTGATTCTTCACAGCCACGTGTAAAACTTGCTACGACACCAATTGGATCCTTCATGTAATGAAAATGCATAACCAATTATTATTAATAACTAGCGACCCGCCCCGGCTTCGCACGGGCAAAAAACCTTCTTCTTGAATCACTCTATCCACTTACACTTAAACTTTATGGTATGGTATCAAAGTTCAAATTGACTTTTAAGTATAATTACGAATATTTTGTATGGGAATATAGAAAAGTGTTGTTTCTAAATTTTTAAGGCAATTTTTTATAATTTTTCTCTCCGGAGGAACCATCCTGGTACTTCAAGGAATATTATAAAAAAAATTAGCGAAATCGGTTCAGCTGTTCTCAAGATTTGCGCTTAGCAACACATTCAGCGATTCATTTTTATATATAGAGATAAAACATCACTACATAGTATGAAACAAAGTCGTCTCGCTGTCTGTCTGTCCCTATGTATGTTTAGATATTTAAAACTATGCAATCTTGATGCGGTTTCTAACTAGATAAAGTTATTAAAGAGGAGGGTTTATAATTATATGTATAATACATTGCACCAGTGCGGGTGTTTTTTTTTGCGAAGCTGCGGCGGGTATATACTTTAAATAATAAATACTACTTTTCTTTTGTAATTAAATACGTTTCTATATAATTATATGAACACAGAGACACTAGAAAACACAATGTTCGTCACACAATTTTTCCCAGTTATGGTGATCGAACACACACCCTCATGACACAAGGTTTATTTTACACCACGCTAATCGGTTGTAATTGTAGTCAAATTTACAAAATTCTGAAAAATTATATATTTTTCTCTTCTACGATTATCTTTCACATGTGACTAACGGTGTGATATATTGACATGTTATTTAATCTCGCTAATATTGCGTTCAACTATTCATCTTACTTTTTCTGATGTCGTGATATCATATATAGTTAGTTAGTCGTGTATATCATAGTGTACTATACAAACTTTATTGAAAGCCTCAAGCCATAGCAGTATGTCGAATATTCTACTCTGTTATGAAATAACTAATCAAGGTTTTACCTATAAAGTTTTTCATAGTCATGGAACCAAAGCTTTTTTCAGTGCCGGCTGGCCCTGGCCTTTGATCAGGGTAAAGTGAGATTGTCTTTCAGCGCCCTTTAGTTGGTGCTTTCGCTTTGCATAAATTGTACCTACGTTAGCTTAATGGTAAATAAATAATAATAATAATAACCCGATAGAAACTAAATGAAATCTAGTAGCAGCAGTTTCTTTTTCATTTTTCTTTAACATTAAGAAAGTTTATACTGCTAGGTTATTGAATTGTAATTTTTTGTGTTAATTTCAATTAGTCAATCAATAATATATAATAATATATTTTTTATTATCTTTTTTTATGGGGGTTTTATCTATAAAGATACGCCAACCTCAGTAATAAAATATATTATCTTTTAAACTAGAACACCCCCGCGTCTTTCAAAAGACGCCGTCAATAAATTTTTAAGAGAAAATTGTTTTTTTTTGCATTTGAATTTTAGCGCCTATTGACCTTGCGCCTAGAGCGACCGCTGTTCTTGCTCTACACTTGAACGGGTGCTGTCATGTTTGACGCCAAAATATATCCTATGGGCAACAAACTCTCCCGCCAAATATTAAAAATCACCACATACTAACATAGATTTTTGTACTTACAATAAACTCTTGTCGCATAATCGTGCAATAAGTAAATCGGCAATCGACAGATGGTGTGGAGTTGGTAATGGTAAGACAAGACTGATCTGAGTCCACTGACGAAAAGCTGCACGCATAACATCGTAACTGAGCTGCGAAATTATTTGTTATTTACTCCAAAATCCATTACACGGTTGCGATAGCTTATTATATTTATTTATTATTTCAAATTTATTTATTATTTCAAATTTCAAAGCTATTTCAAAATAGAAAATATAGTGCCATCTATATAAATACTTTATATGATAATGGTGGTGTATATATACGTTTTGACATGATATATGGATATTATTTTTGGTAAGGTACTTGAGTCACCATTAAATTGATTATCGGGGTGTGATATAAATTAGACAAAAACTACAAAATATGTAAAATAAGTGAAAACAAGGTCAGGTCAGCCCATTAAACGAAAAGTATGAGTAAAGAAAATTTTCCTTCTTTTAATATATTCAAATTTGCTATTTTTAGATAAACTTTACATAAAAACACGACAGTATATTAAACCATTCATTATATAAATATATTATTTTCATTACAAAACATTTCTAATCACTTTTAAAATTTAAAATACATATAATTTAAATGTATTACAGTTTTATGCCAAGCCAATTTTATTGTAAATATATAGGGGAGACATACAAATATCTACGCTAAAACTGTATGATGTAGTTAATCATATGAGGATAAGATATAACAAATATTTAACTCACCGGTTGCTGTACTAATTACACTAAAAATATAAAACAAAACTATTTTATACTCCATTATATTGCATTTCCATTTGCACGAGCACATATAAGTAGTACATATTTGTTCGGAACTGCGGGAAATCAATTATTAATTACTCATATGTTATCTTATCTTGGCTCTTGGCTTTCATTCGTTTTGTTCAATATCATAGAGTTATAAATTCATTGATCTTTATCCGCCTCAGTCTGCACCTATCCTATAATTAGTTTTGGTTCATTTAATAAAATTATATTCGTAACGTAGATATGTACACATGCCTTTGCATTACGTTTAACGCTCATGTGAAAAATTCCTAGTTAACCTCGTTTGAGGTTATAAGGTAAGATTATCCGGGGTTTTCTGTAACAATTTTCTGTAGGGTATAAAAATACTTGTCCTAGTGAGAATTGATACCACGACCTGCGGCGCCGAAGTCTATCGCGTATCAATTATTGGTAAATAACACAGTTGTGACAAGAAAACATATAAGATGGAAAAATGCAAATAAACTTTCATTAGTTTGTTCAATTACCTACAGTCAAATTATCCAAAAAACGGTGAACATAAACCAATGTTGTGAAAAGAAGGTGTTTTTTTTTCTATTGTTAAACTCACTTAATTCTCTAATACACTATTTAACAACGCCTTCAATGAAAATAATTACCTTTAAACGTCCTCAACTTCAATCGTGAAAGTTACGCATGGGAAGAACTGCAGTGTAAATCACAATATCTAGATATATTTTACCTATCTGTGACGATTCAATCTATCTGTAGGTAAGTCTATTTTCTTTGCCAAGCTAGTCAAGATGTCTCTTGTACAAATAACATCATTACCTAATAGCAGTTGTTCTTATAATAACAAAGGAACAATAGCATTAATTCTAATGATGTTGTAATGCAAAGAATTTTTCAAGAGACCTTGGCCCATTAATAAACATGGGGTTTTTTTTGTACTTCGTACTTAAATAACATTAATTGTATCTAGCATAATCTCCTGTATAAGTTTTAATTTTAGTTTTAAAAGCTTTATAGGACATATGGTGCATGGAACGGCAAAGTTAACATGAGCTAGATAGGCGATGACTAAACGCTTACATGTGGATATCTGTACTCTTCTTCTTTCGCTGCCCTTATCCCACAATAGGTGGGGTCGGCACTTTCTTCTTTTTTCTTCAACTTCCCTCTATCAGCCGTCATCTCAATAATACTCACCTCCTTCACAGACATATCTTTATTCACACAGTCCATCCAGGTCGTTGTCAGTCTTCCACCCTCCAACCACGTACAAATTTAAGCAACGAAGGCGTAGTGGACAATTAATCCTTTTCCAATCTATACATAGATACTTATGCAAAATCTAGGTTATATTTGTATTATGAAGAAAAAAAAACGTTTTTGTTTGATTGTTGCTATGAAATAAGAAAAATGGATGTAATAATACGAAGCTGAAAATGTAATTGATAAGGAATAACGACAATATACCTGAATGGTAAAGTGTATATTTTATATAAACGAATGTAGATTTTAGTCACACAATTTTTGTAGACAATCCCAATAAAACATAATGTTTAGGTTTTTATAAAACTTCTTCTAGATAATTATAAATGTATTGCAACTAACATGAAACGTGAGACAGATATGGATAATTAATGTATGACTGAACGAAATAGTTTGCGATGAATCAATATTTCGAGCATCAAAATGATAAGGGCTAAAATAATGCCATACAGTAAAGTTAACAATGCTGGATAGAAATCCATCATGTTGACTGAACCGAAGTTACCGCTTTTTGTCATGCATATCGGCTTCTTGGAGTACACTATTTTATTTGCACGAACGTTAAAGCCATGCTCTTGGCTTCGGAATGATCTAAAACAATTATAATTTGATTGATTATTATTCTTTCATCTATTTATTATATTAATCTATTCATGTTTTTATTATTTATTAAAATTCAACATTCGTATGGACATATAATATTTACAACACCTTTGACACCGTACTTTTTAACCTTCACATAGTACGCTATACGCAAAGTGATGGATTTTACCCGATCTTGAACATTTCTTTATACGGGGAGTCCTTCCGACAAGTTTGCCATGGTTTGGTGTTCGGGAAATAAGAGATTTCTTGCAGTCCGCATTTCTCGTGTTCATAAAAATATTGTTCTACCAATCGATATCCGAGGCCAGTGTTCATATTAAAAGCGAATGGTTCCTAAAATGAACAATAACGTTCAGAAAATCCAATCCAACAACTACTTGATGACGTAAACTAAAAACTCAAACCTTCTGCAGTTTGCGAACTCCATCCTCTAACTTCAAAAAATTTGATTTGGAGCCCCGACGAGCTATTTTGTATTTGTAAATCGCTTTTTTCACTGGTTCGGTTTCAGTCTAAAATTTATATATTAACATATTATTACATTATTAAAATTAATAGTGCTGCATAACATATTTATTATAGCATATTAGGGCTTGTGGTTTAAATTGAGTTCTGAGCGATTTTAACCCAAATGGAACTGACACTGCAAGTCTTACCTTATAAACTCATTGAAATGTGAACAACATAATATGTTAAATTGTTACTTGTCATGAATAGCGAAACATAAAATGTGTTAAATTTGAGGAAACTGCGAAGAATTCTTGTGTATTAGTGTATTGTTTAACATTCCCCGGAAATTCGGAGAAATATAGAGGTAAGAGAGTTATGTATCATTGCAATAACATATTTTTCCTGGTCCGTTAAGATAGATATATATATATTTATTCAGTATTCCCTCGCCTTTATGTAAAACTAGAAGGCCAACTTAAACAACAAGCAACATTTTTGTTACACTCAAGCTGGCTAAAAAGACATATACGATTACCGCGAAATAGTATCTATTGTACGGCGTGTCCTCCGCACCCAATTCCATTTTGGAGTTGAGCAGATCAGACAAGGTTCGGATCCGATTCGAGCTGGACTGCAGCAAGGCGACGATACTGGCAGAGTAGGAAGTGTACAGGAACACAAAAGCCAAGAACAGTATGAACATCACGACTCGCCCGAGAGTGCCTGTAGCATTAAAATTCGACAGTCAATAAAGACGGACAATGTTGTTCGCGCCGTGCATATTGATACACGCTAACCTTTTAGTTCCGTTGAACTTCCTTGCTGCGTTATGGCGCTAATTACCAAAATTGCAATGTCGCCCATATTCGGCTTCAGCACTGTGTGATCGAACTGAAAATTTGTTACATTTATTTTTTAATTCTCTTATACAGATTTTGTTGAATAATTTTAATGGCATGTGAAGTTTTAAATTATGTCACAGTGACATCACACGCACCCGCGTACATTAACTTTTAGTGGCAGGGACGGCGGATCCCCGGTGGATCCCCGGTACCGGCACCAATGAAATTGTTAGTCTTGACTTATCACGTGCTAAGCGGTGAAGGAAAACGTCGTGAGGAAACATGCATATTTTATTAATATTTTTTATATATTACGAAGATATGTGAAGTCTACCAATTTGAAGTGCGGTTGCGTGGTGGACTATGCCCTCGTACCCAAAGGACAGAGGAATCTTTTCCCAACAATTGGGACATTACTTAGTAGTAGTTATTACATTAGTTTACCTATACTTTTTCATTATATCGAGCACTAATTACTTTCTCTATATCACTTTTTACATTAGCACCGAAACCATATCTTATCTAGCCAAGTATTGGATATTGCGTAAGACATAGCTAGCGGCTAGTAAGTCTGTTACAGCTTTATACATCTAACGGTTCACGCAATAAGAGTAAGTACTTTTATCTTGTCTAAAATAAAATCAAATGTATACCTCATTCACGTAACTACATTTAACTCTTTCCCATCGTGCGTTAATAAACAGAACGATTATCAAAACGAACACTAGCCCCAAAATACAGCACCAGACGACAGGTTTAAAGGGCAGTAGGAACAAATTATGCTGGTAAGACAGCGAAGGCTCTCGAAACACAAACTTCACTGATGGCGAAGCCGGATAATTCATGTACTCTAAGACGGGCAACCTCTCTTTCGTAATAAATATCACGGTGCCTGAAACACATTTATATTGAATAATAACAATTATGAATAATAATAATAATTTTAGGACAAATTTTTACACAACGTTCTCTAGTCACAAAGTAAGTAACGCGTGTACTATGGGTACTAGATTACTGATAAACATACGATCGATCAATTTAAACGTAAAAAACGTAAATCAAAAGTCAACTTATGGTTAAAGCATATTACACCATTGTGGAATATCTCGACGACGCCAATGTGTGGTGTTGATACTGTTAATGGAGTTAATACTCACGTAGGGTAGAATAAGACTATTATACCGGTATGTTATATTGTAAACTGATATTTTTGGAAATGAGCAACTGTTGAGTTTCTTGCCGGTCTCTTCTCAACAGAAACTGCTTTCCGAACCGGTGTTACCTTACGAACCTATATGTATAATTTTTTATGTAAAATGTGACTATTCATAAGAACGCGCAAGCGTCTATTTGAATAAAGATATTTGATTGATTGATTGATTGACCTAACATACTTTTCTTTTGTAAATAAATGCATATGATACATATATAAAGAGAACACAAATATATACAAACTGGAAAAACACTATACTTCTCTGACGCAATAGGTTTACTATCAACTACGCCCATGGGCTCGATTCATATTCGAGCCAAAGTGGATCAAAATACCGTTAATTTTTACTACAGTAAATTGTATTGCTATTTTAAACTGAATTAAAAAAAGGAGAAGGTTCCCACTTATGTTGTATTTTTATAGGTTTGTTATCTCGGAACTCCGTCATGTACAAGTATAAACCCATTTTAAAAATTCGTTTTCCATTGGGTTTGGTTTAGCTCCCTCGTGTAGTCCCAAATAATTTGGTGTTGGGGTTTGACTCTGGACTATTAGGGAACTCTTTACATGTTTAAAGTTGTTATTTTTTATTGATAAAAATGTACTTGTGATTAATTACAAACCTGCCAATTCCGCTTCGCCTCTGGCTACGTGCCCGACCATTCCGTTATATGTTCCGTTAACAAGATAGCCCCACGTGTCGGTGTAAATAATAACTTTGGTTGCGTTTATGAAATCATACATCGGCAAATAGTGGAGGAAACTGGCCTTAGCCAATGTGTCTCTATGGATAGTCCTAAAAAAGAACTTCTGTACTCTTCTTCTTTCGCTGCCCTTATCCCACAATAGGTGGGGTCGGCACTTTCTTCTTTTTTCTTCAACTTCCCTCTATCAGCCGTCATCTCAATAATACTCACCTCCTTCACAGACATATCTTTATTCACACAGTCCATCCAGGTCGTTGTCAGTCTTCCACCCTCCAACCACGTACAAATTTAAGCAACGAAGGCGTAGTGGACAATTAATCCTTTTCCAATCTATACATAGATACTTATGCAAAATCTAGGTTATATTTGTATTATGAAGAAAAAAAAAAAACGTTTTTGTTTGATTGCTGCTATGAAATAAGAAAAATGGATGTAATAATACGAAGCTGAAAATGTAATTGATAAGGAATAACGACAATATACCTGAATGGTAAAGTGTATATTTTATATAAACGAATGTAGATTTTAGTCACACAATTTTTGTAGACAATCGCAATAAAACATAATGTTTAGGTTTTTATAAAACTTCTTCTAGATAATTATAAATGTATTGCAACTAACATGAAACGTGAGGCAGATATGGATAATTAATGTATGACTGAACGAAATAGTTTGCGATGAATCAATATTTCGAGCATCAAAATGATAAGGGCTAAAATAATGCCATACAGTAAAGTTAACAATGCTGGATAGAAATCCATCATGTTGACTGAACCGAAGTTACCGCTTTTTGTCATGCATATCGGCTTCTTGGAGTACACTATTTTATTTGCACGAACGTTAAAGCCATGCTCTTGGCTTCGGAATGATCTAAAACAATTATAATTTGATTGATTATTATTCTTTCATCTATTTATTATATTAATCTATTCATGTTTTTATTATTTATTAAAATTCAACATTCGTATGGACATATAATATTTACAACACCTTTGACACCGTACTTTTTAACCTTCACATAGTACGCTATACGCAAAGTGATGGATTTTACCCGATCTTGAACATTTCTTTATACGGGGAGTCCTTCCGACAAGTTTGCCATGGTTTGGTGTTCGGGAAATAAGAGATTTCTTGCAGTCCGCATTTCTCGTGTTCATAAAAATATTGTTCTACCAATCGATATCCGAGGCCAGTGTTCATATTAAAAGCGAATGGTTCCTAAAATAAACAATAACGTTCAGAAAATCCAATCCAACAACTACTTGATGACGTAAACTAAAAACTCAAACCTTCTGCAGTTTGCGAACTCCATCCTCTAACTTCAAAAAATTTGATTTGGAGCCCCGACGAGCTATTTTGTATTTGTAAATCGCTTTTTTCACTGGTTCGGTTTCAGTCTAAAATTTATATATAAACATATTATTACATTATTAAAATTAATAGTGCTGCATAACATATTTATTATAGCATATTAGGGCTTGTGGTTTAAATTGAGTTCTGAGCGATTTTAACCCAAATGGAACTGACACTGCAAGTCTTACCTTATAAACTCATTGAAATGTGAACAACATAATATGTTAAATTGTTACTTGTCATGAATAGCGAAACATAAAATGTGTTAAATTTGAGGAAACTGCGAAGAATTCTTGTGTATTAGTGTATTGTTTAACATTCCCCGGAAATTCGGAGAAATATAGAGGTAAGAGAGTTATGTATCATTGCAATAACATATTTTTCCTGGTCCGTTAAGATAGATATATATATATTTATTCAGTATTCCCTCGCCTTTATGTAAAACTAGAAGGCCAACTTAAACAACAAGCAACATTTTTGTTACACTCAAGCTGGCTAAAAAGACATATACGATTACCGCGAAATAGTATCTATTGTACGGCGTGTCCTCCGCACCCAATTCCATTTTGGAGTTGAGCAGATCAGACAAGGTTCGGATCCGATTCGAGCTGGACTGCAGCAAGGCGACGATACTGGCAGAGTAGGAAGTGTACAGGAACACAAAAGCCAAGAACAGTATGAACATCACGACTCGCCCGAGAGTGCCTGTAGCATTAAAATTCGACAGTCAATAAAGACGGACAATGTTGTTCGCGCCGTGCATATTGATACACGCTAACCTTTTAGTTCCGTTGAACTTCCTTGCTGCGTTATGGCGCTAATTACCAAAATTGCAATGTCGCCCATATTCGGCTTCAGCACTGTGTGATCGAACTGAAAATTTGTTACATTTATTTTTTAACTCTCTTATACAGATTTTGTTGAATAATTTTAATGGCATGTGAAGTTTTAAATTATGTCACAGTGACATCACAAGCACCCGCGTACATTAACTTTTAGTGGCAGGGACGGCAGATCCCCGGTGGATCCCCGGTACCGGCACCAATGAAATTGTTAGTCTTGACTTATCACGTGCTAAGCGGTGAAGGAAAACGTCGTGAGGAAACATGCATATTTTATTAATATTTTTTATATATTACGAAGATATGTGAAGTCTACCAATTTGAAGTGCGGTTGCGTGGTGGACTATGCCCTCGTACCCAAAGGACAGAGGAATCTTTTCCCAACAATTGGGACATTAGTTAGTAGTAGTTATTACATTAGTTTACCTTTACTTTTTCATTATATCGAGCACTAATTACTTTCTCTATATCACTTTTTACATTAGCACCGAAACCATATCTTATCTAGCCAAGTATTGGATATTGCGTAAGACATAGCTAGCGGCTAGTAAGTCTGTTACAGCTTTATACATCTAACGGTTCACGCAATAAGAGTAAGTACTTTTATCTTGTCTAAAATAAAATCAAATGTATACCTCATTCACGTAACTACATTTAACTCTTTCCCATCGTGCGTTAATAAACAGAACGATTATCAAAACGAACACTAGCCCCAAAATACAGCACCAGACGACAGGTTTAAAGGGCAGTAGGAACAAATTATGCTGGTAAGACAGCGAAGGCTCTCGAAACACAAACTTCACTGATGGCGAAGCCGGATAATTCATGTACTCTAAGACGGGCAACCTCTCTTTCGTAATAAATATCACGGTGCCTGAAACACATTTATATTGAATAATAACAATTATGAATAATAATAATAATTTTAGGACAAATTTTACACAACGTTCTCTAGTCACAAAGTAAGTAACGCGTGTACTATGGGTACTAGATTACTGATAAACATACGATCGATCAATTTAAACGTAAAAAACGTAAATCAAAAGTCAACTTATGGTTAAAGCATATTACACCATTGTGGAATATCTCGACGACGCCAATGTGTGGTGTTGATACTGTTAATGGAGTTAATACTCACGTAGGGTAGAATAAGACTATTATACCGGTATGTTATATTGTAAACTGATATTTTTGGAAATGAGCAACTGTTGAGTTTCTTGCCGGTCTCTTCTCAACAGAAACTGCTTTCCGAACCGGTGTTACCTTACGAACCTATATGTATAATTTTTTATGTAAAATGTGACTATTCATAAGAACGCGCAAGCGTCTATTTGAATAAAGATATTTGATTGATTGATTGATTGACCTAACATACTTTTCTTTTGTAAATAAATGCATATGATACATATATAAAGAGAACACAAATATATACAAACTGGAAAAAAAACACTATACTTCTCTGACGCAATAGGTTTACTATCAACTACGCCCATGGGCTCGATTCATATTCGAGCCAAAGTGGATCAAAATACCGTTAATTTTTACTACAGTAAATTGTATTGCTATTTTAAACTGAATTAAAAAAAGGAGAAGGTTCCCACTTATGTTGTATTTTTATAGGTTTGTTATCTCGGAACTCCGTCATGTACAAGTATAAACCCATTTTAAAAATTCGTTTTCCATTGGGTTTGGTTTAGCTCCCTCGTGTAGTCCCAAATAATTTGGTGTTGGGGTTTGACTCTGGACTATTAGGGAACTCTTTACATATTTAAAGTTGTTATTTTTTATTGATAAAAATGTACTTGTGATTAATTACAAACCTGCCAATTCCGCTTCGCCTCTGGCTACGTGCCCGACCATTCCGTTATATGTTCCGTTAACAAGATAGCCCCACGTGTCGGTGTAAATAATAACTTTGGTTGCGTTTATGAAATCATAAATCGGCAAATAGTGGAGGAAACTGGCCTTAGCCAATGTGTCTCTATGGATAGTCCTAAAAAAGAACTTATAGATGAAATAGAATGAAGGATTCCTTGTAGATCCATTTTGAGTCGACAATTTTGTTTTAACGGAATACATTTATTTGCTTTTATTTTACCAAAAACAGTGTAAATGACCAATGTATCAAAATATATTGGGGTAATTTAGAATTGAATAAAAATAAGGTATTGAATAAAGCAAAATTATTTCTATCACTTTACCTGTGACCAGTTTTGCACTAATCCCATTAAAATTTATGTATTAAAAAAATTAAAAGCGATATAGAAATGTTAAAATGATTATAGCATTTTCTTTATCTTGATATGAATATCACGAATAATATAAATTTCAATTTAAAACAAGTGCTAAAAACTTGTTATACAAAGAGCCTTTTATATATGTTCAACGTATTATTGATAAAAATCAGAAGCAATAAGACGTTTGATACTACCGCATATCTAATAATTCAGATTTTGTCTTGTTATCTGTTATTACGACTGAAACTGTCACTGGTTCACCTAATAGGTCTTTTCGTCTTATAGCGGTAGAAACAGTCATTTCTTTATATTTTATGAAACCGTATTTAGATTCCCATTTTCCAAAATTTTCAACAATCCATTCCTTGCTTTTTGCTCCGATTTTGTATGCTGAAAATTTATTCAATAGAGATTTATTTAGTATAAAGGACAAATCAGCAAATTTTTAGGGAATAATTTTAGCTTTTTGTTTCATTTTTCATTTCTATCCCATATTAGCCAGACCCTAAAAATATTTTTTTCGATTCGAACTGAAAGCAAATAAGTTTGAACCCTTCGAGGTTAAATTAATTAACATTAAAAACAAACAAACTTTTTAACCTTCAGTTACAGATATTACTATTTTACTACACACCGTTTTAAAAACAAGAAAACTGTTATGGAAATCGTTTTTTTTATGCGCAATATTTTCAATCGGGTAGGCGGTTAACTTGATATTAAGTGATTACCGCCACCCGTGGTTGTGTGTGGTGTACAGCACCGGAAGGCAAATGCTTTGACAACATTAATAACACTGGGCCCCAGTTACCTCATTCACCAGACGAAGCCCAAAAATTTAATACTTCCACTGCCCGCCGATCTTCTATTAGGCCTTGGTACTTCCTGGAGAGCTGCAGACTTTTTTCTTCCTTAACTTTTGTTATCCTTGTTAGTTACGCCCAATATTGGCACATTATGTTAAATAATGGCATTATTAAGCACATGTGCCACAACGAATGACATTAAATTTACATCAATGAACGGGAAACATTGTAAAAAAAACATTGTTTATGGTTATCCTCCAACGACTAAGCATTAAACAGTTACATACCACTTAATCTATTATTTATATTATTGTCATTTATATAATCGTCAATTTTTTTTATTAAATGGAACAATAAAGACTCTGAACACTATTACGCATATCACGGCTTTTACCTTTGCCGATTAGTTCAATCCCTAGTTGGTATAATAAATTAACCTCAATTAGTTTTAACGATATCCAAGTCAGTCAGTTGGTTACTTTTTTAAAGGGCTTATAAATCGTATAGCAAGTTTACTTACGCATGTACAAGCTAAAATTGTTTTCATTCTTCTGAGACATTATTACCTCAGCATCGGTTAAAATATCAAGGTGTTCCAACACGGTTCTCAATTCTCGTGGTTTATTAAAAGGCGTTACACCGATTATGAGCCAACGATACGGACTCTTGAATTTGTGACAATCATTTGCCTATAAAAAAGATTTGTGTAAAGATAATAAAGACAAAATAATGTCTTTGATTTCACTTTTTACCTGAGAAATTGATTAATTAATAATTAATTTAAAGTATTTTTACACTTAGAAAAATAACAGGTATTAAATATTTGCAAGCATAGATACTTTTTAGCATGTTCTTGACAATAATTCAAATGTCTTATGACATTATAGTAACAATACATATATAATTTATAAATTTACGGTATGTACAATATATATGTTTTATAATAAGCAAAAAAAGGTTTCATAAATTAAAAAAATAATGAATAGATGATAGTATATAAGTATATAAGTATAATAGTAGTATATAAGTATAATAATTCTGCATTTTGTCCGGAGCACTCTCCAGACGAAGAATTATTGTAGTAGCCTGGGTTATCAGTTATCACTCAAGTATAACACTTGAGTGATAACCCAGGCTACCTCACTAGGTAGCCTTGGCTAACACTTAACATCATGTGAAGCTCGCATAAAAACTCACTTCTCACATAAAAACAATGCAATGAAGATGATATAATATGCGCCTATCAAAATATGATATAAGCAGTACTTACTATAAGTAAACCATCTTTAGCATTTGGACACCGGATATCAGCTACTATGATTATGTTTGCGGCCGGTGATGAATTTTTACAGATTTCTTCGTTCCTTACAAAATTTACCATTTTGGGCCTTTCGAGCATTCCCAATTTGTTAACTACACTGATTTTCGTGGCTATTGTTAAAACCGTTATAAATCAGTTTAAAACATAGGAAAAATCTGCTTGTACCTTAAGTTTCAGCGATTAACTTAATATCTATTTATTATTCTTACACTGATGATTCTATTATATAAGACAATGTCGCTTTTGTCACATGTGTTTGTTATTGTCTATAAAGTTTTGTATTATCATTGGCTCAATATTTCAGTGAATTACTAGTTAAATTGAACATTAGATTACGTAGACGTTACCCAAACTATATACGAGTAATAGCGTTTTAATAAACAATTTCTGTGATGTGATTGAATTTTAACAATTGTAATATTCTTTAGATTTCTGTAAACTATAAAGTATTTTACTTCAGGCCGGTCTAGTTAAAATCGTGGTATGAATTACGTCTATTATTTGTACTATCATTCCTCGTTTAATTTTTTAACTGGTCGACCCTATCGGACTGGACTTGCCACCGTAGGCCAGCTCAGTGTGGGTAACTTATGGCTTTATCTAAGCCATCAAGCCACGGTTACTGAGCCTGGAGGGGCTAGTATCGGAGGATACTACAGGATGCGAGCCCAAGAGGAACAATAATCCAAATAATTCTAGAGAACTGTGAATATTTAACTGTGGTAGGGCCACGTAACACCTTCTGTTGCGCGAACGGGCAGATCCATCCGGGTAAGTACCATCAGTATGATGAGTGCCGGGGACCACTTTATTAAAATGTGGCAACGTATCTGCAACCCTACGGGTGTTGTAAATGTCCATGTGCGGCGGTTATTGCCTAGCATCAGGTGAACCGCCAGCTCGTTTGCCACCAACTCAGATAAGAAAAAAATTCAAATTATAATTACTCACATTTCCGCCAACAAACATTGGCCACAACTTCGGTCGGTTGCTGAAACGAATTTATCACGTCGACAATCATTCTCATTTCGGTGTCGGGTATAGCGCTCATAAAATTTACTTGGAGTAAAACAGCAAAAAGTTTCATTGTGCTCAATGCGAGCATCATCGTTATTTTAAGAATTCTATTCAACCGAAAAGTGGAACAGAACACAATGTTTCTTTCATATATTCCATTTAAATGCGAAACCACGGTTTAAATACTGTCGTATAATTGCCGGTTATGGACAATAATTGTCAGCTGCATTTCCCATTCAAACCGTAAATGTGTGGGAGGCTCTTACTTAATTGTTTCTACTTACGTCTTCCAATTAGAGCTTCATGTGATTCATTAAGGGTACGTTCACAATAATAATCTGCTATATATTTATTTAATAAATTAATTTTATTCATAGTTACTCAAACGGGCAAACGACATCTTTATTTATATTTTGATGATTTCGACACTAAACTGTGTGCTGTAAAACTATAAAATAATTCGTATTATTCTGTTGAGTGCTTATTTTAATGTATGATATAAAATCCTTTATGATAACAGATTTTGTGCATTTTAAACCTATATATTAATTTTTTTTGAACAGTTCTTTGCTTTTGTGTATTAGCGTATCAAAACGGACAAGCATATTAATTATTAAATATTACTATATTGCTTTTATATGCTATTAATTGCTCAAGTGTATTTAGTATGTATTTTACTTCGGCAGTACGTATACTATTGGTGTATTTAAAATATTTAATTAATTAGTGCATTTTACAAATATCACCTTATTTTTTACGATTAAAAACAATAGGTGTGTCTCGTCTAATTTTGCCTCGTACTAAATGTTAAAACGTTGTCTTTTTGTGAGTCTTAACAGAATATTCTTATAACGGTGTAGAAATTCCATGACAAGGAATAACGCTGCGACCAGGGTTCCGTATGATAGCACCAAAAGTACCGGGTAGCAGTCGACCATGCTCACTGACACAAAATTGGCTTCATTACCGGAGCACTTTGGACGTCGTTGGTACAAAAGACGATTTTCTCTGTACTGCAGGCCGAGCTCGTTTATGCGCTTCGTTCTGAAAGGACTTAAATTGGTGAAGACGATGTGAATGGTCCCAAAGTGCTGACTAAATTTATCTGTGAAATTAATAAAATAAGTAATTTTAAATATTACTTAAATGTTCTATAAAGTTCTTTTTTTAATTACTATTTATCTTAAGTTAGTTTTAAAAATTTTACCCGCAAGTATAAGCAAGCGCTAAGAGTGTTCATGGCAAGTCGTTATTTCCTACTAATATTCACATGTTTCGAGTAAAAACAATTTATGACTGTTATAACACAAACATTTTCGACTTTCTGGAAATAAATTGCTGTTGATCAATTTGTTATAGAAAAACGGTTTCAATCAGACGATGGGAGAATTAAGTTTTGCGTTTTAAGCACAACATTTTTTTTAAACTGTTGGTATCCCGTCCGTCAAGGACCAGTATCTACTGAGGGCGTGCGCCTTCGTTCACTTGGCAGGCAAAACGAAAAAGTAAACTAATACTTCACGCGGGCATTCTGTGACGATATGGTACTTCCCCCGTTAAAGTGGCCTACTCACGCAGTGCGAGCTGTTATGTGAGTTGTTACTCTACCTAAGAGAAGTTTAATTTAAACCATCCTAACTTACTGACATCACTTCTTTGTGTAAAATTTCTGAAGACAGTTACTCAGATCTATGTAAACTCAGAAAAAATACTTAGGCCATGTAATATTTAGTAAATTTTTTCCCATACCCTATTTTGAACAATTCCACATACGGCGAGTTCTTACGAACGGCCAGCCACGGGTCTATAACCTGAAGGTACTGTATTTCGTAGAGACCACATTTTTCTCCCTCTTCAAAGTATTTGCCGACAAACTTGTACCCGACTCCAGTTTCCATATGAAACGCGAATAAACCCTACAAACAATCCAAATAAATTTTAAATAATACCACTTTTGAATGTCTCTACAGCGAAAGAAGATAACGTTTTTCATTTCAGTTTTACGAATGAATAAATACCTGACGCATTTTTTCAACACCCTCTTTCATAGACAAGAAACGAGGCTTTACACCCGGTGGCGCAATTTTTGTTTCGTAAATAGCTTTTCTTGTCGGCTCTGTTGCTGTCTGCAATTAATCAATCAAATTTTCGAACGATATAAAAACAGAAGATATACATATTCTTAAAACTTACAGGATAAACTCAAAAACCGATAGACTGAGTGAGGTATGAAGAAAAATGTGCATTAAGGTTCTATATGAATTGGCTGAAGTATGAAGATGATAATATGATATTACGGCGATTTATGGTAAGAATATGATATACATAGTGAGGAACTAAAATACAATGAAGGTTGTAAATATCGAATGCTGACCGTGAAATAATGTCTATTGAAAACGTTGTCGTGGACGCCAAACTTTAGTCTTGAATTCAGTAAGTCCTCCAGCGAACGTATATGCGACGAACTTGATTGCAGAAGAGCCACAATATTAGCTGAGAAAGAGGTATACAGAAATAGTACAGTCAAGAAGAGAACCAACAGAACAACACGGCCTAATGAACCTGCGGACAATTTTCAACCATCATCATAAGGTTCCGTTGTTATCTTACTTAAATTAAATTTAGTATGCTGATGCGATGAAAAGTGGATTGATTAAGTGACTATACCTTTGAGTTCTACGGGACTCCCTTGTTGACATGTGGCGCCGAAAATCAATATTGCGATATCAGTGATATTCGCCCTTAAAATCCCTGGATTACTTATTCTCTGAAAGTATGTAACAATCGTTAATAATGTATTGTTGGCGCTGGCAACACTGTATACCGGATTTGACGTTATATACTCGAGTAAAGGAACACATGGTCGCATGGAGTAGCGGTCACTTGCTTTTCGGTTGCGTTACAAGACGGTGATATGACCAATAGTGCTGCTTGTCGTTATAATAGTTGTCAATATTCAAGTTTAGATATAGTTAAAATATTAGAATCAAAGTAATAACGTTTGAACTCTTATAGTATGTTATGTCTATGTATTTCGTGTGTAACAGGTTGGATAGTAAGTCCCAAAGGTCACTGCGACCTAGAAGATCTATTGTGGTCTTCCTTTCGAGAACATTTCCGCGTTAATGTAGGATCCGCAGTAGAACTAAGATAACCGACATAGCTCAGAGGATTAGCAAGCTGAAGTGGCGATGGGCAGGCCATATAGCTCGTAGAACCGATAACCTTTGGGGAAGAAAGGTTCTCGAGTGGCAGCCTCGTACTGGCCATCGCAGTGTAGGACGACCCCCCACTAGATGGAGTGACGACCTGTGCAAATGTGCGGGACGTCGATGGATGCAGGTGGCTCAGGATCGTGTTTCATGGCAGTCTGTGGGGGAGGCCTATGTTCAGCAGTGGACTCAAACAGGCTGAAATGATGTAGGATTCGACATAGGATTGACATTATCTTGTGCTGTAAAGACGTTTTGTTATAATAGTTGTCTCGTGTGGGAATCGAACCAACGAGCCCCGGCGCCGTAGCCAATACCTTGGCAACTACACGTAAAGATTGTATTTTTTCATTTTTAATTACTCCATCAACATAATACGTTTGTGTTATTGTTATAATTTTGGAAAACGTTAAGATTAGCTACTCGGTTTGGCCGTATTTTTGGCTATAGTTGAAGAACGATAGCAACAAGAAGTATTCTGGAAGAGAAAACCCATTCGTTCTTTAGTAGAAGTGTAACTATGGTACTCCACTAGAGTGAAGATGAGAGAGAACCAGAAATATACAGTAAGAAAAGAAAGTGTTCAAAAAGATTACCGTGTCAATACCGCTGCTACTTTTCTTCCACTCCCAAAAGGTGACAACCAATATTGCCAAGAACAGAAGGAACATGAGCCCTACGACGCTGTACCAGACATTATTGCGGAACGGCAGAAGAAATAAGTTGTTCTCGTAGGAGAGCTTCGGCTGTCGGAAGACGAACTTGGAACGGGTCGGTGTTGGGCTTGATATGTATTCGACTATCGATATTCGCTCCGCCGTAAAGAACATCGGTGAACCTGAATTGCATAGAAAAAGAATAACGTTATAAAATTCACACTTTTACTACTTTATTCATGTTAGGTCTGAATTTATATTAATAATGGTAATAGTCCACGTGCTTCTCTTTATTTTTTTTGTATATAAAATTGTTTTTTTGTAATGGATAATACATGTGAAACGATTCTTAAAACTGTTGTTTTGTGAATTATTAGTATTATTAATACAAATCTCAAAACTGGTAGAGTCGCGTTAGAAGACAAATTGATTTTATGAATGCGGGAAAGCCACGTGTAGTAAACTCTCATTATACAAACCATTTATAAAACAATAATCATTCCAACGACAGTACATGAAAGTAAAGTGAATCGGAATAAACAAAATAATTGACGGTAGCTATGACATCAAGACGTGTAACAACTTCTCTAGTCTGTCCCGTGACCATGAACGCTGGAAAGGGTTCGAAACGTCGGGAAATTAAAATCAAAATAAAAAACGCGATAAAATCCGTAAACTATTTCATTTAATGAGTAAAGTGAAAATAATTTGAGTGGAACATATTAATTAAGAGTAGAAAATAATTAGTTTAATTCTCATGTCAGTTGTGTGCGTTTTTGTTTCACAAAATATTTTCTCTTTTTAATGTTTTATTAAGCTAAGCCAGCTGATGCGACAGAGACAGGTGCAACGTGGGTTTTTTAGTTAGTAACCGTTTCTGATTGGGACTCCCACATATCCCTGCCACTTCCCGGATCCAGTGGTATGGAAGGATTTTTCCCGCAAAAAAGGGACATGAAAGATCACCAAGATCATCGATTTTTCTATGACATTGCACGATACGACTCAAGGTTCAACGACCTTTAATAGTTTTTACCTTTGATAAATTATTCATTTACCTCCAATTTCCACTTCGCCCCGAACCAAATATCCACTCAAGCCATTCCACGTGTTATTATATTGGTAGCCCCAAGTGTCAGCGTAGACAAAGTTTCCACTAGCGTTGAGATAATCCAACAGATGGTTTGTTGTGCGGACGTTTACTTTTGTTATTGTATCTATGTGATCATTACTAAAATTGATAAAGTGTAATTAAACACGTAGAGATATAATATTTTTTCTGGATTTTATAGTTATTCACTATCAAATTAAAAAAGAGTAAAGCTATACATACTAATATTATAAATGCGAAAGTAGCTCTGTCTCACTTTTTAATATATCATGGAAATAGTTTTGTTATTATTTCGATCATATGCAGGTTTCCTCACGATTTTTTCCTTCAACGTTGAACACGCTATTAGTCAGCCTTATATTTGCAATCTAGAATTTCATTACTCCAGTACCGGGATTGTAACTCAGAGCGAGGATACAGATCACGGCTGATATTTAATCTTTTGGACTTATTTAAGAAATGTCATTTTGAGCATATTATAATCACAAAAAAACAGAGGAAGACAGGCGTTAAATAAAAATGAAGTATTACATTTTTGCATTTTGTCTGATGAGTGAGATAACCAGTGCGTACCTCTTTTATCGGTTCGTTTCTCATCTGGAACCCGCACAGGTTTGGTAAATGTCTATGGTCAACGATAGTCACTTGACACGAGGGATACGTGTGTGTTAGTGACACGTCTGCACGCTTTTCACCCACAAAAAAAAACATAATTGTTCGTGTTTAGATTACATTTATTTCTTCTGCTTATCCATTTTATTACTTACATTCCATCCGTGAGATGATTTATACTATCACTGTTTGTAAGCACGAAGCAAATTTTTATTTCGAAACCTTTTAAATTTAGCCTCCTGATGGATGCTGATTCTATAATTTTTTCAGATTTTTGAAACTTCCCTTCTATGTCCCAGATTCCGTAAAGTTCCGTTTGCCATGCCGTGTCTCGTCCTATTTTGTACACTAAAATTTGGAATATCTTTATTATCAAATTGATCTCTTTGAATACTTAATATATCTTTTAATACTTACAAAGAAATAATTCGAAAAAACTATTATGGATTCTACGGATATTAAGAACCTCGATATCTGGATATATCATTATATCGGATAACGCTTCAGGAATAATGTTAGAGACATTTTTGTTTATGTTGAGATTGCTGTTAAAGAGTATCCAGCGGTAAGGAGATCGGAAATAATTTGCTTGCTCGCTCTATAATAAAAAGAAGAAATAAATAAATTATCGGTTGTTCATTTATTGATGGAGCTTTGAAACCTACATGGCTCAATGGCGAATCGACTGACAGTCGAAGACATTTCATCCACATCAATAAATGACTATATACAAAAATGTACTCTGTGATAAAGGATGTGATGAGAATTTCATTCAAATTCAGAAGAAGGAGAAGATGGTGGAAAATATAAATTTTACATAAGAAAGTAAACGCAAAAATGTACAACTGTGGTGGCTAACATAGTTCTACGTAAAATATACTTTTTTTCTCAATAACATGTTTTTTTTATGTAAAAAGTTACCAAACGACCAGACGGTTCACCTGATGTTAAGTGAATACCCCCGCCCATTGATATCTGCTACACCCGAGGGTTTGCAGATGCGTAGACAACCTTTTTGGAAATTGGGCTCCGGCTACCTCACTCACCAGACGAAACGCGAAAGTATTTGTCATACTTCCACTTGACGCTGGTCTTCTGTGAGGTCGTGGTAATTACCCGGACGAGCCTGCCCATTCGTGCAACAGCCGAGGCTGCTGCGTGGCTCTACCACCCTTATATATATACATGGTTTTCAACTTATTGTATAGGATTATTCAGTTGGGGATAGGAAGGGTATACATTATTTTTAGGGTCTTACATAACTGCTTTCTTTATCACGCTATCTAATCGATTTCCATTGTTAAACGTCACTAACAGAAGAGTTGCTAGCTTTTTTTATGTGAAAAGTTGCCAAACGAGCAGACGGTTTACCTGATGTTAAGTGAATACCGCTGCCCATAGACATCTGCTACACCCGAGGGTTTGCAGATGCATAGATAAACTTTTTGGAAATTGGGCTCCGTACTATCCAGGTGAAGAATTATAAGCGCACCAAAATCCCTAGTTGTCACTAGCTTCAAAGATTGGTTATCAGAGGTGGCAGTGGATCAGCCATACAGCTCGTAGAACCGATAAAAGATGAAAAGGTTGTCGAGTGGCTTTTTGACCATGACTGTGTAGGACGACCTTCACTATTTGAAGTAACGACCTGTGCAAATGTGCGGGAAGTCGATGGATGCAGGCTCAGGATTATATTTTATGTCAGTTATTGGGGGTGTCTATGTCCATAAGTGGACTAAACGGTGCAATGATGAACATGATGACAATGTAATCGTACGTACCTTATTCAAAAACGTGGCTACATTAGGACAGTTGAGGTTTGCTATAAACGTCGTATGGTGTTCCCGAGCGTGAACCGTTGGAATCGAGACGTCGGTATGAGAGAATTGTATAAAATTTACTACGATTCCTTTATTAATAGCTTTATAGTATTGTAATCTCTCGTCTGTAAAAGCAAACTTAATTTATTTTTAATCAATTAAAAGCATAAACCTGCGTCTTCAGTCTGAACACGATACGCTTGATGTTGTAACATTTATATTATTCCGATTGCATGGCAACTGCGCAAGCTGCCTACGTGTGAGATCCGCCACCCATGGGCTCTCACAACACCAGATATATTGCAGGCACGAGACCACTGAGGATGTGGGTAAATCGCTCGGCGTACAAAAAAAGGCAAAAGTAAATAACTTTTACTTCCCACTGATCTTCCCCGATTACTATGTGTGTGGTAGGGGCTATATATGGGCATATTTTTTTTTAATTCATCACAGTTTTAAAGGAAATGGGCTAACTATGAAAAAGGGAAAATATCCGTATGGATATATTGCTTTGCTGAAGCAGCTCATCTCTGTGAAACTGTGTGTGGGATATCACTGATGGAAATTAATCGATATGGATCAATTGTTTGGAATTTATAAAATGATAACAATGGATTTAATGTACTTTGAACAAAAAGTCCCATGAAGGAAAAGGCACAATCTTGTTGGGATCTGTCGTGAGGATTGAAGCACTACTTTGCATGTATACGATAATTTAATAAAATGATTAAATATTTCATTACAACTTGTAGCTAAAATATTAACTTCCTTTCTTATTTCTGCATTCTACTGTTTATGTAGACACATCGTAACATTGATTTTATTGGATTAATGATAAAAAGCAATTATTCATAATTTTAGATAGATTAAATCTTGTAAATATTATATCAATAAAATGTATGAAAATAAAAATAAATTTTATATCCATTAGGACTAATGTTTCAAAAAGGTGAAATAAATCTTTTAAAAAGTGGTGCTGTCACAGAAATTACCCTCCTCATGAAATTTACATTATTTGTTTTTATAATATTAATTAAGATTACATAACAGATTTTTTAAATTACAGTACATCCTTTCAGAAGATCATAATAATAGAAGCTTCCTCTACAGAATGTTATATCCTTGGGCTCTCTTTGCTGCATTTATGCAACGCATTTATTCCAGTATGACATTGGCTGATCGTGTTTGTACTTCGACGGGTCTTGGCGCTTATCCTGTAGAAGGAAGGAACAGAACCGGCCACGGTCCAACAGTAAGATATTTGAAATTGAAACAAATGTAGGTGATTTTTTTATTTTCCTTTCTCAGTTACAGTGGGCTGCTTTCGTATGTCAAATGAATTTCATAGATTTTCTATAGGTTCCCATGAAATATGACTATAATCAATTAATTTTAATTTAAACTTTTAACATTGAAAAGTAAGAATTTTTTGTTAATATTATGACAATCGTTCGCATAAGTTTTTAATCGAAATATTAGTTCATATTAAATACCACATTATCTAATAATCCTATCTACATGATGCCAAGAACGCACTTCTTTGCTGAATTGGCCCTCTTGTCACTAGTCGCATCGGTATTGTAACTTCAAACGTTCTTTATGGAAAAAGGGAGGCATACGAGAAAGTGGGTTACCTGATGGTAAGTGATCACCACCGCCCATGGACACTAGCAACATCGGAGGAGTCACAACTGCGTTTCCGACCTTTGAGATAGGAGTACTCTACGGCATCGTCCCTAAGTCCTGTCAACTCGTATACAAAGGAGCTGTGCAGGGCAAATAGGGCAGGTAGATAGACTTCCAACCATCAAGGTGGTGTCAATGGAAATTGGCGGTTTGACGAGTTTTACGATAGTGAAATATTTTATACTTTCATCAATATTGGCTTTTTTTTCTTTCGTCAATAATAGGTAAAAATCCGGACTTACGAGATGTGCAGCAAAGGGCCACAAATAGAGACGTGGGTTTCCCCATCGCTTGAACAACATCGCGAATTATAAAATGCTCGATAGGTACTTCTAAAGCGGAGGAATTTATTAAAATCAAGGTGACCCCAAGCAGGATCGTCTTCATGATGCAGGAAACTAAACTGAAACGGTCTTACGTACACCTGCCGCATTTTTCATGCGATGAAATATGTTTATTCATAAAATTGCTCCAAGGCAATTTGCAAAGTACTACTTATAAGACTTTTTACGTGAATAAATGATGGCGGTATAAATAAATCACAAATCAACCAGTATCGCAAGAATCGATTTTATTATTTTTGCAGAATCGAATTCAAGGGGACTGAGCAAAATTATATTTTTCACATTTTTAGTTCCATAAATTATATTCATTTGCACGAAGTGAAATTAGAAACACATATTTTATTACATTATTTATTTTACTCATAACTGATCGTTGTAATAGTATTTTTATAATTTTGATCCATGTCACTAGTCTAAAACGAACTCACTACAGTATAGTTTCTAACCCCATTATTCTAGAGTTCATGCATTGATATGCTCTTGTTATACGAGACATAAACAGCGTTGAATTTAAAAATAAATTGCAGGCATACGACAAATTGCTTTCAATTTAATAATATCAAAAGTTTATTTTTAGAAGTCACATTTATTTTACGTAAGTTAAGATAATATGAATTTAGTTAAATATAAATCACTTTAAACGCGCATTGGTCATTTGTAGTACTCGTAAACTTATGTGCTGATTCACAATATAAATATGTACATACGTAAATTCGAATGGCTGCTCAAAGATTTAAAACTGAAGGCAGATCCGGGAAGTGATTTTAAAGTTGGTATATTTATGACAAGTTAAACACAAACAAATGGTGGTAGTAAATACTTCTATGGAAAAAATGGACAATATTATTGTACGCAATGCATATAATAGGTGATGGGAATACACCGTCTGTGCATAACAGAAGAAATAATTAATTAGAAGTTGTAATTTTTTCCGTTTATCGTAACATTTGATAGCAAGGGTAATTAAATTATTTTATAATTTAAGCAAGAGATTCAGTTTAAAAGCAGTGGGTGCCAATATTTACCATTTTTTTTTCAATTAATCTTAATCCAAGATAACTTGTAAAGTTTTAAAGCTCCTTTAAAACTTTACAAGTTATCTTACAGATAAAATTTTAATACTTGTGTAACAGAACGTCAAATGGGAATCGTGGTATTCATCATTAATTTATTAAGTCGTAATAATTCATAATTACTTATTAATTTATAAGTATTTGCAAATATCGTGTCTGTGTTGTGGGTAGTGGGTTGTGGGTTCGATTAAGTATATGTTTGACCCATAGACAATTGTGTTTGTCCCCGAAGAGGAATG